TGTAACATGATAGGTCTTGCAATGCCAAATTTTGACGATGTGATTATTTTTGTAGTAACATGCAACTTCATTGATAAGGTTACAATATATATATATATAAGATTTAAAATAAATTAATTCACCAAAATGATTATCCATAATTAAAAGTTACTACAATTTTAATTAGCACCTTAATTTGTGCACTAGTTAGGAATATTTAAACCCTAACTCTAACCCTAATCTTAACCCTAAAAAGGGTAAATAAACACACAATCTTATCCACTCACAATTAACCACATGAATGAATTGAATTAATTAGAAAAATAACCTGAAGTTTCTAGAAACGCCTTGTTGTCATGCATCTAATCCTTCGATTTCGACAACATTTAATTTGACCCTCTATATAATCAATATATACGTATATCTGTAAATATTAAATTCATTATTTATTTATTTATTTATTTTTTGCTCGAGAATTGTAAACTTCACTCGCTCCTCCAATTAATCAGGGCTGTCTGTCTGTCTGTCCGTCTGTCTGTCATGTCCTCCTGCCTGTGTTCTGACATTAAAGTGGTCCCCACCACAAACATCCAGCCAATGGGAGCTGGACGCGTGGCATCGATCTCGCCTGGGGGCTCGGTTGCAACGCGAGTCTGGAGCTGCCACGTGTCGGCTCCAGACGAAGCTGCTGAGAACTTGACTGTCGAGAAAGATATTTGGGTGTGTTTGTCGAAGTTTTGATTTTGAATTGGGATTTGAATAGTAAAAATTTTGAATTGAATAGTTGTATAATGTGATATAAATAGGTGTTGATGTGATGTTTTGACTGTAAAATTGATTTTTAGTATAATATAAAAAATGAAAAATAGATGTTTGATTTGATATTTTTTAGAGAAAAAAATTGTATGAATAGTGTATTTAAAATCCGATGCCAAAATGTATACTGTGAGCCTTTTTGGAATCCTTTCGTGAACTGAAAAATGGCAATTTTTGGGGTTGGTTTGGTTGGAACGTAATGTAGCAGTTTTTTGTGTTGGAGGTCAAAATTGTTTTGTAAATAAAATTAATAATAATTAAAATTTAAAAGGATTTTAAAAATTTGTGATTTGGGGATGTATGAAATAAAATTTGTCTGGGTGGGATATGATTGGTTGGTGTGTAATGAAAAGGATTTTAATTTCGGATATAGAGCGGAAAGTGGTCCCAATTTATTGGGGTGTTGGGGTGCTGACACGTGTCCCAGCATCTCCATGTGCAGTTTTGCCTTTCCTCTTTTGAGGTTGCTTGCTGGCTCTGCCCACCACACTTTCTTTTATTCTTTTTTCAATATATTATCGCTTTTATCAGATTAATTCTATAATGGGAAAATTGGCTTTAGATTGAGATTTATACATATATATATATAATATATGTGTGTAAATTTTAATACTATTAAACTAAAAATTTTACTATTCAATTTATACAGGCAAAATAAAAAAAAATATATTTTTATATAATATTACATTAAAATATAATTTAAACTTAAATTCAACCAGAAGCTGACAATTAAATCAAAACCAAACAAATCCTTACTTTGGTAAAAACTTATTATATTTAAAATTATTTCTTATCGAAAATTTTAAATTCAGAAGATTAATTTAAAACAACACCAAACATACTAATATTCACTCTTGGAGTTTACTTATTTATTTATTCATCTTGCATACTTTTATTTATTTATCTATTTAAAAATTATACAGTTTCCATCTTTAAAATAAATAAATAAATACAAAAACAAATGCAGAAAACATAACCAATCGTGTCAATGGGCCAATAGGCTTCTTTTATATACAAATAAAATTAATATTTATAAAAATTAAATATATATTTAATTTTTTCAATTTAATAATATCAAAAATTTTAAAAGTATATATGTAAATATATGTTCCTGAGTACTAAAATTAATAATTACAAAAAAATAAATAGTATCTCAGGTAAATTTAAAATCGATTATATATTTCTCCTAGTGATAATTTTATGGGATTAAATTGTAAATGTGAAAGTGAAATGTTCTGGAAGTTTTAGATAATGGTCCTCCTTTAATTTATTTTTTCTAAATTAAGGAATATTCAAACATAGGATTATAGGAACTATGATTGGTAGCCCTCATCAAATCCAATGGTGAATAGTATTGGTCATGTGCATGCATGTCATAAAGTTGGCCAACTTTCAAAAATAAAAAATAAAATTCCCACAATATTAATAATCATATATATATATATATGTATATCCATGCCCCTTGATAAATAAATATATTAATTAAAGAAATTGGAGACATCCCATCGTCTCAATAACCCCCAAATAGAAGTGCCTATTACTAATAATTATCCATTCCATGCAATCATCCTCTCCTAATTTAGAAGTATTTATTCATAATTTATATTATTTCTTGATTATTAAAACACGACTTTTATATTCTATATATATATATATATCACTGTATATAAGGGTAGGTGGGTGATGGGTGCTATACACACATGATGCCTATATGGAGACATATTATATATTTTGTACTATTTCATAATTAATATACTAATTATAATATTATTTTTTTTAAAAAAAAAATTATTATTGTTCAATAGTTGGGATGAAGCAATCGCTTAAAATAGGATTAAGTAGTTTTAACTTAAACTTATGCTTTGACTTACTCATACGTATTTTAGAAAAATTTTCAATGATTAAAATGATTTATAAACAAATATACTTAATTATATATTTATAAATTATCCAAAAAATCCAAAACTGACATGGATCGTCTTATAAGTAATACTCTTAGTGCATTGGCCCCTCGATGTGGGGTTTGGATTTTTTATTTTTTATTTTTTATTTTAGTTTGATACAAACATAGAGTGACAAGTTGGGTTACTTTAATTATGAATATTTCTAAACTTAAAAAAAAAAAAAAAAAAGTCTTCTTGTTGTAAGAATGGCTATGGTCAAATCCATCCACACACTCCCCACTAACCACCTCACTTCATCCACACCCAATAATTCATTAAAGGTCCCAGGACCCGAGAGCCGGGCAAAGCCAAACCGTTGATGGCGCATAGGATCAACGGCACGGATCGATTCAAAGTTATACATGCATGGAACAAGGAAAACGACTCAAGACTGTGTAACGAAACAGAATAAAACAATTGGTCCGAATTTTATTTTTATTATTATTATTATTATTTTAAAAATTTCACACCCCAAAATTGCGTGAAAAAGAGGCCAATCGATTTGACAAATTGAGTCAGGAATGATATTTTCTTTGGCCCCTGGCCCCCCTTTGCACGCTTCCATTATATATATACTTACTATATACTAGTGAATCAATTAGAGTACCAGCAATACTAATAACTTCAATAAAATAATACCAACTTCTTTCACCATCACCACTGGCACTTCAAAAATAAAGAACAATGGTGATTGTGCTTCTTGTGTATGACGTCACAGCTTATGCAATTCATCTGGGATCTATTGTGTTCTTGAGAAAGAAAGAAAGAAAGAAAGAAAGAAGATGATTGTGTATTCATTACAACCCAAAACTCAAAACCCATTTTTTTATTTTTTGATCTTTTTTAAGTATATATGTATTTGAAAAGGGATCAGCTCACTCATCTCGAGCCACGCATGTGGTCCTTCCTAAGATGGTGGACTCAATTAGAGGCAGCCATGGGAACTAACGAAGAAGATAAATTTATTTCTTAATTGGACAACAAATTAAGCTGAGTTGCTGTATAGGCTAACTGCTTGTCCAAATCCAGAGGTGGTTTTTATTTCTTTTCTGATTTCGAGGTGGTCAGGTTTTGGGATCCCCAAAACCCTCCACCTAACCTTATCCCCTACCATTGATGTAACTTTGACAACCTCCTTTCTTGGAAGCTCCTGGGGCCCTTGCGCCCTATTGATTAGTCATTAGCCCATTACCCTTCTCTGGAGTTCTGCTCCATGGACCTGCCAAGAATAATACAGCAGTGTTTTTATTTATTTCACACCCTGCAGAATATGTTGACTCAGTTTTTCCCCAATCAGGCAAGCCAATTTCGAGCAGCTAAGCCTCCCATTGGTCATTCATTAACTAAAATTAAAAGGGTTTTGAGTCAAGAATTTGAAAAGAGATGTTAAAGAGGGATTGAGTTGCAATCTTTTTTTTAGGGTTTTGATTTGGTTTGGTTCAATCTTTGATTAAATTAATTAGTTCTTGTTAATTATAAACCCTAAACTTGATCAGCCACGTAATTGTATTTCTGTTCACATATAGGGTTTGTTTAATACGACTTTATTTTATTCCCTTTTAAAATTAAAGGCATATATGCATGGCTGTATGATTTTTATTCCTTTGTTTATTAGTTACCCCATTTACTTTCGTCCTCTTCTTATTCTGTAATTTTTTTCTTCTCTTGCCTAACTTCATTTTTATAGTAATATATATTGGGCATGCTTGACCACACTAAATATGCAAATATATACACACAAATTTATATTTCAAGAATCAATTTTTTTTTTTTTGTATTAAATTTAGAACATTGTTGATATATGCTAGAATAATTAAGACCCATGTGATGTTTGTAATAATTTGATAGCTTTCTTCCGAAAATAAATAAAACATTGCAAGAAATATTGTGGGGGGTGATGAATTAATAGCTGATCATCTTCAGCAGCCACTGTAGTTTACACACATTTGGATTTTTGTGGGCCAATAAAACACACAACAGTGTTTGGTTCTTACAAGAAACACCCCCCCCCCCCCCCCCCCTCCCTCCAGATTCATCCAACCCCATTAATTGAATCACGTTTCACCAAATCAAGACACAAGAATGACAAAAGCCGTTTTCATTTCCTTACTCAATTTCACTTTCCTTAACTGTGAATTAAATCACAACCCCCCCCCCCCCCCTCTCTCTCTCTCCTCTCTTTCTCTCTCTCTATCCTCTATGTATATTTTTATTTTAGACATTGTGGTGGCATTGTGGTAAATAATAGGAAGACCATGAGTGAATATCTTAATGTGGGTGTATAAATACGAGGGCCTTCCTCAATCCATAGTCTTAATTCTTCCTACGAAAGCTATACTCTATCTAAATCTCCCTTTTAGAAGTTCCTGTTTGGCTGTTCACTCACTTAACCAAAAAAAAAAGAAAAAAGGAAGCCCTAATAATTATTACAGCAAAGTTGCAGTGAGGCAGGCAGTAGTACTTTCGATCGGTTACTGTGAATTAAAGCATGAACCATCCTCCTCAAGCCGATGATGAAATGGTACTCTTGTCTCAGTACTATCCTGACGACGACGCCATTTACTCACACTTCGTACCTCCTCAGCACCACCCCCAAGGTAATACACATATACATACATACATATATATGTATATATATCTTTTATTACATACAGATTCCTGCTTGTCTGTCTGACACGATCTGTATCTATATCTGTATATATGTATGTATTTGGACTAATGTTGATTGATTTTTGGTAATTTTGATTACAGCGGCGACGGCGGCGGCCGGAAATTCGAAGCCGCGGCGGCGGAGGAAGAAGAATAAAGGTGGCGACGGCGGCGGCGGCAGCGACGGGATTATGAGGAAGAGGAAGCTGAGCGAGGAGCAAGTGAGTTTACTTGAGCAGAGCTTCGGCGACGAGCATAAGCTTGAGTCGGAGAGGAAGGACCGGCTGGCGGCGGAGCTCGGCCTCGACCCCCGTCAGGTCGCCGTCTGGTTTCAGAACCGCCGCGCGCGGTGGAAGAGCAAGAAGCTTGAGGAAGAATACTCTAAGCTCAAATCACAGCACGATTCTGCCATCATCGACAAATGCCGCCTTGAGACTGAGGTAATTAATACTTCTTGAAATCTATGCTCATTTTTTTTTTTAAATTATCATAAAAAAATTTATTTTATTTTTTTTACAATTATTATTCAAAATTTGTATCCGATCAAATAAATACAAGTTAGAATGACAGAGGAGTAATTAATAATCTTTAGCTGTTTTAAAACAATAAATTACAATTTGGGGAAAAAAAGATTCAATTTTTATTTTTGAGTTTTTGAGAAAAATTTAAAAGATAAATTGTTGATATTTGAGGTGCATGCACTACATTCCAGAAAAAGGTGTCTCTTCCACAATTCATCAAGGCCCATTCGAAATTAGGACACTCTATAATTGAGTCTGCCAACAGATAGATATATATAGATAGACAGATACATTATATAATACACACACTTTTCTGAGGTTTCTGTCCACCATCCGTACACTTTGTAATTGAGCACCACATGCACTTCCCCCGACACGTGTACGGTCCAGATTCACCGACCCGACTTTCACATTGTGCGGTTTCAATTTTGACCTTATGCTAATCCGTTGACCAACGTACAGCTCGTGCAGCTCAAGGAACAACTCAACAATGCGAAGATGGAAATCCAACGGTTGACGGAGCGAATGGACGGATTTTCAAGCAATAGCCCGAGCTCGTCGTTTTCAATGGACGCTATAGATCATCCGCCCTATTTCGGAATGGACGGTCTGGATAGCGTCTTCTACCAAGTGGGCCCCGACAACAACGTTAATTATGCTCATGGGATGGAATGGGACAACCTATACTATGTGTAAATTAATTAATTAATTATTAATTAATTACATTAGTAATTATTACTGTTATTATTATTATTATTAGCAATTAATAATGTGGGTAATTAGTGGGGGCAATTTCTGTAGATAGGCTACTTACTGACTAATCTCCTGTAAATTACTGCCGAATTTTCCACTTGGCTTTCTGGGGTCGTTTAATTAGCTAATTAATTAAATTAATTAATTATTAATTTGGCAATGGCTAGCAATTATTATGTACGAACAGTAATTATTAATTCTTGCTTTCTTGACTTGACTTGTGTCGTTACAGCATTTGTCGTATTTATGGCACTAATACTCGTGATTAAAATTAATTAATGATTAGTGCTTTAATTGTGTGATTAGTGGGAAGCACAAGGCATTGCAAGTTGTGAATAAGCAGACAAAGAATTTACCCAATTCTAACCAAATTTAATTTAATTATTGGGAATGGATAATAAACATTTGTGGTAATTAATTTATTAAAGTAGAAAACATTTTTCAACATTTAAGGATTTTTTATTTTTATTTTTTAAAAAAAGGTGGTTTCTTGCAGGAAGCAAACTTTTTCGTTTTAGTGCACTGTTTACATTTTTCACGCAACAGTTGGATGATTGAGTTGAGTCTTTTTCGATTCACTTATGTTGTAAGATAAAACTGAATTTGGGCCCCATATCGGAATTGTTATTGTTGGTTGATTCTGTTTGTAAATAAATAATTAATTAATACTATATCCTAACGTAATATCAGAGACAATGTAATATCAGAGACAATCAGCTTAACTTTTTAGTGAGACGGTCATTTATACCATTTAACCATTATTATTATTATTTTGTTTGAGTGATTTATAACGATGATTTAATGTAATATTTGTGTTTTGTTGATTATGAATAGAAAGATTTGAATGTGTAAGTGTGTGTGTGTGTGTTTTTTTATTCAATAGCAATAGATACTCTTTCGTTCCATATTATTATTCCCTCTGTCCATCTACTATTTTTATATTTTCAATTCCGTTCGTCCTCTTATTCTGTCACTTTTTTATTTTGGAAAAAAAATTATATATTTTAATCTTACTTTAAATTTTTTTTATTTATATTTTAAAAAACTTTAATTAGACTATTTAATTATTTTAATTTTTATTTATAATTATTTTTATTATACGATAATTATTTTCACTAATATATTTTTAATTATTTACTAATTATACATTTTTTAAATTCTCGGGTTACATTAAAGTGAACATGATTGCCGGGACGGGAGGGAGTATTATTTTCCATTTTTGTTCTATTTTAAGTCTAATATTTTCTTTTTACGTTTTGAACATCTTGGCCCTGTCTTCTTGTATTTTTGTTTATTTTTTTCAAAAAACAGTATATCTAACACCCATTTTGTATATAAATAATCATTTTAATTTTTTATTTTTTATTTTTTTTCATTTTCAAATTTTTTGAAAACGGAATTCCAAAACAGCGAAAACACAAAAGCACATTCCTTTCGCTTTAATACTTCCAACGTGGAGAAAATCGTGTATTTATTTAAGGAAAGAATTTGGGCTGATTATTTAATGATAAATATTGGGCCGGGCTATCTGAAGTTGTATTGGTAGGCTCAATTATGTTTTATTTAATTTGGGCTGGCCGGCTTTTGTTTTAAAATAATACTAAAATTTTAAACTGTGATATTTTTATTTGATATTATATAACTATTTGTTGATGCAATACTTTAAATATAAAATTAAATTTTAATTTAATATAATAAATTTAAAATAAGTATTTGATTTAAATTTTTTTAAAAAAAATAAAATAGTAAAATCGAAATATTTTTTTGTTTTTTAAAAAATGTAAATATATATATATATAATATATACTATCTTTATCCCGCCAAATATATTCAATTTTCTTTTTATTTGGCCAGTTCAATATAGTTTGCTATTTCATCCGTTTCTTAACAATGTATTCATTTTTTTATTTTGGTCTGTTCCATAAAAAAATATTCATTTTTTTATAGTAATTGTACTATCTATCTAACATTACGAATACCCTCCAATTTACAATATATTACACAAATGTCATTACCTTTATATTATACAATACTAATAGGGTTAATTTAGTCTTTTTACTTTTATGTCTACTTTATTCCAATATAATACTAATATTTCTTAAACTCCATATAAAAAAACAAATTGATATATAGATATGAGACGAGGAGTATTATTTTTGAACAAAAATATATCAAAATTTTAACATTTAACTCTTAGCCAACTGTCAACATTTATTTATTATAATTTTTATTATTTTTATTTATTACTCTCTTCGTACCATATAATATGGGTGTATTACTGTAAACACGTAAATTTAGGTAAAGTATAATTAGTAAGTAATTAAGAAATATATTAGTAAAAATAATTATTATTTAGTAAAAATAATTATAGACTAAGATTAAAATAACTAAATAGTTTAATTAAGATTAAAAAAATTTAAATTTTAAATTTTAAAATATGATTAAAGTGTATAATTAATTTTCCAAAAAAGAAAAGGACAAATTATGTGGGACGGACAAAAATATAAAATAATGACAAATTATGTGGGACGGAGGGAGTATTTCTCTCCACTAGTTTGCAGGGTATAGGTTTGATGGAAGTTTACCCAATATGCACTTCGGATAGCGACCGCGGATTCCCACGTCATCCAAAAGAAAGAAAATTAAAAATGGCTTCACTCTCTTTTTATTTTTATTTTTTTATCATTTTTAAATATATCGGATCCAAATAAACTATTTTTATTGGAGCTAATATATAATCATAATATGTAGTACTTCCTCTATTTTGATTAAAGATATTATTTTTACTATTTTTGCTTATTTTATTCCAAAGTATTAATTTTATATTATAATAAAATAAATAACAAATATACAATTATAAATAAAAGACAATGGATAAAAATATTAAAATTGTCTTACATACTTCAATTAACTAATAAAAGAGTAAATTATATAACACACATTGTGTTTTAGTAAAAATGCATAAAATACTACGTGAAATTCTCATATGTTAATATAAAATTTGCATGAAACATCCTTCTTGTCCAGAGCTCATATTTGATTCTAAATAAATACCTAAATTATGCAAGTTTTATAAAAAATAAAAAGTGTAAAATATTTTAAATAAGTTTTAAAATAAAATAAATAATAAATAACTGATTAAATCATTTATTTTTATAGATTTTATAAATATAAGATAACAATTTGTCTGCCAAAAATTATAAAATAATTAATTAATCAATTATTTATTTATTTTTATTTTATTTTAAAAATTTATTTAAAATATTTTTTATTTTTTATTTGTATAAAACTTGTGTAATTTATATATTTATTTAAAACAAAAAATTTGGACAATAAACATGTTTCATGAAAATTTTATATTAAGACAAAGTGTTTCACGCAATAAATAAAACGCAGAGTATTTTAAATATTTTTACTAAAATATAAGGAGGTGTTATATAATTTACCCGTAATGAAATACCATGAAAATTTTAATGTGTAGTATTGAAATCAATGTTATTAATAATTATCACAATTGATTATCCATGATTATGACCAACTACTAACCACAATTACAAAAACAATTAGCAGAGTGCTAAAGTTGACGGTGATTCAAACATGTTTATTTTATTTTATTTAATTTTTTATTATTAGTTTTTGAAATTTAAATTTTTGATTGGTTTGGGTTTAATTTTTTTTAAATAGCTGATATAAGTATATCAATAGCTTGATATAATATTTTGTATAAAAAAAACACTATAATTTTATTATAAAGTAATTATTAAGAGTGATAAAAATTTCAAATAAATACAACCATAATATTTGGATTTTAGCCTACAAATTTAAATTTTAAATATTAGTATTTGATGTAATAGTTTGTGAAAAAAAATATATATTTTATGTGATATTTTTACAAAATTAAATATCAAAATATCCAAAATTGTTGTGAAAATAGAATTTTGTTGCATCTCAAATTTTTATAGATTTGAGGTGTGTTTGATTTACGTCTCAAATTTTGGGTAAATCTTCGCCCAAGCGTAAGGTGTTTTGGACTCACGATCTCACGGCCATGAGTCCACCCTACATCGATCATCTTTTGTTATATAAAATGTTAAATTTTTTATAAAATAATGTTTACATTATTTATATTTTATTAAAATATAATTTTAAAATATTTTAATTATATATATATATATTATATCATAAGCCAAATTGCAACTAAAGAAATTACTCGTAATTACATGAGTTTTGCACAAATTTCAAAATAGTAAAAAAATTATATATTTTATTTAATATTTTCTGTAAAAGAAAAGTATATTTAATACAATATTTTTAAATAAAAATTTGTGAATAGTATAAAAATTGTAAAAACATTGTTTGTTTGTCCAACAAAATTTTTTCTAATAAGATTTTTTAAAATTTTATTTTATTTTATTTATTTTTTTATAATGTGGGAACCCACAATCGCTACCCGAAAGTACTAGCACACATGATAAATCCCAGTCGAATCTAATATCGTTTAAATTAGATCCGATAAAATAAATCACCTTAGACGAATCATATATGACAGGTGAATTTGGAGGCGTCGGGATTTGAACCCATAACCTCACAGTCATAAGTTTGCTCTTCACATTTAATAAGATTTTCAATATATGTAATATATACTATTTCATCCCAAATATCCTATAACATTTTTATTTTTTTTTATCTATTTCAAATACTGTAACATTTTTTAAATAGAAAATAATTTTATTTGAATTTTTAATAAATATTCGTTGATCTTATCATATCAGCAAAATATATTCCTATACATTTTTTTTCTCATCAAATTATATAATTATTAAATTATCATTTTTATTATGGCGTGGGAACCGCATTCGCTACCTGTTAAATTATCATATTTAATACTATCAACTATTGCTGGAGTTCCATTTAAAATGACTCATTTTATTTTGGACACATTATTTAGGTAATATGATTTAATTAGTTAATAATAGTGAGTTACAATGTTATTTTATTATATTTTTAAATAAGTGGTATAGTTAATAATTTTAAAATAAGAATTAATATATATATAATTAAAAAATTCTAAATATGTGTTTAAATATTTTATATCTCAATTAAATATATGTAATATAAATATTATTTTTTAAAAATTAAAATTTTAAATAATACAAGTAAAAAAATATTTATTTATTTATAATCAAGATAAATCAATTTTATAAAAAAAATAAAGTTCTAAATGTAAATAAAAATATTTATTTATCGAAGAGAGATAAAAATGATAAGTTTTGAATTATCCTACATGGTGTATAATATCATATGTTATAAAATTAATTAAATTAATTTATATTTATTAAGTATGTATAAAACTTCATAAAAAAAAAATAGAACCGTGTTCATAGTAAAAAAACAAATAAAAAAAATAAATAAAAAAAATTAAAATGAGACAGAGGCAGAGAAATATTAACTTTTGTACCAAAAATCAAATATTGCAAAACTATATTCAATTATTTCATAAAAGATCAACATTTAAAATAAAATATATTTTATATTATCATAATTTTTTTCATATTTTCTATAATTTTTTTTTTTTTTTATTTTAAACTAAAATATTAACTAAACAAAACCGTAAATATTAAGAGCTATTAATACACACAAATCCAAACCTTAACCAAACGTATTATTACCTACCTTTTGGATATATACTATTACATTTTCTTATTAATTTTTTTCTTTAATATTATTACATAAATAAAAAAAATAAAAAATTTAATATTCAATATATATATATAACAAGAAAAACATTTCCCTCTTACTTCATTCACTCTGTCTCAATTCAAACACACTTCCAATCCACCCCAAGAGCAAACCCAATTAAAAATAAAAATAAATAAAAACCTCTTCTTTCTCCATTTACGAGCTCCAATTTTTTTTTAGCTCTTCTGGCGGTACACTAAAATTCCTCACCAAAAATGGCTGATCAGGAGGGACTCTCCGAGCTGCCGCCGCCGCCTGCTTTCCATGGGCCGACCGCGGCGGCGGCGGCGGATGCTTGGGGCTTCGTCGGAAATATCGATAAGAAGCTGCTGGTAGACGCGCGCAAGCTCGTTATTGGGCCGATGATAAGCGAAGGGCACCATTCTGTTGTGTACGAAGGGAGGTCAGTTCTTCTTCTTGATCCTCTCCAAAGATTTTTTTTTTTTTTTTTTAATTTTTTAAAATTATTTTGGCATCCATGATTGTTGTTTCGAGTTTTTGAAGGTTATCACTGTAAATTAATGTCGTCTTTCATTCGGCGTGCATGTTGTTATTTCTGGGCCTGATTAGTTGTCTGTGAAGTTTGTTTTGTTAATCGTCGTCTGATTTTGATTTCTTGGTGTTGTTATATGATTTGATTTCTAAAAAGGTTTTAGTTGTGGATTGTTGTGAACTTTGAAGAATAGATTTGATTCTTTTGTTCTTAGGATTTAACCAGGTTTTGGTGAAAATTTGCCATTATTACATTGCCATTGTTAGATTTTGTCGTGAGAAATGATTGCAATAATGGCTGATGCAGGATGGGGATGCAAAGTTCGACTTATTCTTGATTTAGGGATTAGTTTGTTCGTATATGTGTTGATTTTTTGTGTTTGATTCCTACTTATTTCGTCAGCATATCGGTTCTCGGTGGGCGCAAAACCGAGGGCTGAGAATAGCAATACCGACGATGAAAACAAAACCTCATTAGTTTCGAAATTTGCTTTGGATAGGAAAGAAAGAAAGAAAGAAAGTTTTGTAACGCTTGCGAAAAAGGCTCATGCGGTGGTTTTCATTTATCGTCGCCCCTTGTTTTGTATAATCACGTCATTTACAAAATCGAATAATCTTTCTAACAAGATTTTTTATGTAATGTTGTAAGAATTAAATTACGGGTTGGTGTTAGTTGAGTTGTAAAACAAAATGCATTAAATTTTTGCGCACATAATGTTTAATGACGTAAGGGCGAGGAAAAGGAGCCGGATTATCGTGCTTTATGCTCTACTTTACCTTTAGAAGAACCTCTTGACGGTCGACACGATTTTTATTGTCATGCATGTGTTGAAAACGATTGTGCATTGTTTATCTAAACCATTTTTGTCGGTTTGAAAAGTTTTCGGTGTGGTAAGCAAATGAAGTAAAATGTTTTTCTGTGTTCTCTATACTTCTTCCTTAATTTACGCCACATTTGGTTCCCCTTTCCCACCAACATGTTTATCAAATCCCGGGTAATGTTGCTGCATTCGTTATTGACCGAGACATCTTAAAGACGGTTCAAAGTGATTAGCAAGATGTAGAAATCTCCAATGCTTTTAAAAGTGTAATCTTTGTACAATAGCAATGGCAATATTAGTATCCTTGTCGCATAGCTTAGATGTATCGGTAGATGTAAATTTTCTTGTTCCATTTGCGAAAATCAGGAACTTTCATGTTAGTCCGTGTATGAGTTCATCTTCTTCGTGATAATTGGATCTTGATTAGTTTTGTCTGAATTGATCAAATGTTGGAACCGACTCGACTTATTTGTAGAGTAGGATTTTGTCGAGGTTTGATTTTGTAAAGTTTTATGTCGATTACTGGAAATTGTTGAATCTTTTGCAGGTACAAAAGCACTCCTGTGGCTGTCAAAGTGATGCCGTCAGATATGCCATCGCCGGAGAGTCAACAGGGGAAGCTCAATCGGGAGGTTCTGATGCTTTCGAGAGTAAAACATGACAATGTTGTGAAGGTATGAATGATAAAGTTGTTGATTTTTTTTTTCTTAGTTTTAATTCTATCGAGCAACATTTGTGCCGCACTTTATGTTTTCTTATGACATGTTATGTTTGTTTGGGCAGTTCATTGGGGTTGTTCTAGAGCCGACACTTATGATCATCACCGAGCTCATGAGAGGAGGTACATTGCAAAAATACTTGTGGAGCGTTCGTCCCAATCGCCTCGATCTTAAGGTGTCGATACGTTTCGCGCTAAAGATATCGCAAGCAATGGAGTATCTTCACCAGAACAGAATCATCCACCGTGATTTAAAACCGAGTACTAACATTCATTGTGCATTTTGGAAATTTCAAAAATTTTGAAAATTGTAAGATTTGTACATTGAGTACTAATCATGGTATTGCTGCAGGCAATCTGCTTCTTACAGAAGATCATAAGAAAATCAAAATAGCTGACTTTGGATCGGCTAGAGAAGTGTCGGATGATGAGATGACAGTCGAGGTTGGAACCTATCGCTGGATGGCCCCTGAGGTATCATCGTCTTCATTCTTCAATCACAATTGTGTTCACAGAGCTTAATCTTTCATCAATGGCGGTTTAATTAACAGCATTTTTTTTTATTTAAAAAAAACAGATGTTCAATGTAGATGGTCTGCGTCCCGGCGCGAAGAAGCATTACGATCACCGAGTGGATGTCTACAGTTTCGCCATGGTTCTGTGGGAGCTTCTCACGAATCGAACTCCATTCAAGGGCAGAGACAACATCTTAGTGGCATATGCTGCTGCAATGGTAGCGGTTAATCAGACAGCCTCCGAATTTGTCTCTTTATAGAATCGACTGAATTATTACTGCTGTTGTCTTTCTTATTGCAGAATCGAAGGCCGAGCGTGGACGACATTCCGGCGGGGATCGCGCCGTTCCTCAAATCTTGCTGGGCAGAAAATCCTGAAGATCGGCCCGAGTTCCAGCAGATCACAAAATTCCTGGAGGATTTCCTCCGCGCCATGACCAAGCCTTCTCCGAGGTTGTCCGGCGCGGAACATTCGAGCAGCAACGTCGAAAAAGACGAAGAATCCACAGGCGCAGAATGCTCGCCGGAGCAGCCGAAAAAATTCCACCGGAGCTTCTCCGTCCGGCTGTTCCATCGCTTGGGCCGTTGCTTCTAGAAAGTGAGGTTTCGAAATTGGGATCGGTCTTGTAAATAATCTTATCAGAGACAAGATTCAGTTGACTGTCGAAACGTTTGGATAAAACTCAATAGGAAGATTCAGACAAGTGGCAATCGAATTCTTGATCCAACCTAAACCCTCAAGAACAGTACTCCCTTCCTCCCCTTTTATCTAATCATCCCAATACAAAACGAGCGCATTTCCCAGCAGTCAATTCAGAGGGGCGGCGCCGCGGTGGTGGGCGGCGGCAGCAGCAGATCCATACCATATTAAACAACGTTATCCATCATCCATCCACACCCTTTCTTCCATCTGGGCCCCCCTCTCCCCCCACATCTGTCGCCCTCCCAAACCCTACCCCCCTCCGATTACCATTTACAATTTACCCACCCCCGCTGTCAATTTCACGGCGTTAATTTTAACTGTTCCGTCACTATTACTGCCCCTCCCTGTTCATTTATGATGCGTTCTGGGTAGAAGACGGTTAGTTTTCTCTGAGAATTGGGGCTTTGGTTGTTTAGGTTCAGAATTTTACAGAGTAGAGCTGTATTTGGCAAGAATTAGATCTCAGGGAAAGAGTGCGTGTCGAGTGTATTTTGGCGCTACGTTAGTATAAAAATTATTGACAACCCCAAGCAAGCAAACCTCGTCCGTCCGAGTTGGACTTCTTTCCATCCACCTCACTGCCTCCACACCAGGCCAGTTCCCTCTCTCTCTGTACCTCTCTCTCTCTCTACCTATCAGTTTCCCTGACCCCTTGTATGTATTAACAGAAGACAGGCCATACAATCCAGCAGGAGTTGAATGTTTATTCAATTCATTACCAACGCTTGTATTGATTGTTGATTTAGGGATTTGGGGGCTGTGGGTTTCCTCGGATGTGAATTGATTTAAATTTGTTGCTCAATTCTTGATGAAATTGAACTTTTGTAAAGCTTTTGGTGGGATGATTGGGAATTTCTAGATTTTTGCTAACTACGAGAGAACTGATGGATTGAGGTTTTTGTCGCTTGTTTATAGATAGGTGATGTGTTCTTGTTAAAGTTTCTAGTTCAGTTATGCTGAGGATAGTTAGAACATTTGCCTTTTTAAAGATTTTTAGGAACAATTGGTTTTATGATTACATGTTTAGGAATATGACTGAAGTATTTATCTATTTGTTACCAAATTTGATGATTTTTGTTCAACTGTCAGGAAACCCTAACCCCAGTCTACTTTTCCTCCCACTCATTTATTGATTAGTGCAGTTTGGTTGAGATTTGTATGCATCTGTTTATGGAGTGTAATTCTGAGCTACTTTTGTTTTCTATCCGCCCTATCCCTGATTTTTGCATTTCACTTGAATGGTGTTCTGTGTTGTTGTCATTCACCTTCTGATATTATCATCGATTCCTCTGACATGAATTGTTTTTAACCCTTTGGAATGATCTAATGAGTATCTACATTAAGTATGAAATCCTATCTTTATATCTTTAGTTGAATTATCATCCTGCATATACATACCTGTTCTTCAGTCGAGTTAATCGCATTTTTAGTTAGGGGTTTTGCAGTAGAAGGTGTCAATGCTGCTGTTTATCATCATTCTTGTGCAGATAATGGATTAATGGATTTACTGTAAACCAGTATCTTGGAATCCAATCATGGATTCTTCATTTCTTTCTTTCTTTCTTGTTCAGGGCAACAATACAGTCTTACAGATATGAGAAATTGCAACTTCATTCATTTAAATCCATTTAATCTTTCTCTAGTAGATTAAGTGAGTTTCTGACAGTAGACATACAATTTTTCTCCTATGCCGAATGATCAGGTTCGCAGAAATTTCCAACTACAAAACTCAAGCTGTTCTAACAAGAAGATCGATAGGCCATAGAGTTTGCAGTCTTATACTCCAATGGGACCTGGGGAAGAAGGCACGCCTACAAAGTCTTCCAAACCTGCATCCTCGGTGCAGGTTTATTTTTCAAGAGTATCTATAATTTTCATCGTTGTTTACGTGTGGTTTTCTATTAAAATCCCTAAGCTTCTTGAGACTAACTAAACTGAATGTACAGGAAGCTCCAAGTATGCCTGCTACACCTGCATATCCCGATTGGTCGAGCTCTATGCAGGTTTTATATACTTATCCAGATTGAATCTCTTTGATCTTTCATTCTTTGGTTTAATCGAATATAATCATACCATTCTTTCACAGGCCTTTTATGGTGCTGGAGCAACGCCGCCATTCTTTGCTTCAACGGTTGCTTCCCCCACTCCACACCCATTCCTATGGGGAGGCCAGGTAAGTATGATGAACTATGGGGCTTTTAGTCAGTAATTCGATGAAAATTTTAGCTCCCGAGATCTAAATTTGAATTATTTTGCAGCATCCTCTGATGCCGCCTTACGGGACACCGGTTCCATATCCGGCGCTGTATCCTCCTGGAGGAGTCTACCCTCACCCTAACATGGTTGCGATAATAGTTTAAAGTGATTTTGTCGATTTGGGATGAAAAATCTTTGATCTAAGGTGTTTGTTCTGTTCTCTTTTCAGGCACCAGGCAATGCACCTGGAATTCAAAATCCTGCGAGTGTACATGGAAATATCGGATTGGATGCAAAAGCCACCGAGGGAAAAGAGCGGGCTTTAGGCAAGAAAGCCAAGAGGACAGCCGGGCTCGGGGGCAAGGCAGGAGAAAGTGGAAAAGCTGCTTCGGGATCTGGCAATGATGTTGGCACGCAAAGGTCGGTCATTCAAGATCGATTAATTCTAGCCTTTCTAATGTGATTTTATAAGTGTATATTCATTGTATGTGAATTAATCGATGAACAGCGCCGAGAGTGGGAGTGAAGGCTCATCGGATGCGAGCGACGAAAATGATCAGGTCTTTTGTTCTACGACAATTGTTTTTGTCTTTCGACAGTTTGTTCTGAAGCAATTCTTCGATCTATATTGTAGGAATTTCCCGCGACCAAGAAAGGGAGCTTCGACCAGATGCTCGCCGATGGTAAGAATTTCAAGTGCCAATTTTGTTTTTCTTGATCTAGTTTCGATTCTGAGACTGTCCCGTGAAAATGTCAGGTGCTAACGCACAGAACAATGCGATTCCATCGAATTCTCAAGCTCCGGTCCCTGGAAATCCTGTACCTTCTGGACCTGTGACTAATCTGAACATTGGAATGGATTTGTGGAACCCGGCTGCTGGCTCCGGGTCGATGATGCTGCGCCCGAGTCCGCCGGGCGTTTCTCCGGGGAATCAATCTGGCTATGTTAGTGATCAGTGGATTCAAGTAAGTCCCCTTTTATTGTTTTTCTATACATCAAAATACACAGAGAAATGGAAATACGAGCTCGGATTTCACAGGACGAGCGCGAATTGAAAAGGCAAAAGCGAAAGCAATCCAACCGGGAGTCTGCTCGGAGGTCAAGATTACGCAAACAGGTTTGCGCCGTTGGCTAAATTTCGATCTACATTCGACTCTGGAAAAGCGATTGCTTACTACTACTCTTTTCGAATTCTTCGATTGCAGGCCGAGTGTGAAGAGCTGCAGCAGAGGGTGGAGTGTCTGATCAGCGAGAACCGAACTCTCGAAGAAGAACTTCAGAGGCTTAATGAGGAGTGCAAGAAGCTCGCTTCTGAGAACAACTCCATCAAGGTCCTCTCTCTCTCTCTCTATATATATATATATATGTGTGTGTATATATGCTACATGATCTGATTGCACCAATATTTGACAGGAAGAGCTAACAAAGCTTTGTGGATCAGATGACGTTCAGACAATGTAATAAAGCAGCTGCAGCCTCTCTGTGTTTGTCTCTCTGGTAGCAAGAAAGATGAGAGTTTAATTTACCTACTAATACCACACCATTAACGAATGTTGTTTAGTCTTATAGTATTATAGAGATCTCATTTGGGTCTGTCTGTTTTGTCTGTACAATTTAAGTTGTTGGATTTCCAGTGATTTGCTTGCTGTTGATGAAATAGGGTTTTTTTTTTTTTCTTTTCATTTTTTTGGAGGGGTTTGATCTAATTGGAAATAGTTTCTGCTTCTAATTAAAGACTAGGACAGACACGTAGACTGACAGATGGACTAATACTTCCAAGATGACGTGGCGACGATAGGCCTATTGTGCCAGCAAAGCAGCATCTCGGCCTGACGTTTCGCCACGTGGAATCCTCTGACTTGCACTCTTCTCAGCAGACACTCGGCTTGAAACTCCGCGAATTGGCTCGACCCGACTTGTCTCAGCCCCGCCGCCACCAGCGCCTCCTTACACGTCATTCCGCGGCGGGCCTCCGCCGCCGCCGCCGCCACCATCTCCAGAATCTTGGGGAACACGACGTATTTCTCGATGTTCTTCATCCAGTCTCCGGCGCCGTTGATGGTGGCTGCTTCCAGGGATTCGAGTAGAGTGGAGTAAAACTCCAGGCCTTCGATCACAACCTGCCGATAAGAGGAAGGCCCGGAGTTCATCTGACCTTCGGCGTCGACGTTCACCACCACGCTCGGGGAGATCTGCCGGAGATTGGTCAGGAACCCAATTCCGGCGCGGCGGAAGACCGCCGGCGATAAGATGGCCGCCACTTTCTCGCCGTGTGTGAATTTCATCGCCTGGAAATTTAGGTACTCGAAGGCTTTCATCGAGATGAAATCGATTTCACAATCGATGTTCAATTCTCGCGCGAATTGAGTCAAATTCTCCCTGATCAGCGCCGACTCGACGGCGTAATCGTCGGAAACAACGGCGGATATTCGCAGCGCCGGCACGGCGGCGCCGGCGCGCTTCCTTGATTCTGCCTTTTCGGCGAGCGCCTTCATGAACGAAGCCCACTGCCCACCCAAACCGACGTCGAAATCGACGACGTGGACATTATTGAAGGCCTCCAAAGCTTCGAGTACGGCCTGGTTCGCAGCGAAGCTGGAGAACATCGGTATCGGAGATATGCTGGAGAAGGTCTTCTGAGCTTTAATAGTTTCGATGATCTCCATAGAATCCGGCTGCCGGAGATCGGGTCGGGTCGACCCGGGAAGCATGGACCGGAGCGCTTCCTTGAAATAGAAGGCGGCGCGCTGGAGAGGCTCGCCGGCGGGGGAGCCGAGCCGCGGATTGAGCCGCGCCAGTATCGCCTGCCCTAACTGAAGCGAGTTGGTGTCGAAGCACTCGGCGAGTCGGATCAAATCGTCGAACTCGGAGCCGCCGGGGCAGACGGACTCGAAAATATTAGGGTTATGAAAAATCGGCACGGCGGGGTACGGCGGCGGAATTTCAGCGGCGAGGCCGAAATCAGCCGGCAGAAACTGATTCGTGTCGAAGGCGTTAACCGGCGGCGGCGGCAAGTCGGGGAAGGCGGAGTAGGAGTTGTTGGCCGGAATCTGGGGGTCGTAAGCGGAAGCAATTCCCGGCGGAGGTTTGGAAACAGGGGCAGAATCGTCATTCAAGCCCAATTCTTTCATCAAGGAGTCCCAATCGTCGAGGCGGTGGTCTGCAAAAGGGTCGTCCTGGTCGGAGCCGGCGAGGGAGCGGTGAGTGGCGTTAATGGCGGCGGCGGAGGGAAGAGGCTTCCGGGAAACGGGGCTGGGGCTCCGGCGGAGGTCGAGGACGGATTTGGGCTCGGTGGCGAGGGTGGATGGGGTATGAGGTGGGTTGTGGTCGGAAAACGGTACTTTCATTGCTTTGCTTGAAGGGGAAAAGTAGAAAATTGGAAAGGAAGAAAGGAACAAGGTCAAGGTGTAAAGAGAAGGATAGGACACAGACAGTCAGCAGTTTGCAAAGTTATGGTGGCGTCGCCAAGAGGAGGGCTGATCATTGTTGCCCTTTTATCTTTGCGTGTCTTGAGACTGGGCGGATCGGTGATTCTTGCGAGATCCAGGGATCTGGGAGCCAGGTGTGTCTGTTGATGCCGCTGGCGCTGAGGGTCCCTGGACCTCCCAAGAATCAGAGATAAAAAGACGATGATGGATGTAAATAGCTGAATTATTATCATTTTTTTTTATTTTTATTTTTATTTTTTTTTTTTTACTTTAATAGAAGCCGGCGCTTTTACCTAAGGAATGCATTTTGAGTAAATTCCAATCTATAAATTAGGTGGTTTAACAAAGTAAATTAGGTGAATCATAGGTAGCAAATGTTACGATCTTACTATTACAAATTTACTAAACACGCCAGCCATCAGATCATCTTTCACGAGAGTTTGAATTATTATTATTTGTTAAAATAAATGTAATTAGTGTGTATTGTGTATCCATGTATACAGTGAAATCAACAATTATAGTAGCTACCATATGAATTATTGCAGATGATATGAATTTTTAATTTATGCAATTATGTTTATATTATATTATATTATATATATGCTTTATTTGTTAATTTATAAGTGCGAGTTATATTTCCGTGTTTAGATAGTTAGGCAGGCTTAACATCAAGGGCTTTTGAGAATGAATTCTTGAAATAAGTTAGGATTGACAGTTGACAAACGAGTGATCCATTATTATAATTCATATTATTTCACTACCCTACATACAAATCAAAGATTATATTTCCTCCGTCTCATATCTATATACTCAGTTGCTTTTTCACGGAGTTTTAGAAATACTATTACTATTATATTGGGATAAAATATAAATAAAGTTAAAAAAACTAAATTAATTATATATTTGTATAATATATTGTAAATTAGAAGGGTATTTGTAATGTTAAGTAGATTGTACAATTACTAAAAATAGATAAATTATTAAGGGACGGAGGGAATACAAAATTAAATATTGAATAAAATATTTTATTGTAAACGGAATAATAATAATAATAATAATAATAATAATAATAATAATAATAATATCCTCATCTATGCATGGTTCACCTAGGGATAATAGTTGAAATTATGAAATTATTTTTTAATTTCATATTTAATCAAACCTACAAAATTTTAATATATATATATATATATATTAACAAATAAATGAAAAGGAGAGGTCCTCCTCCCTCGATCGAGACCAAATGGTTGTAGTGATGATTCTTGTGTGGTGTACAGTGAGTCATGTCATGTCCAAAGCTTTTTTTCCTTTTTTTTTTAAATAATAATAATAATAATAATAATAGAGGTGGAAATGTGTCCACCACTTTTCTTTCATTCCTTTTTCAACTTCTCATTTTTATTTTTTATTTTTTCATATTAATTCTACTAATTAATCAAACCATTTAGTTCTTGATTAATTATAAATTAAATGTATCAAAAAGCCTCCAATGTATTTATATATGTATGGTAACTCAATCCTATCTACATTTGCTACAAGGAAATTTTTACATTTCTAAAGCATAGCATATAATCATATTTCATTGCACGTTTGAGTTTGTTTAATTGCAATTTAATTTGAACGGAATAATTTATAAAAGTATATATATTTAAATAATTTTTATTTGTCCCGATGGATGGAGCTACTGTGAGCAAGGGGACTGGAAAAGGAATTAAGTGGCAGAGTAGATAGATATATTCGAAGGAATTGATGATGACGATAATGATAATGATAATGATAATACATATCTATATATCTGTCACAAAATATAATTTGATTGTAAGTATCATTCATTCACTCTCTCGACAAGCAGCATATTATTATTATCTTTATCTGTGATCCCTTCCCTTTTTTGATCATCTAATCATCGATCAATATTGTCGACTTCATTTCCTTTAATATGCACACCTAATTAAACATTTTAGTTTATTTTATTTATTATTATAGTTTATTGTTTACTATCTCTCATTTGTAGATAAATAAATAAATAAATAATAAATATGACAATTATTTATATTATTTAACATGGTATCAAAATCATAGATCTGGTATTCGAGTCTGATCTAAGATTAGTTATCGAAAAAAGAGAGCTTAATATTGTCACAAGCATGGTGAAAGGAACAGAACTTTAATTTGGTGTGCAAGAATATATTCTGCTGGAGACAATACACAACCAATTGCATGCATGTATATATATATATATATATACATTTGTGTATATAATTAATTAATTAATTAATTAATTATATATCTCCTTTTGTTTTTAACGTTCTAACTTTATTATTGGTAAAGCTTCCTCCACTTTCTGAAAGATGTTTTCCAGCTCTCTTTTTCTCTTTTTAATTAATTAATTATATTAATCGTAATCAATCAATCAACATATATTTATATATATATACATAAGAAAATTAATTAATTAATTAATTAATTAATTAATTATAAAACATGGATGGGATCATCACCTAAAATACATTTGGCAGCCATTAATGATGATCCATATTACATCATTTTATGCTCCAACCTTTTGCTTCTGAATAATTAGTATATACAGTCTGATATATATATATATATACATATATTTATATTTATATATTTTTTAAGAGAATGATCTGATGAATGTGCATATTTTTTAGTTATATCTTCTAGAGGCTTATTATAGAATTATTAACTGTAGGCATGCGTGATTCATGCCTATCTCAAGATTTTTTTATTTATAAAATCTCAGGTTCTTTTTTTTTTATATATATAAAAATATATAAATTATATAATTCTTTGTAAAATATACTATTATTTTATATATATATATATATATATAATACAAACCAAACAAATGGAAGATGATTATTGATTGTATGTGAAAAGAATATGTTGGGGAGGCTGTGCCTGTGGGAGACATTTTAATTAATTAATTAGAATGGATGAGGATTATTTTATTGTTATAGGTTTGATACTTGTATTTGTAAATTGTAATACTATAAAATTAATTATGAATAATTATATATCTGGTTACAGAAAATAAATTTTATTGTAAAAATTTTAATACTGCTCAGCAACGAAGTTTACAACATAATTTTATTGTTTTTTGTGACTAATTCCTAAACCAACCAAAAATTTCAAAACACTCTCAAATATATTTTAGCACAACCTTAGTTTTTTCAAAAAATAAAATATTATTTATAAATTAGGATCCATGAAACACACCATGGTAATCTCTTCCTCGTCTTTGGAAGTATCTTTAAATATATATTTTTTTTTAATAGAAAACAATGTTTGGGTATATTATTTTGATTGGAAAATATAGTAAGTAGAATAAAACTAATTAAACCATACTTATTTATTCTCAACAACCACAAACATATACATATACTAAGTACAAATATTTAATATTATATATATATATATTTTATTTAAGTATTACAGGGCTTTGATACCTGTCCGATGCGCAGAATGACTATCATACCTAAAAATTGATCAAACTTAAAAAAATATATATATTATTAATTCATTTATCCGCAAACAAAAGCCCAACAAAAATAACAATACATGCATCGTGTGTGTATATATATATAATTGAATACGCGGTTGTATGATCTCTAATATAATACATTGGCCAAAGAATATTTCTCTCTGGAATATTTCACAAATTTCAAATTTACCTTTTCAATTCTCTTGTGACGTAATATAATATATATAGAGAGATCCATTGTGATCACTATATATTCCTTCACTAATCCTCCAAATTATAATATTCATTAAAAAAAATTAAAAAAAAGCACAAGTTTGACAAAAAAATGAAAGAGACCGACTATAAGAGACACAACGCTATAAGAAAAAATTATTTTTGCAACAAAATTTTTTTGTCTCTAAATTTATTTTTTCCGTTACTAATGATATTAGAGACGGAATTAAGAATGAAATTACGTTAGCTACGTGAATTTTAGGGACATAATTTTGTTACAAATATATTATTTTTTTGTAGTGCAATCACAGTAAGAGAAAGTGTATATATGGATGAATTTGTGTACGTTCTTTAAGAAAAAAGACATTAGTTGGTGGTGGGTTGACTCAATAAATTTTTAGTTTATTCTGTTACCTACATACATACATACACGCCTAAAACGTGGGGTTAAGTCAAAATGCATTAATTACTATTAATTAATTGAGAAGAATATTAGACAGGCAATCAATTAAAGTGTAGTTTGTCACTACTTAGTTGCTAAGTTTCTCCTACACATTCACATCCACATATCTTGCCCCACACGGACTCGCAACATATGTATATATATATATATATATATTCAAATTATTGCTCTAAGCTTGTGCCACACAAAAGACACCCTCAAAAACAGATTCTCATCATCCACTTATTGTTATTGTTGTTATTATTATTATTAATCAATTTTTATTTATATTTTATATTTTAATTTTTATTTATTGAGTGATTTTATATATATATATTATTATTATTATATTAAAACAGACGCAAATCTTGGTTGTAAATATATGCCTAATCATAATTATATAAGTGTTAAAGCAAATAAAGTGTAAAATATCTTAAATATCATTTTTTTAATAAAATAAATAAATAAAATATTGATTAACACATCTCACAATTTATAAAATGACGGCGGTGAAATATGAAATGAAGAATTATTTATTTATTTATTTTATTCAAATAAAAATATTTAAGACATTTTACCATTTAAATTTACATAACTTTTGATGCATAGAGTATTGTGTGATATAACACCAGACCATTTTACACCATAAATAAAACAATAAATATTTATGAATTTATAATAAAATACATGTGGTTATTTACAATTTACTCTTAATTTATTAAATGAACGTTGCTTTTAAAATACAAGCGTTTTTATAAAGCCCAATTCATCCGGCCCATTACAAATAAAGGCCAACAACCCAAAACCTATTGGACTATTCTCAAGCCCAATCAACTCCAGCCCAAATTCTACATCAAGACAGCAAGTCCTGACCGCCCGCCACGTGGCATTTGCGAATGCATGCACAAAGCCACGTACGGTTGGGTACAGTCTGCGCTCCTCGCCGTCCCAAACAAAAGCCACGCCACGGCCGCGGATCTTAACACAAAAATGGCGACCGAAAATTCCCTTCGTGGCATCCTCTGCCTTCTGGTGCTTCTTCTGCCGTCTTCTTTGCTGTGCGCAGCCGCCGCCGGCGATCGTGGAGGAGAAGGCGGCTGCGCGTGGGCGCAGCGCGTGAAGAAGGAGCACAGGAGAAGACTGGTGTCTACCGAGGACGGAGAGATCTCAGCCGTCCGTTTAGCCGATAACATCAAGGGCTCATATTTGCTCCACTTCTTCACCTTGGAGCCCAACTCGTTGCTGCTGCCACTCTTGCTCCATTCAGACATGGTCTTCTATGTCCACACAGGTCTCCAAATCATCAACTGATTAATGATTCTTGCAATCAATATGGTTACGTTCGATGTCATATATTTAATTTTGCTGGGGAATTTGGATTAGGTAGTGGGAAATTAAGCTGGACAGACGATGGTGAACTTAAGAGCGCAGATGTAAGGAGAGGAGATGTCTACAGGCTGCAGAGGGGATCTGTTTTCTTGTTACAGAGCAATTTGGAGACCAAAATCGAGGCTCAGACAGAGAGATTGAAGCTCAGAGTTCATGCCATTTTTGCAGACGAGAAGGATGGGCTTCATGTATTAATAACCAGTTTCACATTCTGATTTTGCTATGTAATTAATGTGTTTGTCTTTTGGTAAATAGGTCTTAACGTTTTCGACCATCATCTGTGTAGGCATCGGAATTCGGGCCGTACACTAATGTCCGAGACATGGTTCTTGGATTCGACAAGAAAGTTCTTCAAGCAGCTTTCCAGGTAGCACTAACATGTATTTCAATGGATTCATTTATTACAGTCTACTTATGTTTGTGGAGTTTGAGGTTGTCATTTTAATTAGGTTTCTGAAGAAGTGATTGAAGAGCTATTCATCGGGATAGATACACCAGCAATCATACACGGGGTGTCCAAAACCGGTCGAACATTGTGGGATATTGAGACCCAATTCGTAATGAAACTTCTGAGGATCAGAAGCTTCGGAATATTAGATTCGAACAAAAAATCGAGGAGAAAATCATCGAAAATGTTCAATCTTTTTAAGGAAGATAAGGATTTTGAGAACTGCAACGGGTGGAGCACGACGGTGACGAAGAAGAAGCTGTCGGCATTGAAGGGCTCCGACATTGGCTTCTTCATGGTCAACTTGACAATAGTAAGCCGTGCTATTGGAAGAATTTGGAAAATTGTTAGAACAAATATTTAATTTTTGAAAATCGTCGAAATTGCGATGTGCAGGGGTCGATGATGGGGCCGCATTGGAACCCCAAGGCGGCGGAAGTGGCGGTGGTTTTAGAGGGCCGGGGAATGGTGAGGGTGGTGTGTCCAGGTGGCCAGAAAGAAACTGCGGCAGCATCGTGTAGGAACACGAGTTTTAATGTTGAGGAAGGGGATGTGTTTGTGGTGCCGAGGTTTCATCCGATGGCTCAAATGGCATTCAACAACGAGACGTTAGTTTTTGCGGGGTTTAGCACGTCGGTGAATCATAATCACCCTCAGTTTTTCGTGGGACAGGCTTCAGTGCTCCAAACCTTGGACAAAGATGTATTGGCTATGTCGTTTAATGTCACAAATACGACACTGGATCAGCTGTTGGCGCCTCAGCGCGATGCGGTGATCTTGAGTTGTGTGTCGTGTGCAGAGGTGGAGCTGAGAGTGATGGAAGAGGAGAGGCAGAGGGAAAAAGAGGAGGAAAGGAGACGGAAAGAGGAGGAGAGAAGAAAAGAGGAAGAACAAGCCCGAAAGAGAGAGGAGGAGGAGGCTAGGAAGCAAGAAGAAGAAGAGAGGAAAAGGCGGGAAGAAGAAGAGGAGGAGGAAAGAAAGAGACAAGAAGAAGAGAGAAAAAGAGAGGAAGAAGAAAGGAAGAGACAAGAAGAAAAGAGAAAAAGAGAGGAAGAAGAAAGGAAGAGACAAGAAGAAGAGGAGAGAGAGAGACAAGAAGAAGAAAGGAAGAGACAAGAAGAAGAGGAGAGAGAGAGACAAGAAGAAGAAAGGAAGAGACAAGAAGAAGAGGAAAAGAAAAAACGAAAAGAAGAAGAAGAAGAGATGAAAAGGGAGGAAGAAGAGAGGAAACGGGAAGAAGAAGAAAGGAGAAAACGGGAAGAAGAAGAAGAGATTAAAAGGGAGGAAGAAGAAAAGAGAAAATGGGAAGAAGAGATGAAAAGGGAGGAACAAGAGAGAAAGAGGAAGGAGGAAGAAGAAGAAGAAGAGAAAAAACGGCAACAAGAGGAGGAAGAAAGGCAAAGGGAGGAGGAGGAGCAAAAGGCCGTAGAAGAGGCCAAACGGAAGGAAAAGGAAAGGAGAAGACGGGAAGAAGAGGAACGGGAGCGTGAAGGAGAAGAAGGCTATGAACCATGGGGAGGCCAATCAGTGGCAGAAACCATGTAATAACTGGATGAACAACAATCGCAACCAATCCTCAAGAAAATCGATTGCCAATGCCGCCTTCAGGCTCTACTATTTTCTTTCCGAATAAATCTGCCTGTCATTTCCTGTGTTGTGTAGTATGTAAAAAGTCTCCTACTGTAATAATCCTCCATCCTTCAAGCAGCCCTTTTCCTTGCAACTGATCTCCAAACACTATAGCGAAAAGTACACTTATAAGTCTGAAAAAAGTGATTTAATTTCACTAAAAATCCGCTGCCAGAAAATGAATGTAACAGTAGCATATAGCAGCACAGATCAAACTACTAACCAAAGAGTTCAAAATGGGAATCCAGCAAAAGGGAAGGAAAATTTTTCAGGCATCAATTGGAGCAGAAACAAAAGAAACAACAACAGTTAGATCATCAAGTTTACCACCATAGTAAGTAAATCCAGCTTGTTGAGCTGCCATGGAAAATGGTGTCTGCATTTTCTTGTCTAACGCCCTTGCACGTGCAATCGTAGCGATCTTCTCGGCCGTGGCGTCGGGCCCGAGACCTTCCCTAACTGCATCTCCTACAATGGCTGCTATCTCTTTATTGTATAAGTTGTCAAATAGGCCGTCGCTTCCTGCAACTACTACGTCTCCGGGTGCAACTGAAATCTTGAAAACCTGGGGAGAGATGGAACAGCACAATGTTAAAGTAATTTTTTTCCAGAAAATTGATCAATCTAGTTTTAGAAGGGCCGGGCGATAGACCTGCCCGGAGCTTGGTGGATCACTCCGATTACTCCGTTCGAGTTGATATGTGAAATTGAATCCATGTTGTTGAACAGGGGATTCGAAGATCGTGTGCCCGCCTCTGACGATGATAAATCCACTGTCGCCGAGATTAATGGCGTGAATGTCCTGTTTACATTCGACATGTTCGGTTAGAATCCGTAAACCTTGTAATAACATTAAAACTAAAATTGAGCAGACTTGAATCAAAATCTGGTATTGGAGACACCAAGAATTTCGACTAGTTAACGCCTAAGGACCTCAGAAGCTTTTCACATAACCTAAACTACACAATTTTTTCTAAAGTTCCAGGGAAAGAAAAATATTGATATGCCTTGAATTAGTTTGTCACTTAGCCGAGTTTTACTGACAGTAATGAGCTTTTAAGTTCGTATTGGACTGAGCTCGTGTGATGTATTTTCTTAGTTTATTTGAATAGACTTAGAGATATGTAATCTAGGTTAATCAGACCTAGCATCCCTCAATAAATCTTATCTACTGTGGACATAGCCAATACGTTGGTGAACCACGTAAATCTATGTCTTTTTTACATTTTTTTGTTTGTTATTCGATCATTAATTCTAATCCGTTACAACAAAAACAAGTGCACAACAGATTACCATTTCAAAGAAACTAATTGCAAGAACAAAATTTTAGCCGTTAATGAGCACAAGATTTTGAGCATATAACTATGATAAGATAGTAACCTGATCTTTTAGTGCAACGATGCAGGCGGTGGAGGAGCCCATGGCATTGGTTGCGGCGTGTGCTTTTTCCAACACAAGCAAGGGATCAACATCACTGTCCGGCGATTCTCTAATTGCTCTGACTGAATTATCCATCAGTTCCCGGGCATATTCTCCCGCATTAACACCAACATCTGCCCATCCACCAACCCCATCAGCTACACCAATGACTTGCTCGTCGACACATATAAAATGAGCATCCTCGCCTCCCGTTTCCACTTTAGCTGGATGAGGCCAATAACAAGCTCCAGACAGTAGCTTCACCGTGTTCTTGCTCGGAATTCTCCTAGAAAGAAAATGAGCTTATCAATATATCTAGCAAGACAAGTTTAAACAAATGATTACCGAATTTGAAAACAAGAATAATACAAAACAAGAAATCTTTACATACTTTTCTGTTGAAAGTGCGAGACTTGAAAGATGTTCGATACCAATCGAACCATCCTTTGACACTTCAGGCACAACCCCATCAGAGTGGCACAAAGATGAGAATGTTCGACCATCACTCATTCCTTTCGACAAACTATAAAATGGCTTAAAATCACGCATAAAACATCCTCGACCGCCAAGGCTTTCCCTGTATCCGTTGCTCATACTCACCATAGCCTTTCCACACATCATATTACTCCTTTTACTGTAGAAAACACTACCAGGCTTCACAAAACTGGTCATATCCCCACAACCAGAAACCAAAGCATCAACTACAAGATCTCCAGAGGGAACAATCGAATTCGACGCCATCATAATGTTTCGATACCTCTGGTTGCCTGAATTTCTCAACACTTGACTGGTGGCACCACCAGATAGAGGCTTACAAGGGTAATTCTTCCTAGAGAGACTGACTTCTGTCAAAGCTCTTCGGAAGCCTAAACTGAAAGCAGTGTTGAGATTCGATAAGCTCCGAGATGGCATTTTAATCCAACAAGCTATAGAAACACAAGTTAAGGTTTCCTTCAGCTCCCATGTAGCGAAAAGCAGAGCAATGGATGCTCCTCCGCTACCTGAAATCAAACCAGCAGCAAAACGAGGAACGATTACAGAGACAAGCAAATAAGTTAATAAACCAGTCAGTATGTTCGCTATTAAATCTGGAATGAAATTGCGAAAACGAAGAAGACGACGGCTCGGTTACCTGAATTGAGAAATTGTGTGGAGGGACGAGCGATATTGTGCGCAGAAAATCAATCCCCGTTTGAAGATTTTTGAGCAAATTGTGCAGAAATTCGCCGGGAGTTGGGACTTGGGAGGGTTCCAAAGATGGAAAGTGCCGCTCCCCCAAAATAAATTTATTGAGATTAGAGACCCAATGGCAATGTCCATCGGCTGGTGGACTTTACTCAATGTTCGCCAAACAATTGGGCCATAGAAATGGCAGATAAGACATTCAGGGCTTCATAAACAGATCAGAAAGTCGTCGATCATTTCAGGTATGAAATATTTTGGCTCCCACTTGCTTATTATTGAGTATTTTTTAATCACATTTCTTTGCCAGATGAATGAGACAGAAATATTAATTCAAGAAAGAACATTGACCAGTGTCCGTAATCAATTTTTGGTGTTTTTTGCAGCAAGGGAAAGACCCAATGGAGAAGCCATAATAGGTACAAAGAGAAACAATCGAATAGATTAGAAGGGACAAACCTAAACCCTAAACTTACACTGTTTCTGTTACCATCATCATCGTTTAATGATACTTGTGCAGGTTTCATGGATTCTTGAAAATGAGCTAGAAATGTTATGAGTCTTCGCTAGGTACATTTCTTACAAATACAATGTATGAAAAATTGTAAAAACTGTTTCTTGGCAATTAACATGATTTGTGGTCAATCAAAGCAACATATTGCCCAGCTTCTTCACATGTCTCTGCCGCCATACTCGCCGCCGCCCTTCGGCGGCACAGCATCATCATTGCCGCCACGAATGGTTGTCATCAGCGCCGATATGCTGCCAGGCGAACCGCCGCCTGCCGCCATTCCCAACCCAAGCAAATCAAGTGTAGTGTGTTTAGGACCAAACCCCATCATCAACTCCTTAAAACCAGAACCACCATTACAGGACAGCTCCAGGCCGAGCCCGGCAGCTAGGGATGACGCCCCGCCGGGCTGGCGGTGCTCCCCGTCCAATTCGAGGCCTCTCAACAGCGACGCATTCGATACAGATGCGCCCATCTGAGCAGCCTTCTGTAGCAACGCTGTTGCAGACAATGCCGGCTGCGGATACTGCCTGCGCTCTTGCCCCGTCGATCCGAACATCGATGACGCTTGACTCGTTGCCAGGCAGAGGGACACCGGCTCTCCCAGCGACGATGGCGATTGGATCACGACGTCCTGAGGAATGTCTCGAAACATGGCGGCGAATCCGGTTGGCTGAGGATGAAGACTCCACGACGACGTCGTCGATGATGCAAACAAGCTGGCGAACACTTTGCTGCTTGAGCTTCCGTTACTGCTGGAATTGCCGCCACCGCCGGAACTTCCGGTGCAGGTCGCCGGTAAACTTTCCGGCGAAGAGATTTCCTCTTGAACTGCAGAACCAAAAGCTAAAGCTAAAAATGTGAACTTTATATATATATATATTATTGTATCTATATGAATGAAATCCAAGATCAGTGAGCCTAGATTTATACAGCATAATAAGGACAAATGCTAGTAACAGACAAATTGCATAATTCTTCTTGTTATATAATCTGACCGCCATAGGAATAAGAAAAAAAGAGGTTTTAGTCAAAGTACCAGAGCTCTGAACAGGTGGAGTAGGGACTGTCGGCTCCGACGCCTGCTCCGGCGGCGGCGACGGAGAGGACAGCGGCGACGACACGACGGCTTCATCGTTCTTATCCTCAACAGGACTGCAAGGCGCGACAATCGCCTCCGCTTTTGCACTTTCCTCTGCTAATGCGTCACAAAACGCCCTGTGTGTAATGAAACTGTCTCTCCTGAACAATATTAATCGATCGATCGAATGGATTTAAAAATCAGACGAGGTTATCGAACATCCTTAAACCAGAAATGGTAAATTAATTAATCTCGGGAAACCTCGAAAAGAGAGTGCCGCAATCGCACTTGTACTCTCGAGTACCACAAATCTTGGAATGCGCCTTCCAGTCGGACTGAACGGCGTATTTCTTGGAGCATCTGTCGCATTTCCATTTCTTCTCTCCATGCTTTCTGCAGAAGTGTTTCTTGATCCCGGTCAGGTCTCCCAGAGCCCGGGCAGGGTTGTGGTGAACGCAGGTCAGCTCCGGGCAGACGTAGACCCGTTTCTTCACATCCGTGCTCGATCTCTGCCGAAGCTTCCATGGCAGGTTGTGTCCCCTCCGATGGAGCTGCAGATTCTGGTCTCTCTGAAACCCTTTGCTGCAGATTTCGCACACGAATCTGTTCGTCGCCAGCAGGGTCTTCGGCGATAAGGCAATCACTTCAGCCTCAGGATCTGAATTTCGGACAAGACAACAAAAATTATTTTAATTTATATATGTAAAAAGACGATCTTTAATTTCTTCGAATACGGTAATTGTTCCTCGTTTTACTTCGTTCGACCTGGCATCCCGGGTAGATTTCGTTTCTTCTTTGCCGGTGGATTTGGAAGTTCTTGAGAAGAATCATCCATGGCGGCGGGTGCGGTTATTGAGGTGGGCTTCTGGAAGTTTCGCCGGCGGCGAGACGGGGGAGGAGGAGATCGGCGACGGGGACGATCGGAGAGTGTTTAGGAAGCGAAGATTAATAAAAAAAATAAGGGGAAGAGAACGTAGTAAGTTAAAAACACGTTTTTTAAATACAGTCAAATAGCTGTAATTAATTCTTGCTGATTGTTGCATTACGTTAATTGAATGCTTCGGATATGTCAGACATGGCTGTTAAAAAAGCAATCTAATGGGTACAATTTTTACAGTGGTGGTTCGATTGAGACAAGACGTCGGGCTTGAAATTATTCTCAATTGGAAAAAATCGTGGTTTTGAGGATTAATGTCGTGTTTCTGAGTTCGTCTAGAATTCGGTAACATAAGATAATAATGCAAGGAAGGGCATTCTTGTCATTTCGGAAAGCGTGTCAATAAAACTTTTTTTTTTTTCCTTTTTCTTCGATGGCCAAATCGAAGAAACTGATTACTTTCCCATTCCCAAAATGAGATAAATGAGGGAAGCTTTTAAGCTTTTGCTGACCAAAAAGTTGGGCAGTGTAGTCAACAAGAGTTGGGTCTTTAGTGTGTGTTTTTTTCTTCATTAAGGACCACCCTTAAATTTCCCTGTCCCTTTTATTACAATGTAGTTGATCTAGGTTCGTGACATTTGGTTGAATTTTTCTCTTGAAATAAAAGGTTTACTTTGGACATATATATATATATATTTAGTTTTAAAAAATATATAAATTTAAATATTTGATGTAATTTAAAAAAAAAAAAAAGATACTGGAGATGAATAATATCAAATTTTATATATGAACAAAGAAAGGGTCATATAGTTCATAATGGAAGAGGAGCATGTGCAATGTGCTTGACTGATTTAAATTTTTGAGTAAATGAAATTATTTAATCGTGAAGTCAGTGCATGAACGTGACCTCACACGTGATGTTGCCAAATTAGAAATGGTATAATTATTGCATTTTTAAGCAATCCTGTAGAATAATATCATTACTTTGGTCTACTGATTTTATTTATTTTATTTTTATTATGTGAAATAAGAAGAAGGCCCCAAGAATGATCAATCAAAGAGCTGGCAATGTCACTTGTCTGCCACCTATTTGCTGTTTGGATTGACTTTTGAATGCAATGTTAGCTTTTTTAAATATTCGAACCCTTTAATTATATGAAGACCACAGCTTCACACAAAAATTTCAGCAACCAAACACCATCCTTTCTTTCTTTTTTCACATATTCTTGAATCCAAGGATTTCACTTTCAGACTGTACTGTATGTAATATAATCTATTGAATAGTTAAAAAAAAAAGAAAAAAAAAAAAAAAAAGGCATAGTAGAGGGTGCTGAGCAAAGCTACATTAGTTTTGTTCATACACAATTTTCGCCGTCACGGGGACGAACAATAAAGAATGTCTAGGAATTTACCATCTATGCAGAAGCGATTGCCAAGGAGAAATGGCATATGGCGTGACTGAGCTCAGACATAGTGTCCGGATTTGAGGTTCCATCATTTGATGACTTCTCAATGTAGTACCCTGTAGAGAATCGACATAAGAAGGTCAGAAGAGTGAACATTGCAATTAATTAAGAACGATGCATCGCCGAAGAGTGATCAAATCATGTATTAAGTTGAAAATCATAATGAATACCAACAAAAGGGAAAGATTACTATATTTTCAGGAAGAAAAACCATAAGATAAGCCATTGAGAAGTGTAGGAAGAGGAAATAGTAAAAACAGTTGCATATTGGAATGATTCCTATAGTGGCTTCTTTCCATATCAAAAATACCTCAAGCAATGGTAAAAACTGGAGAATGGCAGCTTCACAAACAGCCGACTAGTTATAGCTATATCCCCGACAAAGTCAGGTACAGTAATATCACAATTGATTAATTCGACAATTGCGTTCACATAAGGTAAAGGATTAACTTGGAGCATAATAAAAGTACCATAACAAGCAAGATTCGCCAGTACACGATTTCTTGCCATCTTGCAGAGATAATTGTGATATATATTAAAACGTAAACATTTCTAGTGAATCTTTCTCTCCATTTAAGCACAGGCAAAGGGTAGGCAATGTGAAACTGAAGTGATTGGGCTAATTTTCCTATGTTCAAGAATATTTTACTCAGCACCATAAGAAGTTAGTGTTTCTTGTGTATATATATATATATATATATACACACATCTGCATAATGTCAAAACAGATTATCGGTTATTGTTTTAAAAATTAATCAGTTCATAGGTCCATCTTTTAGTTTTACACAAGAAATAAGTTTGTGTCAACAAAGAACCCTAGTAATGTGTAGGAATGGTAATTAGATTAAGTTCAGTAGTAGTTCAAACCATATCAGATATATTACATTAATACATGAATATCAGTAAAAAGACAAAGTAAAGTTCACTTCCAAGCCATGAAACGCGATTACAGCTCTGAACATGAAATAAACACCATCACGAGTGCAAATAGTCAAATCCAGATTATATTAACTACGACTAATAAGATACTCTGCACTTTTTGAGCATCGAGATTCATTTGATATTCTGATTTCTGATATGAACAATAACTCACAACAGCATAGCAATTCTACATGTATATACAATCACATGCTATATTATCACTTTTATGTTTAAATAAACAATATTTACAAAAACAGGAGCTTTTCATAAAGTGCGATTGGCTCAGGTCACAGAACGGTCATAGCATGCAATGGAACAATCGTGATACATATGAATTAAATGTAGCAGCAAATTTATCCTCAGGCTTTAACAGATATTTTGGTTTAGACCATGAAAATCAAAGCAGTCTAATCAGGAATATGAAAGACTTAAAATTTCAAATAGTTCAAGGATAATCAGGAACGCTTGGTTGTTTGCAGCTCAGGTGTGATTAATTTTGTTTTCAACACATAGCCTCAAAATACTTGAGGAACTAACTTGTTCACTTTTAACCAAATTAATTGCCGATGGAGAGTGTATTTCAAATCATTCTCTAATGGTTTGTTTTTTAAAAAAAATGGCCAAGACTGAGAACATAGAAGCTAAATGATCTTTAAGCTTATCTCTCAGTTGCAGAGTTTTAACTGTAAAACAACTATTTTATCAAAGGAATTAGAAACCATAAAAGAAACAAACTGGATCTTAAAAGCTCTTTTTTTTTTCCATGATAAGGACAGAATAAATGGTACAACCATTATCAGGCGAGAAGAAAATTTGTAATTCCCATTCATATTAGTTACATCAAGCTGATTGATTATTGAGACTGTTTATGTTTTAACAGTTAGTCATGAATCCGAAAATATCCACTCTAACCACAAGAACATATAGTTGAAACACAATCTCTCAATTTGAAGCATGAACAGAAAAAAGAAGAGCAACATCATACCTTCTGCAGAAATCTGATGTATAGCGGAATCCATTATAGCAAACAAACCACATCAACACGAGCACAAGCGTATCTAGTCAGGTTAAGGCTTTCCAAACTACATGCCAAATTTTGTACCACAAGCGCCCCATGCCTAATTACTCGAATTACAAAAATTCAACTTTTCTAGTACCTCCATTTCTGATCTACCGAACAATATAGCATAATCGTAATATAATCCGCCATTATTTGGAAAAAAAATGGTGCTAAATCAAATAAGAGAGGAAACAGATAAAAAAGATACTGAAGAGAAGACGTTCCCACCAATCGAGCATATAGAGCCCAAAGGTAACGTTGTATAGATAAATTTTGCGTTGAATCCAATTCATCTCTTCCCTGCTCTCACCTTCTGACCTAATTATCTGTAAACAACAACAATAATTACAAGTTCATAAACCCGTATACATCAAACAGATTGATAAACGTCGGGAATCGAATACAGACCACGTAAATTCACCGGAGAAATGTCGTCTGATCAGATGCCCAAAAAGAGACCTCCTGGAGTCGAATAAAAAAATTGTGATGACGAAGAAGGGAGATGGAGAAGACGACAAGTCGAAAGCTGTCGCGCAGATTTTAATTTTTATTTTGTTTAATTTTCTTCAATTGAAAAAGAAGGATTGAATAAAAATGTGATTTTTTAGGTTGACTTTGAAATACTGGTTTGATTTATATGTATATTTTTTATTTTTTATTTTTAAAAAATATATAATTCAAATAATAAATTTTGAAAAACTTGGTTAAAAAAATATATACCTACTATCTTATAGAAAAAAATAATTTAAAAAGATATATACAATAATAATGTAATAAAATAAAATTTAATCATAATTTTATGTATAAATTTTTTAAATATTTTTTTAAATAAAATAAAATAAAAAACTCAAAAAATTTGAAGATAATCTACAAAATTTAAAATTCTATCAAAATATTATATTAAAAACTTTAAGTTGTACGAAAATTTATTTGTAATTTTATGAAATTGCACAAAATTCCTATATTTTTAAAATTGCTTCAAATTTCCTGGTAATTTTATAAATTTGTGTTTAACTCTTTGCCTTATTTAACATTGTTTGAAAATATGAGAAATTTTATTAGATCGGCCGGGATTTAACAGCTGTGATTCCCACGTTATTAAAAAAAAAAAAAAAAAAAAAAAAAGGAATTTTTATTCAATTTTGTGAAACTAGACGTGAGTTTTAATGCAATTTAGCCTATTAAAAACCAAATTAATTTTACAAATATATATACAATGAAATTTTTTTAAAAAAATTATTAGTAAAAAAATATAATAAATAATTGTAGAAAATGCATCCATTCATTGTTTGGTTTCATTTTTGACGATTTTTTTTTCTTTTTTTGTTATTTTTATGATTATCTTTATAGTTTTTAATATAAAAATTAATTACTTTCCACATTATTTTTAATTAAAAAATACAGTTCTCAGGTATTTATTTCATTTATCAAGAATTTGTTACATCAATATATATATATAATTAATTAACTATTACTTAATATTTTTAAAATTTCAAAATTTTAAATTTAACAAAACTTATCTATAAATATATATGGATATATTTCGAATAATTTCAATTTTTAGCATAGTAAATTATATGTTTTAATATATTAAAATTTATATGGATTAATATTTTAAAATTAAAATATAATATTATATAAAAATATTATTAGACAATAAAAATATATAAAAATATTTATAAATAAATAAATAATTTATATATATATATCTTTATGTCATTAAAATATATAGAAATAAATAAATTATTATGGTCTTATAAAATAATAAAGATAATGTATTAGGTAATTACTATAATAAATGATAAATAAAATAATTTGAATATTAGAGATAAATATAATATCGATGAGAGAGATAAAAGAGATAATAAAATAGAGAGAATATAAACTAAAAAAAGCATATAATAATAGGAATAATAGAATAAATATAATATAAGTAGTTAATTTATAATAATCAAATTTAAAATGTTTTAAATTTTTTTTAAAAAAATTGTTGTAAAAATTTCACTATGCATAAAAAACGTAATTCTCTTGCAAAAATACAGAAATAATAATGAATTATATTCCAAATAAAATATAAAAAATACAAATTTTTTTAACTAAACACGTTCCAATCACCACTGTATCCATCCACAAAAATTATAAACCTTCATATCAAGATTACAAAAAAAAAAAAAAAAAAAGAGAGAAAGAAAAGAATATGTCACATTATGTAAAATTTTGATTAAAATAAGTACATATAGATATACTAAATTCTAATTTTATCCATATTATTTTATTTATTATCTCAATAAATCTGAATTTTGTTAGATTATTTGTTATTCTAATAAATTTTAATTAATTATATAAAAAAATAAAAAAATATATATATATATATACGAATATTATATGATATATGAATATATGATATGATATCTGATATATAATCTATACACTATTTTCATTACTATATAAATTATTTACATAGAACTCAAATCAAAATTTTCCGTACCAAACCTAAACAATCAAACCCGCCGTCGCCTACAGATTCCTCCTTCCATTCCGGTTCTTTCCTTTTCTCTTTCACCCCGCTTAACCGCCGAAAGAGAAGGCGGCGAAGTAGACCGGCGGTAAGTTCCATTTTTTTTTTGTTACAAGAAATAACAGTTACCGAACCGTCGGTTCGAATAGAAAAACCGGGTTCACGGTTCGAATAATATTGATAGTGCTTCGGATTAGAAACCGGCGGGGCATGGCTATATATGAGGATATGATATTACGTGATACTGCTACGTGAATATCGTAACTGCTTTGCTATATGTAAACCCTAATTTCCAGCCATATTGATTTGTGTCGATCGATTCCCAGTACTTTCTGCTCTTTTCCTCTGCACCCTCTGTCTCTAAACCTACTTTTTGTGGTTGAAGAGTTAACTCTGTTCAGCCGAGGCTATGGACGACGACGTGGACATGGGTGAACTATTTGACGGCTCCAATCAAAGTAAAAGTCGGCGGGATCAAACTACAAGCCGGCGATTTGCCCCTAAAGGTGTGAAATTTGAACCCAAGGTTAAAGCCGAAGTATCTCAGTCTCAGCCACCATTGGCACCCAATCCATCGGAATTATTACACGAACCTAAGAAAGAGGAGTTTGGTGTTGAAGACGATGTGAAGCCAGAATTGGGGAATGATACAATGGCGATGGATGTTGACGTGAAGTCAGAGGTGAAAACAGAGACAGACGATGATGATACTATGGAAACAGAACCGGTTGGAACTCCTACTTCGGTTAAGGATGAAATTGTGCGCGAAATCGATGTGTATTTTGTTCCCCAAGTGGATCCAAAAACTAAGGTAACTGACATCTAATTCATGCAATTTAGTTCTAGTTTGGTTTATTTTTTTGGTTTCTAGGTATTGATCATGGTGGAACTTCAAATATTTATATTTTATGGCAGTTGTATCTATTCCAATATCCACTTCGGCCATTGTGGAGGCCACATGAGTTGGAGGAGGCAGAGGTAAATTAAACAATTTTCGTTTTCACAGGAAACTTGTGTTGAACATATTAAATTCCAGAAGAGATTAAACATTTTTCTTAAGTGTAAATCAAGGCTTTTGACTATTTATTTGCACTTTAGAGTGATTTTTGAATCATCCTTTAGGTATAAGAAGATTTGAATAAAGAAAGTGAAATAATAATATGAATTTATTATTTATAGAGATTAATGAAAGATAGTTTATATGCCATATGTATGATAATGCATTATCATTAATTAAGTACACTGGATAACTAAATAAGCTTCAAGAAAATATTATACTCTATTTAGGATATGATGTTCAACCATATTAAAAGAAAACAAATAGATAGAAAAATTATTAAATTGTCAATAAGTCGTAGATGATATATAAATGAGTTGTATATATAAATGAGTGGGGATCTAAGAATGGATTTTAGATACAAAAAAATTGAACTCCAAATTCACTTAAATGTCACAAATGTTCAAATCTTTTTTAAATTACAAACAAGAAAAAGTTGTTTGAACCCCGCTATCTTAACTGCATGTTTTAACAATGTTGTGATAATTTATATGTTTTTTATTATAGGTGACGATGAATCCAGCTACTTCGGAAACGGAGATTCATACGGGTGTTGATGTTGAACCCAAAAATTATGACCCCAATTCTGATCCGAGAGTGAATTTGGAAAAACGGGTTGATTTTTATAATACATTTGGTTACTAAGAATTATTGACTTGTGTTTTTTGTATATGCTATTGATTTAATTTTTAGCATCTCTTATATACTAGAGGTAGGACATGAGGCATTAAATTTTCTATCTGAACCTGAAGTCATGCCTTGTTTCTAGTGCATTGTTTTATTGATCTTGACCAGTTTCATTATGTTTAGGCCTTGATTTTGATCACTAATGATTTTAAGTATATAAAGTTTTTATAAAGATCCAAAATGTGGCACTTTAGATAACAGATTATTGACGTGATCTTTTTGTTAGATTTACAAAACTAAATGGTCGCCGCATCACACAAGTCATTATGCTGTTGGGGATCTCATTGGAAATAAGGCATGTATTCCATATTCTAAAGTTTCAACATGTAACATTTTCATTCCATTGTTGAATGCTTTGGTTTCACAGGAAGTTGGATGAGTATTTTCACTTATACTATTTTATCTACCATGCAGCTATACATACATCCTCTTCGTGCTGTTGTTCAACTACGACCATCACTGCAGCATCTTGATTCGAAGGAGTCTAAAAAGAAGTCTAATGCGGTTGAAGGTGCTGTGAAGTCAGAACAGTTGGTGAGTTGAGTTGTCTTTCTAATTTGTAGCATGAATCTCATCGTTGAAATTGCTTTCACAATTTCACTTTATTTTTTATTTTTTTAAAGTTTTTAAGAAAATGATCACATTGATGCTTCATATTATTCGATAAGTTCTCCAGAATGTGATTGGTAGGTGAATATTTTCTATGCTGTTTAGACATGGCAAATGCTTTAGCATATTTGCACATTCACTAGTGTTATTTCAATCCTCTTGCATGATTATATTGAAGCATTCTATGCTTGTGCTAATTTTTCAGTTGACCCTAATGTCTGAAATTTCGATACTTTTCAGAATAACATTCCTGAGCAGGACAAGGATGTTGGAGAGGTAATGCATTTGTTCGATCTATGACTTCTCTATGTGACAACATTGTTTAATGATTCCGTCATTGAATGAGCTTAACTCATTAATAGATGCTTACAGTTGTAGCTAATAATTGTTAAGAACAATAGTTATAGCATCAATGGTCAATAATTTATTATGTACTAGGTATATGTTTACTTACTCTCACGTCATAAGAATCAAGAAATCGCAATCTGGTTTTTTGCAACAATTTAGTAAGAAACTTTTTGATTTTTAATATATTAAAGAAACTAGTGGCTTTCCTAGTTAGTAACATGATACCTTGACCGTATTTTGGCTTCACCTTTTTTGTTTTCTTAGTCAAAGTGATGCTTCATCTTATTCAATCATAAATGTACTTATTCCATTTTTGTTTTCAAGAATGTCAGACATGTGAAGTAAGTTTTAGGGTATGTTTACTTTGTGTTTTTGAATGGATTTGTTTTTTTATATTAGATATGGAAAATGTGTTTGTAACATAAAAAAAAAATAATATTTTGTGTTGACCTGTATAAAATGTATATATTATATATAGCGTTAATGTGTGTATATATATTTTTTATACTTTCTCTGTTCGTCAAAATTATATCACTATTCGTTTTTTGGTTGTCTGCTAAATATATGCACAATCCATTTATAGTAGACAACTTTATCCACTAATAATTTTGTTACACTGCTTTAACAAATGATAACCAATTTGGCACTGCTTTTTTTACTTCACATTTTATTATTTATTTAATAAATTTTCCAAAATACTATATTTTTTACTTACCCCACGCCACCCAAAAGTACAAAGTGAACATACTTTTATCTACACATTCACCATTGTTATTTTGATCTATTATGCTTATGTCATCGTTACATTTAACTAATTAATTGAAATCCTCGTACTTTTTAGAGGAATGTCCAAAGCAAAATCAAGGTGATGGAGAGGTAAGAAATTGTGATCTAGTTATTTGGAACAATTTATGAAGAATCTTCTTCTTCCCAATGTTATTATCCCGAACAAATTTTAGAGTGCAAATATTCGGTATTATCTTTTATTATTGTAATGATGAATGTCGTTTGGTAAAAAGGCTTCATTAACATTATTGTACTATTGTTGACGTGATATTGTTGACCATGAGGATTTGGTATTGTTTTTCTTACTTCAAAGTTAACGTGATGCATTATCGATCTATGTTCTATTTTTCATGTCAAATGTTATAAGGAATATCTGATGCAATGGTATCAGTTTTTTCACATCTTTTAATGTTATCTCAACTTTAATCTTGATTCCTTCTTTAGGAATGGATTACTCTCGCGTATCGTACTGCCGAAAGTGAATTGGCACAAGAATACCAGGAGAAATTAAAATCAGGAAAAAACTCACAGATCAATTTTACCATGCATCCGTATGCACTTACATTTGAAGGCTTTCATTTCTTTCCACATTTCATGTATGCATAATTTTTATTTTGTTGCCTTATTTATATTTATTTTTGTGAACTTTGAAGGTCAAACTACTTAGATAACTTATGTCCTGGACCCTCTAAAGTTACGTCCAGTTCCTTAAGTGCTTCAATCAGGTAATCAAACTGAGGAAATTATCTATTAACTTATTGATGATAGTTTTTTATTTTTATTCTATTGATCTAGCAATAGAAATCCAAACCATTGCTGAAATATAGTGAGTTGTGCTGTTCATAATATTAAAAATAAATAAAAATCCTTAGGCATGCCCTGATTAGTTTACAATTGGTTATGCCTTTGAAATCTTTTGTTGATACATTTTGTTGATTATTATTTGTCTTGCTTGAGGGTTGATTAATGTGCTTCACATCTATTTCTTAGTTGCCATGGGATCTACTAAAACCTAAGGATGTGATAGTAGAGTCTACTTTGTAATTCGTGCAAAACACAATATTATTATTGGTGAAGTTTTTAGAGTTAGATGGATTTAGGTATTAAGATAAGAATTAAAATCTGTGAAATTTCAATCAAACAAAAAATATTATTTTCTCTATCTGGATGTTGGTCTTATACATTGCTACTCTGGATTGTAGTGGAATCCTGCGGATTTATCATATGGTGTTGTTTTTTCCTGAGATGGGAACTTCATCTTTTCATTTGCCGACGCTATTCTTGTATTATGTTGCCATATCATCACAATTTTCTTTGATTTTACTATTATTTACATATGTTGATGTGAGGTGACATTGCACTTGATGTTCTAGGGGTCTGCTGGAATTGCCACTAAAAGAGCGGTTTAAAACTTGGCTCATTCAGGTTTGCTATTTTTCTTTACACAATTGAATATGTAAATTATTCAATGGATCTTGATTCTTTATGTATTTATTAGTATTATTATTTTTTGAACTATTTTCATTATGAATTTGACTTTTAAAGCGAATGTAGTAATATTTAATTGGATATTAATTTATGAAAAATCAAATCTTGTGAGTGCCATCAACATGCATAGCGATGCTGCCTTTAGGATCAGTGTTAAATTTAATGGTGTAGGGATAACTTATTCTAGGTCTGTTACTTGTTTTGCCTACGTCTTCAAATTTGTAAGATACTTCTTTTATTATTTGTTCTCATATCACATATGTATATATATATATTAATGTTTAGGGTTCTATGTTCATTATTTTGGATCTCCTCCCGGTTACAACTATTTTTTCATTCTTCTTTAGTTAACCTTGTCTTTTTGTTTTGCTATATTGAATACTGTCGTTAAGGCAATTGAAATGACAAATATCATTATCTTTTGATATTTCTAATGTTGCTTGGTAGGGTCCTCCATTACATAGATTTGATGCTCTGAAGTACCTCGCCCCAGATGAATCAGATGTAGAAATATTAACGATCTTACAAGAATATGGTAGGTTGGTTCAAGGTCTGTGGGTTGCAAAAAGTGAATTGGTGCATGGAACAGATGAACGAAGTAAAATTCTGGCCAGGGACTATATTCTTCTTCAGTTTAGCAAGTCTGTGAAGATTAAGATCTCCCACTTATCACTAAAGCCCCGACAATTTGAACTAATGAAAGAAGCCCTAAATGGATTGGGTGTAGAGCGACAAATCTTCAATGATTGGAAACTTAAAGAGCTCCCAGATAACAACTTTTTGAGAAAATATCCCCAAATTGTCTCAAAACAAAATGAAGAATGGATAGACACAGAAAATAAAATGAGTCTCATTTTTGGTCGAAAAAATGTTCCTATGGTGTCAAAAGGGTCTAGTAAAGTAGGTACGGGCACTCATACTGGAGCGACATCGATAACTGATATGCCGGAAGAAACTCGAGATGCCGTAACCAAAGCCCTTCAGAAATTATTTAAAAGTGTCAATATTTGCAGGTATCAAAATATGTTTTTCCTATCTAGTTATTACATTACATGTTTTCGAAGAAATTTAGTGGCAATTTTCGTTATAACTTACCATATGGTGTAATTGAATATTGCTTCTTTGACATTTTAGCATGTCAAAGCAATTTAAGAAGTAAAATTGATATAGATACTATATATCTTCTCGAAAATCGAGTTTCTGGTGCCGGGAAAGAGTGATTTCTAGTGAACTCACATTGATTTTTGTTTTTTTCCATGTTATTGTAGGTTTCAACAAATTGGCAAGCTGCTAAGGGACTTGGCAGTTTCTGACACCGGATTCGCCAAAGAGGCCATGTCTGCAGCAAGCATCATCGACACACATCCTAAAGAATTTGAGGCAATTCTCAAAGAAGTGGCTGTAAATATTCATGGAATTTGTGTTAGGAAATCGTCGCCAGAACAACCACAATTTGATGCATTCAGGTTAAACTTACTATCTTTTTTAAAACATACAAAACATTTGGTGCATGCATTACTCATACAAATAACGTATACTGCAGGAGAGTTGTTATTGGTCATTTTCTTGGAAACGAACCAAATGCAAAGCTTAAAAAGGCTACCATTTTTGAAGCTGCTAAAATGTCACTCCAGAGGAACATAAACAATAATGAGTATAAGAAGGTGGCCTTTTCTTTTTTTTTTTTTTTTTTTTTCCCAAAAAAATAGATTAGTTATGTTTTAAATGTTGATTATGATTGTAATTTATAAATGTCATTTTTTCCAGGTCATGGAAGAGCTTTGTTTATATAGAGGAGGTTCTTGGATCCTCAGGAGTGGTGATTAAAGCCCAAAGGTTTGATGATATACAGACGAGGGCGATAAGAATGTGAAGACAAGGTACTTCCTGTTATTTGAATCGATTAATTATGTTTTAATAAGTTGGATTGAATGAATTTTTGCATATGTATCTAACATATATGTTTAAATTTTGATGGTCAAATTATATTGCAGGTGTTGTGCTTACATCTACGGGATCTTATTCTACACCTTGAATTATGATTTTGGATTATCAATTTTTTGTTTTTATTTTATTTTAGAACACTTTATGAAATTGTAAGGACTATTGTAAGCTCTATCTTTATTTTTAGTTTTATACCTATATTTATTTACTAATGTTATAATAATATAATTATTTACAGTAACAAAATTTAATGTAATTGGATTCAATTTCAAATCAAAATTAACATTATTCTCCCAATAAAAATTATAATTTTTTTTTCTTTTTATAATAATATAATAAAATCGTTAGTTTCTTTTTCAATTTGAATAATAAAATAAAATAAATAGATGATAGAAATTGTGTTTTTTTCTTTTTCCCTTGTTGCTCGAGTATAAAATAGTATTAAATTGAGTATGATAATAATATTAAATAAATAAATATATAATATTTTTTATTGTCTAATTAGATCTCATACAAATCATTAGGATTTGTTCTAATAAAAAAAGACTCGGCTGGGTATTTAACTGCAGGAACCTAGTAGTGGAAGTCATTCTCATAATAATAAATGTGTAAAAGTTCGTAAAAACTATATATCAAATTTAAAATAACATTCTTAATGACACAAAATATTAAATATTTTTTTAATACTCGATATTCTGTCACTTTTAGTTCAGTACCTTTACATTTTTATAAAATTCGTAATAATTATTTATTTTTATTAGTTAATAATATATAAATAATATTTATTATATAATATAATATTTTAATTTTAAAATATTAATTTATATAAATTTAGAATTATATATATATATATTTAGGAGATACAATGATTTGTTCTTTTTGGATTTTTAAATAATTTTATATTATATAAATTTTATATTTTTTTACAAAATATCACATCAAACATTATTTATATAAAAAAAATTACAAATTCAATTCAATTTTTTTTTAAAAAAAAAAAAAGTAAAAACACAAGGATCTATATGTTTAAAAAATGAGAAAAAAAAATATTGGGTGTGGTTGTTTTCTTATGAAGAAGGAAGCCGCAACCATTATCCGAAAATAAATCTGATAGGCAGGTAACATGAGATGTTCGAGGTTTTAACCAGATTTGAACCCACAGTGGATGTGGTTATTTTTGTAAAATAATTTAAAGGAGTTTATAGAGAATTTGATAGATAATATAAAAATAATATTAATTTTTTAAAAAAAATATGTATTACCAATTTTTACAAAAAGAAAAAAATAATCACACCCAAGTGTAACTTGCGTTCTAACTATGGAACAAAAGAACATTAATTTTTTTTTTTTTTTTGAACTAAAAGTATATGTGGAATAATATTTTGCGATTAAGAGAAAAGAGAATCGAACCGAACCACTAGTTTGGATGAACAGAAACCGCGGATTCGAAACTGGTTTGCCCCAAAGTACTCAATCAATGAATAAAATTAAAAATATTTTATTTTTGGAATAATTTATGTTACCGTTATAATAAGCACCGACTTGCCCAGCCTTCTTCCTTCCATATATACACACTCACTCACTGTACACACAATGACCTCCCAATTCCCAAATTCCATCGTTCATGGTGAGAATAGCCAGTCAGAGTCAGTCTTCTAGTTGCTGAATAGCAACTGCAATCCTATATTCCTCCTCTCGCTCAGTCAATCAAACAAGAAGGGCCTAAGAGCAACGCCATGGATCCTTAAGAATCAATGAATGAATGGTACGAAAGGATTGTTTTTTTCTTTCTTTCTGTTGGGTCTGGGGAGTGAGTTAATTTTATGAATGAATGAAGAGGAGGAGTTGTTTTCAAAATTAATACAATAATTATTGAATAGAAGAATTAATGAAAAATTCAATCTCTCTCTTTCATGTTCTATTTGTGTGTGTCTTAACGAATGAATCAAAGAATTCATTCTTGAATTGTAGTTGGTTGCTGGATTGGATTCAGGGGACAATTCTATTCCAATGCTTTTTTTTATCTTGATAGAATTAAAGTATTAAGGATAGTTCAAATTCTTTAGAAAATATATATATATATATATATATATAAAGGTCGTGTTTACTTTACTTTGAGGTCAAAATAGTGATGTTTTGAATATGAAATAGGGTTAGATGTTATTTATACTAATTTATTGATCACATAAATCTATTTTAAATGAAAAGGGTGTCTTTGACCATAATCAAGATAAATAGTATTTTCACTTTTCCTTTTACATTCTTAATTCTTAGCTTCATACATTTCATTCATTTAATCATATTTTTTCTCAGGTTTCATGGATCCATTCATAATTAGATATTTTGGGGGTTTGGATCAAGTTTGCTTAATACACACTTCCTTACATATCTGGATCAATTGTTGTTTTGTGATTTTTCAAATCTTTTTTCTAAGTCATGTTTTAAGGTTGTATTTTGTCCAAAATTATTTCCAATTCAAGAATCCCTATATTTTACATTATCCAATGGATTTTTCAATCTAGTTCCTCTCCCTTAGTTACTCTTGCTTGTCCTTTTAGTAGAAACTAAGATTATAAGCTATGAAAATTGATTTAGTTTGTAAAACTATGTTTACTGCAAAATCATTATATATTTGCAGTTTGATTAGTTTTGAATTTTTTTCTCTAACATGAATTTATCACTTATCTCCAATTCGGCTAACTTTTTCGAAAGCATTGACTCATTTATTTCTTGTTGACTAAACTCGGTATTTTTCTAAATTGATGAACGATATCCGCACGAGGTACTAAGCTAAAATAAGCTCTATTCATATATGTTTGTATAAATAAATGTATTTTGACCGATAGACAGATAAAGATAGACATTCTAGCTAATGTTGTTCACAACTGATGATGGGATCGACATTTTTGCATTTTTTATGATACATTCAGTTTTTTCATTTTTTTTTTTTTGAGCATTTTAAAGCAAATTCTTACGTCAAATTGTTTTGCAGAGGTTTGTTCGTTCACTCACTGCAACAACTCCACAGATACGACAAAGAGCACTCTGGAAAATAGGAATGAATCATCCTCGATGTAGAGACAAAACAAGGTGATTGATTGATTAGTAGTTGCATTCTATTATTTCAAAACATATGATATGATTATTTATTTATCAATAAAGAAAAGATTATCTATGCACCTGAACAAAGCATTTACTGAACAAAAATTAACAGGCTGTGAAATCTTTCTAACCTTCCTCTCAATTAAATTATAGACTATCAGATTTGTTTGATAGAAACCAAAAGCTAATATAAGTTCTCTACCATCATCAGATAAGAACATCTTGACAGCAACCTGATCCAGTCTAGTAACGTTGGTCGGCTTCCACGGAACCGGCGCATCGTCAAACTCCATCCACTCGCCGCCAGTTTTCTTCAACACAACACGGCACTTGTCACTATCAATGTCGCCGAGGAGCACGCAAAATAGGCCAGGTGGACAATCAACGTAACAATGTGTGAAATAATTTGGAGTTCTAGTTCTCACATGATAGAAAAATTTATAGAACTTGTCGTCTCTCGGGTTGAAGAAGATCATTTGAATATCAAAGCTGTCTTCTTTTGTTTCAATCTTTTGCCACAAATGGATATGACCATCCAAAGGAAAATTTTTCAAGTCATATTCAATTATTTCCATCTTTTTCAACTCCTTCCAACGTTGATTTATATTGTCAAACGTTGTGAATTGTTTTAGATCAAAATCAACAACTACTACTTTATAACCCCTTGATAATGGATCGAAACCAATACCGTAAGTGAAATTAAAGTTGTATGTGGAATAACTCAAATCTTTCGAAAAAGGGAACTCCAAATTTGAATATGTTCTGGCCGATGGATTCCAGACGGAGACAGAGTATGGGAAGTCTTTAAAAGAACCCAAAGTTATTAGGCCGTCGCAGCAATGATTTCTCTTGACGCGCCATAGAATATCTTTCTCTGAACAATTGAGATCCAACAATGGTTTCAATTCGTTGTTTTCCAATCTTGAGAGGAAAAAATCATAACCACGAATAGAGTCCGCAAGAAACATGTTTTCATAAGAAGATGACTTTTTGGATTGACATAGATGTCCAACGGCAAAGCCTCTGTCACAAATGGTGTAGTTCCATTCCTTGGAAACTGATTTAAATCGAAGAAGAGACTTAACAGGGAGTCGCTTGAGGATGAGCTCTATAACATCAGCAGAAACTAATGGACGTTTTATGTTCATCTTTGTAGTACGTCTGGGGAGGGTTAAATCACTCGAATATGATATAAGATAACAGGAAATTAATAAGTCGAATTATATATATATATATATATAATGTTACCAGATAAACACAAATTCAAATCAAACTCAAAATTTTCTGTTAGAAATATATTTATGATAGAAAGAGATTTACATAGATTTGAAATATCTATTCTCATCACATGTTTGAAATTAGAGATTTGATCCTAATAAATTCCACGTTTATAGGATAAACAAAGGGAAAGAAAGAAAAAACATTATTTAAATAATAGTGTGCATATCTACTGTATAAAATACTTATAAAAGTACTATTGGCTACATAAACTACCCATTATACCCTTTATTTTATCACTTATTTTCGTCTCTGCCCATTATACCCTTTATTTTATCACAATGCGATCATTTGAGTATCCATAGAATGAGTAATTGCTGCTATTATTTCAATATTTACAGTTTTTGTTGTCCAGGTGCAAACTTTGGCTTTCATGGAAGTTGTTCACAGCGCTACAAGTAAGATTTGAGGGTCGGATGGATTTTTGGTTGCAGTGGATGCAATTAGGGTTTGAATTTTTGGTTTTGGATATGTTTTGCAAGGCATTTATTTCGAGTGGTGTAGTGATTCCGTCGATGCAATGGAGTGGAAGGACTCATTTTTGTTTGTCGTTCGTGGTATTCTCGAAATTTTGGGATTTCTCGTGGGAAATAGATGTTCGATTACATGTTTAACATTTTACTGCACAATGATTAGAACTTATATTGCTCGATCGGAAATAATTTATTGCTTTGTAGCAGGCATCAATTAGCTTGCAGGCTGCGTTAAGAGGTTCGTTAACTATATATATATATATATATATATTATGGTTCCAGAACAGAACAGGACAGACATTTTCCAAAGAGTTTTGTGCTTTGTTGCAAAGATGTCATTATCGGCAGGTGCAAATAGTCCAATCTTATTCCCTCCGAGGACATCTAAATGATGGTTAAAATCAAATAATCTTCTGTATATCAATTTATGTCGCAAACTTCTTGTTGCCGCACGATTCATGCTTTCACTGGTTAAATATTTCATAGTAATCGTACGACTCCTGAAACCTTTTCTTGTTTCGCATTCCTCAATTTAGGTTTCTTCTTCCCATTGGGTCAACTTCTTTTCTTCTTCCTCCCACTCTTCCGCCGTTTTTCTTCTTTTACCCAATTCAATGAAACTAAATGGCCGCTGCATGACACAAGTGAGCATGCTGTTGGGGTTCTCGGTGAAAATAAGGCATATATTCTATATTCTAAAGTTTTAATTGTAACATTTTCATTCCATTGTTGAATGTTTTGGTTTCCCAGGATGTTGGATGAGTATTTTAACTTATACCATTTAATCTACCGTGCAGTTACACATAAATCCTCTTCGTGCTGTTGTACAACTACGACCATCACTGCAACATCTCGATTCTAAGAAGTCTAAACATAAGTCAGAGAAGCTGGTGAGTTGTTTTTTTCCTAATTTGTAGGTTGATATCTCATTATTGAAATTGCATGTATCAAAACAACATCAAGAGTGGATAGACACCCCAAAGAAAATGACTTATATTTTTTTTGAGAAAAAATGTTTCTAGCACATATATTTCTTCAAATATTAATTCCACCGGCAAATAAATTTATAGAAAATTGTGTAAAAATAATATTGAAAGAACAAATCTAAGTGACTCTATTAAATTTTCTACAATTTTATAATATTTTGTTAATTGAACATTACCCAGTAATATTTTATTAGAAGAATATTATAAATATTGTAGAAACTTTTATAGAATTTCAATAATTTTTTTTACATAATTCTTATAAATATTATAAAAAAATATAATATGTATTCATATTAACAATATATATATATTTACTCACAAATAATTTGAAATAAAATATTATTTTTTATATTATTAACAATTTTCAATACTTAACATAAAAAATTATTTATCCAAAAATATTAAATCAAGAAAGTCATTAATATTATTATTATTAATTAATAATTTTATTAGATATAAGTAACAAATCTATATATTTTATGTGTATAAATAATAGTAGTAATTCATGAAATAAATATATATGAGCAAAAGTTTTTTTTTTTTTTTGTATTTTAATTTTAAAGAATCACATGAATAATATATAATATTTTATATTGAATTATTTATTGTTTGATTAATTTTATTATTATTAAATTATAAGGGTATGTTTATTATGCAAAATTAGGGTAAATAATATTAATTTATCTAATCTAATCTTATATTTAGTTTAAAATATATGATTTTTTATAATTATAAACTCGATGCTATAGTAGCATCTTGTAAAATTAATAGTACAATTTCTTTCTCTAATATTATTTAATTTCGCTTAATAAAATTTTAAATTACCTAATTTTTTAAATATTTGAAATCATTTTACATAAATATGATAATATTTTTTTATTTAATATTTATTTAAACTGTATTTTTACTTGACTATAAAATAATATATATATTTTAACTTTTATACATAGTAAAATTTAATCTAATATTTAATTAATTAAATTAAACACAAGATTAATTATATAGTTTATTGAACACCCTGTAATTATTTTCGGTAAAAAATTTCAGTTGCGGTTTTGCATAGTGACAGACAGACACAACCTAAAACCCAAACCACCGGCGAATGCACTCTCTCCACAACCGCTAAACCCTAACAATGGCTTCCTTCCTCGCCCTCCGCCGCGCCCGCCACCTCTGCACCGCCGCCGCCAGTCCCCTAACCATTTCTCAATTCAAAAAGAAGCTCAAAACCGTATCCGACCCCGACGAGTGCCTCAAAATCTACACCTCTCTCACCGCCGCATTCGACCCCTCCACATCGCCGACCTCCGCGCGCTACGCCTTGGAGCTCACCGTCCGCCGCCTCGCCAAGGCGCACCGCTTCTCCGACATAAAAAACCTGCTCGAGTCGCACAAATCCCTCCCGCAAATCAAGGACGAGCCCTTCCTCTCCTCCGTTATCCGCTCCTACGGCGTCGCCGGTTTGCTGGAGAAAGCCGTCGACACCTACACCGGAATGATCCGCCTCTCCGCTGCTGCTCCGTCGTCTCTCTCCTTCAACTCACTCCTCACCGCCTGCGTTAATTGCAGAGCCTTCGATCGCGTTCCCGCCTACTTCGACGAATTCCCCCAAAAATTAGGGTTCCAGCCGGACCAATTCTCGTTCGGAATCCTAATCAAAGCCTACTGCGAGATGAATTCGCCGGAGAAGGCGACGGAGAAGCTGAACGAGATGGATAAATTAGGGCTCGGAATCAGCACAATTTCGTTCACCACAATCCTCCACTCCATGTACAAAAATGGCAGAATCGACGAGGCCGAGCAGTTCTGGGATGAGATGGTAACCAAAAGAGGCTGCGTTCCCGACGAAGGATCGTACAACGTGAGGCTCAGCTGCATCCACAGTGGCAAGCCGGAGGCGGTCACAGCGGTGGTTGAAGAAATGGCCACGGCAGGGATAAAGCCCGACGCGATAACCTTCAACTACTTGATGACTTGCTATTGCCTGAATGGAATGATGGATGAAGCCATGAACGTCTACCAGACAATGGTGAAGACGAAAGGGTGCTATCCGAATTCGATGACGTACAGGACATTGGTGTTCTATCTGTGCAAGAAGGAGCGTTATGTGTCTGCTTATAAGGTGTTTAAGCACAGTGTGAAGTTCAATCGGATTCCGAATTTGGAAACTTTGAAGAATCTGTTGGAGGGGTTGGTGAAGGTGGATCGATTGGTCGAGGCGAAAAGTATGATTAGGACGTTGAACAAGAAGTTTCATCCCGAATTGTTGGAGGCGTGGAGGAAAGTTGCGGAGGATGTTGGATTGGATGGAGTTGGTGTTGAAGGGGTGGGATCATCGGAGGAGGAAGCTGATGATGACGATGGTGAAGCTGTAAAGGGTAGTAGATGAGGTGGTTCTTTCTGCAAGTTTTATGATCTAATGGGAGCTTAATTGCTCCCATGGCGATTGAAGGTTTCTATAGGTTATGTGCTTTTCGTCTTTTTCTTTTTTAGATTGCTGCATTTTTCTATCATATTTTTTCAGCTGAATCTAGAGCTGTAAATGAGCCTATAAATGAACCCAATTTAGTTGAGTTTGTCATTTTGTTCGTGTTCAACTCGTTAAGAGAACAACATAGACATTTGGAATTGGCACGAAAATTAGGATCGACACGGGAATTTAGTAGGTATAAAAGTATTTTTAAAAGACCAAAATGTTCGTACTTTATGAGATTATTGTTTTGAGACGGAAAGAGTATATATTTATTAAATATGAAAACATTAATTTAATTTTTCTAATAAATAATATCAAATATTCGCAAACAAATTCGAATTTGTTCATGAACATAACAAAGACAAATTATACTCATGTTTAGCTCGTGTAGCTTAACGAACGAGCCAAATCAAGCCAAATTCGCAAACTATTCGTTTGTTTTACAACTCTAGCTGAATCTACTATTATTCAATTCTAAAGGCAATCTAAAAGTTTAGATGGGAGAAAATTAAGACATATCTGATAATGAATGTTATTAGAGCATTTGATAAATTTAACCTGAAGACAAAAATACAAATGAACTACATAGCGTGACTTGCTTTGTAACAAAGACTACAAAGTGATTTATAGCATACCTCATGCTGCTGTGTTGGTGTTTGTCGTATCAGCAGGCTGTTTCTTCGGGCACAACGACGAAATGTGACCTTTTTCCCCGCATTCATAGCACGTGCGCCTCCTTATTTTCGAGCTCACAGCAGGTGTCTCGGCGTGGCTTTCTTGCACATTACTCTTTGGCATCACATTAGCACTGCTGTTCTTTACTTTATCTTCGATGATCGTTGTAGGCGCCAAGTTGGTGCCGCTGTTTTCTTGAACTTTACTAACTGCACTGACCATGGCATCGCTGATATTTTCATCTTTGGTCGTAGAACTGACCTTATCACTGTGGCTGTGGTTCTCTTTCGGGGCGGGTTTAGATTTTGGAATGGTTCCTTTCTTGGGCGGCACAGCACAGCTTATTCTCACTGGTCGTCCGCAGACAATGGTTTGATCGAGCTTCAGTGCCATGTTCAGCGAAAGACTGTCTGCAAAATCGATATGGGCGTAGCCCTTGAATTCGCCTGTTTCCTTGTCTTCACCAAATCGAATCGAAGTAATTGTGCAATCAGAGAACAGTTTCCTCAAATCAGCCTCGCTTACATCCCAAGATAGATTTCCGATGTAGATTCTGTTGTAGCCGTCCACAACTGCAGGGAAAAAATTCGACGATTTGGGTGCTGCTCTAGATGATGACTTGAAAGGCTGGATCTTTAAAAATAGGCCACCCCTGGAGGAGAGTAGAAGATTTCATGAGTGTAATAACCCATGGATTTGAATATTTTAGCAGTAGTCGAGTGACTTACATGTCGGAACCATCAAGGGCTAACGCTCTTTTAGCCGCAGCTTCAGTCTGCAATGGAGAGTGGTTCGGAACAATCAATAAAATTGGAACTAACAAAGCAATCTATTGTGTCTCTCTATCAACAAATCCCAATACAATTGAAAATTTTCGATTGAAAGTGTAATCATAACTTCGAAGAAAAAATAAAATCTACCTATTATAAAAGCTAATGCTATAGTCAAGCAATCTAGTTCAATAGGTTGCATAAACTGTAATTCAGCACAATGCTGACAACATTTCACACTATAATAAACAATACATGATACAACACATTAACTAACGACATATGACAATAATTTACACTACTACCATATTAATCTTGAGTTACTTGACACATGGTATGATGATGGACACGTATACTATATTATTTGAAAACATATGTTGTCTACAAGGTTTTTGTGTGCTGATTTGCACAAAAAGCGTAGTGATCAGTCCAATAAATAAGGAAAACCTACCTTGAAAGAGACAATGGCAATTCCTCTGAACTTTCCAGTGTCTGGAAACTCCATACAATCAACATCTGTAATGGAACCACAACTTTCAAAATAACTCCTAATATCATCCTCAGTCGAGTAGTACGGTATGCCTCCAACATACACTTTTGTGGATGGCTCCAATTCTTTTCTGCTACAATAACACCAAGAAAATGGTAGAAACGTTATGATATATTATTAGATCAGCTCAATATCACAAAAAAAAGGGAGCATTTTCAACAACATACAAGAAGTTCTGTTTTACAGTAGGTACATAAACAATACCAGCAGCATCGAACAGGAAGGTTCTATAAGTTGCATTTTGAACTATATTTATTTGTACACTATACTCTACGTATGACTTGGCTAATTTCAATCACACACACCTTTAAAAACTCAAACTAAATATGATCTGTTAAATGGCATAAATCTAAGCATTTGATTGAGCCACTTACCTTTCAGTGTTTGGACACGCTTCTGCAGCTCCATTCGCTTGACTGGCCTTCGGGTTGTGCACCTCCTTGACTTCCTTGCTTTCAACATTGTTCTTAGGCTTCTTTTTATTCTTAGTTTTCTTCTTTTTCTTTTTTACCTGGGCTGGATTAATCTCTTTCACCTTTTCTACGGCCTCACTTTCATCCCTCTTTCGTTTTTTTCTTTTAACCTCACCATCCGACTTCAGTTCAGTTCTATTCTTTTCCTCGACACGACCACCAGCAGTTTGTTTTTGTTTAACAACCTCTGGATTATTCTCTGCCTTTTGTCTTTGTTTTTCTCTTTTCGATAGCACAGGCTTTTTAGCTTCTGTATTCATAAGGATCTTTAATGACTGCAATTCTTTTGTATCAGTACTCCCGAGTTTTGTATTCTTCTGTGCTTCCCCTGCTGCTAAGAGTTCAGCTTTAGCAGCTCTCAGTTTTTGCTTTAGCTTCTTGTTTGATAATACCATTGTGCTTCCGTCTTTTTGTTATTTGCAATACACTACAAACGAATCAAACCTGGAAAGCAGAAGAAAGTTTCAAATGCACAAGAAGAAAAAGATGTGGAACAGAAAGAATACGATGGGACAACAATCTATTACTAAACTGGTCATAATTCGGTGAAAATAAGCTCAGAAAAATTAAACTAAAACGCATCAAAAGTTGATGTCATCCAGCACATGATGCAGTTGTTGTCTACGACAGATTCCTCAATTTTCTTTAATATGATTAAATATGCAAGAACAAGCACCGGTTGAAAAAGGTAACGTAGAATCGTAAATAACATTCCTCTAGACTCTAGTAAATCTTAATAGTCCGGCAGAAAAAATCTAATTTTGCACAATGGAAACAAAAAGAATAATTCAAACAGGATTGTGTTCAATTTAGTGTTTCATGTGAGCGTCCGTAGCTATCCGAAGGTGCAACAACAATCGTGATTACTCCTACGAGCTCCCCCACTCTCTATCATATAAAGACACATAGATATACTCAAGGGGAACCCCACCACTGCACTTCAAGGCAGTCCAGACTCTACTGCTAATCTAAAGGTAAATATAAATTTATCTTATGTAACACAAGCTTACGTGAAGTAAAACAACTTCCGTTGGCGGCGACAAAAAACAGGCAGCACAGAGGATTCGCCGCGGCGGCGTGCGGCGGCGCGCGGTCTCTCCTATCAGGGTACTTCCGATTCTGTCTTAAAAACACGCCAAATTACAAAGCTCCGTATAGCTTTTGATCTTAATTTTATTCTTATTTATCACAGTCTAAATTGGGCTATGATTCTATAATATGGGCCTTAGCCCAAATAAAAAATATAAGCCCGTTAATATTGGGCCAGCCCAATATTGGATTGGAATGATAGATTATCTCCGATGCTCCGGTGAGCTTGGTCACTTCGCAGAGGGTAAATCGAAGGGAGCATGACGACTCGAATCGCGCCAGGTGTGGGCGCAAATCTTCTGGGCCAGCACTCTGCCGAGCGCAACCAGGACGCCACTGTCTACGTCGGCAATCTCGACACCAAAGTAATAGTTTTTGTTTCTCTTCTTTGTCTTTTAGGTTTGCTTGGTGTAGTGTTAGAAACCTATTGTTGATGGGTGGGTGTGGAGCTAGGGTTTTTGCTGTACTGAGCATGGATATGAAATGGTCTTTAGTGTGCTCTTTACCTTTTTTTTTTTTTTTTTTTTTCTTTTTGTACCTTTTTCTGCTGATTCTGTTCCTCAATTATCTCTCGGTTTTGTGTGCTTGCGGTGATGACTTCCTTGTTTTGTTAATAAAAGCATGAGCCTATCCGTTATTTGTTATAAAGCCTAAGGACTTAATTTCGTTAGAAACTGTTATTGAGGTTACTGCGTAAAATTGCATCTTTTTATACTTGAGATATGGAAAATGTCAAGAGTGATTCAATGCCTCGCGTGGGGGAATGAGCAACCGAGTAATTTGGTTGGCCGAGTATATTTTGTGCATCAATCAGGGTGTAATTTGTCTCCCACTGTAATGACTGTAAGGTTATTGCTGTAGTTTACATCAGGTTAAATACTAGTTGAAACCTGTTGTTCTTGCCACTTCATTCAATATAATATGACACATGATGCTATTGTACTGTATGCTTGTAGTCGTTGCTTTCAGTTAGATCATTTTGCCTTTTGCATCTAGTTTTAATTTTTAAATTTTTTTTTATTGTTTGTCCTACAATGGTTCAGCTCAACCTTAAAGATGGAAAATCTCTAAATCTTTTTTGGCTCTTGGTATGCTTGGTAGTATTTTTTGGGTGTTTGACTATTGGTCGAAATGAATTCTTAGTCTTTCCTGTTAATGTGGCTTGCAGGTCAGTGAAGAGTTATTATGGGAGTTGTTTGTACAAGCAGGTCCAGTTGGTATGTGTAAAATAGCTGTTATTTCATATATTACTTTTTCCCCTACATTTTGTGCTTTATTCAGGCAATATCTATTATTGTAAGTTGCTTATACTGAAGTTTAATCAGTGTTATTTACTATAATGCCAAAATCAAAACACATGTTTCTATTGGTGCAAATATTTATTCATCTATACATTGACATCAAATAAAAGTTTGCAGATAAATATATTTCTGGGGAAATGCTTAAGAGACAAAATATGTGGAAAATTTTACAAATTCCTAATAGAAAAGGAAAGAGTTAGAAAGTTGGATTGAAGTTTATTCAAATTTTTATGCACCAATATGACGTTAAAAATAGGGACTTGTTGATTTATACATAAATAAGGAGAGGACAAGTAGAAAGAATCAGAAAGAAATTATAGAAATATGTAACATTTAAGCTAGAGCAGGATATTTCTGATGATTGACTTATTCATAGGATCTAAATTACATAGAGGATAGAGGATTTAGATGGTCATCAATATTGTGGATAGTGTCGACTTGTCAAGTCAACTTGTTAGACTTCCAAGAGGTCTAATTAATTGAAAATCCTATTGTTGGGTTATTTACTTCTACGGAATTGTTCCATATATCTTTATGTTTCAAGCCACACATCTTGTATATTGCAGTCAATGTATATGTACCCAAAGATCGAGTTACAAATGCCCATCAAGGTTATGGTTTTGTGGAGTTCAGAAGTGAAGAGGATGCTGATTATGTAAGTATTATATATGCTCTCCAATTTTTTGTATTTAACATTCCTTGTTTTGAGTCCCTCCTATAAACTTACATATGCCTGTTTCTTCAGGCAATCAAGGTCTTAAATATGATCAAACTATATGGAAAGGCCATACGTGTGAATAAGGTACACACCTTTGATTGGATAAGAGCATTTGTTAATAGTCTGCCAGTTTTCACTGGTTGTAAATTTGTAATCCATTGGGATGTGTCTTATTGATGTTATAAAGGTCAGTTATGTTCTATGTGTGCAGTGAAAATTTTCATTATTTTTCTTGTGTTTTCCAGGCATCACAAGATAAGAAAAGTGTGGATGTGGGAGCAAACCTTTTTATTGGGAATCTTGATCCTGTAAGAGTTCTTAAGATTTCAATTTATATGAGTGTCCATAATTTTTTTTCTCATCAATTAGTTTTTTGTTTGCTCCTAAGGTCTCCCAAATATTGCAGTTTTATGCCCTAATACTCATCTCTGGGTAATTATGCTCTTTGTTGCATCAAATCTGTAACAAATGCATCTTATACCTGCCTGTTTGCAGGATGTGGATGAAAAACTCCTGTATGACACATTCAGTGCTTTTGGAGTCATTGTTACAAATCCAAAGGTCAGACCTCTGCTGTCTAATCACACTACCTTCGAGTTCTGATGTCTGTTCTGTTTGTATTGCTCTGCAAAAATACATGGGTGAAGCAAAAATTCTTACACAACTGAGCTTATAATTGTCCATGTACAATTAATAATGATAAGGTTATGCCTGATGAGCTCTGGTTTCCTTGTTATCTGAGTGAGATTTACTGCCTCAAACTTAGTTATAGTCTTCAACAGTACACTTTTGTTGTTTGTACATCTCATTCTAATGGTATGACAGGTGTTTGTAGAATTATCATAAGGCATTATTGTTCAGAAAATCTGTAGGTATCCTACAACTTAAAATTTGTATATATGGATTGTTAGTTCATTGGTATACGTGATCTGTTAGTAAAATGTAGTAGGTTTTGCCGTATAGAACATAACAACTGGCTACGTCTTGAAAGTAATTGATATTCTTATGATCATTAAATGTTTGAATACTGGATGTTTAAGTGTATTGGATTGATGTCTTTAGTAATTTGAAAAGCTTTGTCTATTTGTACTGCAATTTTATCTTTGCCTTCTCTTTTTCCTTGAAATGCGAAATATAGCTTTCTGCCAATTTTGGCAACTTAACCCATCAAGGACTAAAGTTTATTCTCATCTGTTGCTGGATCTTAAATTTGGTGTTTGCAGATAATGAGAGATCCAGATACTGGGAATTCACGTGGTTTTGGTTTCATTAGTTATGATTCTTTTGAGGCCTCTGATGCTGCTATTGAGGTAAATTTCTGCAGATGCTCTTTTATAGGCCCTGACAAAAAAGTCGTTCATAAATTTTTATCAAGAATGTAAATGTCAGTCTTCTATCTAATTGAGAATTTTTATCTTAATTGGTTTGAAGCATGCTAAGAGGTTAAATGTAATAAGTTCCCTTTTTGCATTGTTCTTTGTGGCATGCATGATCATTGTGGCCTAAAAACTTAAGTCCCTTAATAGTTATTATATTCCTCTCTTCATTATTATGAAATCCTATTCACATGTCTCCAAGGTAACTGTCTTAAAGCTAGATTGAAAATCTCTTTACATTTATCAATTCTGTATGTATGTCTGGGTGCACCTGAAGTAGTTCTTCTTAAGATTATGTCGTTTTTCAATGTGTTCTGGTGTGTCATATGTAATGAATTTTCACATCCAAATGTATCCGATTTAATTGTCTTCTCTTTGTATTTATCGTCTAAAAATCTACACTTGTGAAATGTTGACCTCTGAAAGGAATGAAACGGTTTTTAATACGTCAAAACCCAATGCTTTTCATGTTTTCAGACGATGAATGGCCAATATCTCTGTAATCGCCAGATTACAGTATCTTATGCATACAAGAAAGACACAAAAGGAGAGCGGCATGGTACACCTGCTGGTAAGTTTGCATTTTTGGATCCTTGTGGTTCTCATGATGAGTTTGTTTCGAATCTTAGGAAATATAAACTTATCTTAGTTGGTAATCTGTGAAATAATCTGATCACACCATTCATCAAGAAAATGCCGCAGCTTGCAACCCAGAACAGGAAATACACTGGTGGCTAGTTTGTGCTTGTTTCATGCAATGAGATTTCAGATTTAAAATGTTCGTTCTGATGCTGTTATTTTATTCTATTGTTGAATTGCAGAAAGGGTTTTGGCTGCAAGCAATCCAACTACCCAGAAAAATAGGCCTCACACAATGTTTGCGAGCGGACCTCCATCACTTCCCCAGGCAAATGCTGGCGTTAGTGCTCCTGTACCTCCACGGCCATTCGCAAATGGCAGTGTTCCTCCATCTCCTATCCCGACACTTCGTCCGCCACCTCCACAACCCCAACAAGCTGCCTATCCACCAATGCAAATGGCTGCTCAATCTTGGCAGGGTCAACCACTTCAACCTGGTCCACCTCCTCCAATGCAGCATTTCGGCAGCATGCCACCACCACCACCCCAAGTGGCTCCACCTATGGTCAGGCCTCCTCCACCACCTTCTGGACTTGCTGCTCCACCTATCTGGCGGCCACCACCACCACCTCAGCATCTCACTGGCGGACCACATTCCATGCCACATATGTCAATGCCTCAACAGATGCAAGGCATGCCGCCTCCACCGCCACCACAGTAATGGTAGAAACTTCGATGGTATACTCTGTTGCTGCCTATGAGAGTTTACCTCTTTGATTTTAAAATGGTTGCTGTTGTTATATCCCTAGCTAGGAAATGTTTATGCGGTGGACAAGAATATCTTTTTGGCCGTTAATTGCATGTTTCATCTTTCTTAATGTGCAATCTGTGTTTTGCTGAGATGATAATTCTTGATAATATAGAATTACAACTTTTATAATCTCTCCTCATAACAGCTAATTAGCTTAGGACACAGCATCTGAGCACATATTGCAGTGTTTATTTGAACTTCTTATATATCTTCCATTAATTGTCACACACCTGTTGCAGTATAATCATAATTAAATATTGTAGGAACCTAGATGGCATGGGATCCACAATCAAAAGAGGAATTTTATACTGTTTGTTTTTATGTTGTCTCAGCATATGCTAAATGTCTTGTGATTGGTACTTTTGCATTCAATAGCTGGAATTTGTTGACATTTTAGGCCCCTGAAAAAAGTTATTTGCAAATGAGTATGGTGTTTGTAGGTGGTGGTGTTGAGTATCAAAAGGTGTATTTTGTTGGACAGAAGAAGAGCATCATGGTTTCATTGGACACAAATAATTCATGAGAAAGCAATAACAATAATAGATCTAATGAGCAAGAACAGAGAGAGAGAGAGAGAGAGAGAGAGGTTGAACAGTAATGATGGGTCTAAAAGCTATAGATCCTTTAATCATTTGTTATTGTTTCCCCTTTCCAGCTGATACTTACCTGAACAGACCTCCCCATGATTCATCATCATGATGCAGGCAGGCAGGCCATCTAGATTCCATTGTGGTGGAGGTGCAAAGTTCGAGAATGGCACGAATGATGCATCAATCCAGATTGGTATTTTGCATGGGGATATCTTCCACATTTGCAGGTTACAAATCCATGCTAATATTAATTTATTATAATCTGCTTACTGCTATGCCTGCCTGCCTACCTGCAACCATATCAATTTAATTCAGTTCCATTACTACTACTACTACTATTCATCAAACTCCTGCACTAAAAGCATTAATTCATTCTCAACTCACTCTATGTCATGCATGGTTCTCCATGATGTCTGTCAGTCTGTCACTCATTCATTGATGAGTCAGTCTCCATCTTTTAACTAATTTCTCATCTCCCACCAACAAACATTTAATCTACCACTGCTACAATGCCCTACTTGTCTTCTTCTTCTTCGTTCACACTAGTAGCAGTAGAAGTAGTAGTAGCAGTAGTATATACAAATTACAGTACACCATTTTTGACTTGTTTCTTAGTTAAAAAATTACAGCACTCACTCAAAATGCATGTGGGTGGAAAAGTTGTTACTTGAATGAATATGAATAGAAGAATACTGTACAAATCTAATATATATATGGCAGTTCGTTGTTGTACAGCATAGGTGCAAAGTGCAAACTTGATCATAGATATCTTTTATATATATATATAGATGGCTCTGTGAAAAGTCGAGCTGACGCTGTTATTTAATTAGCGGGTAAAACTGTAGAGAACAGAATCTTTCTGATAGATCATCGATGGCGTGAGAATAGATACATATAGAGATAGATATAGAGATAGATTGGTTTTGGGTTGAGTGAGAAACACGAAAAGGGTAGATGCATGGAATGGAGTTGGCAGAGGTGAAAATTTTAATTTAATAATGGCGATACAGATAATACTACTACTATAACTTAACAAGCACCCACTGCACCTTCTCTTCTCTTTACTTTCTGCCATTGATGATATGGAATTCAATTCTGCTGCTTTTCAGTATTATTATTTATGTGTACGTACGTTTGCTTGCATGCATGCATGCATGGTGTACGTGTGCGTGTTCTGTTGGATATTGCCAACTTTCTTTATTATTACAACTCTGACCAATCTCGATGCATCACTTCCCATTCATTGCTTTTCCTCTTCTCAAGATATGCATATATTTTTAAGGCTGCGCTTTGTTTTCCTTTTTTTTTTACCAATGGCTTCTCTCCTTATTTATTGTACTATTGTTTTTCATTTTAAATTTTTTAAATTTAAGTAATATAATTCAACAAACCAAAAAAAGACACCTTTGGATATGCGTGATTATAGTAACTAGTTGTATCTTCACTTCACCTCGTGCAAACACTACAAGAAAAAAATTATTTTTGTAACAAAATTTTTTTTTTTTTAAATCTATTTTTTTTTGTTACTAATGACATTAGAGACGGAATTAGTAATGGAATTACGTTAGCTATGTGAACTTTAGGGACGAAATTCCGTTACAAATATATTATTTTTTTGCAATGAAAATAGACACCTATACTTTATTTTTGACAGACTTAATTTACCTTCTTCCTTTTTTGTAATAATTATGTTGTGATCAATACTTCTGAGTATTACTATTAAAATACTAAGTTCAGTTTTGTTTGTAATTATGAGATTGAGTAGTGATTACATTTTAGTAGTCGAGCCAAGTAAAAATGGTTTAATCCACCTTAAAAATATTTAGGCGAAATAATTTTTTAAGTGCAACATTTACCTGTTGTGGCAATTTACATTATGTATGCAATTTTTTGGTATTCATTTTATAATTTTAATTTTATTTAATAAATATTAAAATAATTAAGTCAAATCGGCCTATCCTGTTAAATAACTTGTCCCCGCACTTGGCCACTTTCTGGTCCTAGGAGCATTTTATGAATTTTATACATATGAATATTAAAATGAAATTATGAAAAAAAAAACCTTAAGATTTAATACAAAAGTTAAAATTATTACTATAAAACATTGATATTATAGGACTACTAATACTATAGCACGAATTAACCAGAACTAAAAATCAGATTTAATAATATACAAGTACTTAGAACCATCGATGATGACGACTTATAAATTCCAAAAAAGAAAAAAACAGATAAACAGTAGGCCTGGGCATTAACTATTTGTTTAAACTAAAACCGCTAAAACGACGCCGTTTTGGAAACCCTGCGCCGGCTCTGATCGGAGGAACGCTTACTGCACTCCGACGGCGCGAAAATGGCGGACCAAATGTCGGAGAAAGCTTCGACGATGATGCCGTGATAGTTGCCGGAATTCAACGACAGGAAGCACTGTAAGAGCTGCTCCAAATCGGCGGGATCGAACATTTGCTTCTCCAGAATCATGTCCGCCATCGAATTCCTGAAATCCTCGTACGGATTCTCCGATCTCTTCACGATCGCGTAGCTCTCCTTCACTTTTCCGTCCACTGTGCACGGAATCAGCTTCTTAAACACCGAGAGCCGCGCCGGAATGTCCGCCTCCACCGCCGCGGCGGCGCCTCCGGAGGCCGTCGATCGGGCCGCCGTGCGTTTGGAATCTCGTTTTTTGTATCTCCGGTGAGGAAATTTTCCGGCGAACGGTTGTGCGAAGTTTTTGCGACGATCGGAGGAAGAATCCGTTGAGAAGCTAATTGATGGGGAGAATAACGTTTCTGCTTCCTCTTGGAGACTTTGCTCGGCGGCGGCGGCGGCGCCGCCGCCGCAGCCGCCTTCGCTGCTGAACCATCCGCTGTCGGCGGAGGAGGTGCTCAGGCGAAGCCTGGTGGGGACGTTGATTTTCTTCCGGTTCCTTTTCCCGCGGCTCTTCTTTTTCTCACCGGACGGCGGCGGCGGCGGCGGCGGCGGGGAGGGAGCTGCGGCGTTGAAGTCGGGGGTTTTCCGGTGAGGCGGCGGAGGGTGGTTTTCGTAAATTCTGGCGATGACGTGCCAGTTGTGTTCTCTTCGCCATTTGAACTCCGGCGAGCTGGGAGCGGCGATTGTGAAGGAAGGGGCGGGATCTTGGGGCAGGATGGAGGGGTGCTTTGATCGGCAGGACTGGAGAGTGGTGGAAATGGCTCGAGAAATTCGAAGTCTGAATCGTTTCGCCATTGTTGTGGAATGGAAGCTTCGCATGACTTTTAATTTGTGTGAAGAATGCCTTTGTCTGGATTATTGATAATTGCACTTTATATAGACACGACAAGTACTACATATACATACTGTATGTTATATGTACGGGTATAAGTATATATATATTTTATAATATGAAAACTTGTCCCTGCTTAGGTAATATTGTATTTGATTGTGATTTTAAATTAAATTTAATATTATTTTTTTTATAAAATATTTATCAAAATATTATGTCACTAAAATAAAATTCAAATAATATTTTATTTCAAATTAATTTTAAATTGAAACCAACTAATGCATAGTCTTGTAAGGGTGTGTTTGTTTGGGGGTTTGGATTTTGAGTTGGGATTTGAATAGTAAAAATTTTGAATTTGAATAGTTGTATGATGTGATATAAATAGGTGATGATGTGATGTTTTGAATGTAAAATTGATTTTTAGTATAATATAAAAAATAAAAAATAGGTGTTTTGATTTGATGTTTTTGAGGGAAAAATTTTGGATGAATAGTGTGTCTAAATCTCTCAACCGAACACATCCGTTCAAACTCTAAATGCCTTTAAATTTTGCATGATATTAGTTTTGGTTATAATATTACAAAATAATAATAATAATAATAATAATTGAATGAAGTAAAATATTGGGGTTGGTGGAGGACTGAGCGAGCGCTTGTGATATATTTCTTCACGGGACGCCATTTGGAGGCTCCCAAATTTTAAAATAAAATTTGATGGTTGTATGACTGTATTCTTTCTGTCACTTGAAATATGGTTTATATATGGTCATGTCTATTAAACAATAAAGGTGAAAACAATGTAAGGATCGTCCTGCGAAATTGTTGGATTTATGACCGTGAGATTATAGTATTATTTATGAATTAGACTTAATAAATAACAATTTGGACAAAAGAATAATAATAAGCAAAAAAAAAAAACATATTTTTGGATTTATTTGTTTTTAATTATTTTCTCTTTTCAAATTTGACATGTTGAAGTATGCCTTTAGTCTCTTTCACCTTAAAAATATAGTTGGAAAGTTGTAACAGTAGAAATTCCTTGAACAATAGTGTATTCCTATTGCACCATTAAATAAAAAGAACCTTTAGACAGGTGTTCAGTAAAACTTTTATATCAATCAAACAAAAATTGCAATGTTCTAAAAGGTGGTTTTTTTTTTTTTTGTTTATTAAGGGATTTTTATTAATTTCCCAAGTTAGTTATTTTTTATTTTTTATTTTTCGGAAGCTAGTGAGTATGTATTACACACACAGTCTGTTTATTTGTTAATAGATGTCAATAATAAATTAATACTGAAAACAATTATAGTAAAAGAATTTTTTTTAAAAAAAAAAAAAGTTGCCATGCAAAATGACAGTATTATTACTACACATCTAATAGATTGACCAGCTTTATTTGCATTAATTATTATTCATGCTGTCCAAAAGTAACTTTATTCTTAATTCTTTTGTGCCTGTGCAATAAATAACACCTATCTACCTAAGCATGCCCATAATGATTTCCCTATACATATCAAGGCGCTCTTCACATATTTTTCAATTTTTGATATTATTGGTTAACAATAATATTTTTAAATAGTATTTTTTTTATCATCTAATTTTTATTTATTTATTTTTTTTATATAAAAATATTTTATTTTTTCATTTAATAAAAAAATATATTACTTTTTTAATCTATAAACAATAACAAGTACACGTACATTAAAACATATGTTAAAAAAATTAAACACTTTTTTTTTTGTGACAGATGGTGTATTATATTAAACTTTTTTTTTTTCAGAAAACATAATTATATTAGATAATATTTATTATTTTTAAAATTTTGTAAAATTCTAATGGTGTGTTTGTATTGTGACATAATTTGAAGAAATATTTTTTTTTATATAAAATATAAAAAATTATGTATATATAAAAATAATAAATATATATAATACTATATCCGTCCCACATACCGTGTCTGCTATATTGTATACAGTATTTTAAGAGGGGTGTAATTAGTAGATAATTAAGAATATTTTAGTGAAAATAATTATCTTATAATATAAATAATTATAAATTAAGATTAATATAACTAATTAGTTTAATTAAAATTTAAAAAAATTAAAATTAAAAAGTTTTAAATGAGATTAAAATGTATAATTATTTTTCAGAAAAAGAAAGTGACATGATATGTGGGACGGACAAAAACGGCAACGTGGACATGGTATATGGAAGCCAGGGAGTATATTAATTTGTTATTGAATAAACGTGTTGAGTTTTTTTTACAAAGAGAACATATTCTAAAACTTCTATTTGAACATAACCTAATATTTTAAATATTTTCAACTAATAAAGTTTTAAATGAATATATATTGAATATAATATTTTTTAAAAAAATAGTTATTATAAAATTCAAATTATAATATGTGGTGAATAAAACAACACAAAAATATTGGAAGGAAGGTGCTAGCTATTACATTTACTATATATTTATTTTTAAAGTTTTTTACTAAATTTGCGTATTTTCAAATAGCTTGTTACCTTTAATATTTATTGTATTCAAAATCATAAATTCACAATTTATTTTATATATAAAGCTCGTCACATTAATGCTTTTATTTATTTATTTAAAATCTAAATCAACAATATGTTTTCAAAGTAAAACTAAACAAATCTTTGTCCCGAATGACCTGGTAGTGTAGGGGTTAGACTTGTGACCATGAGATCATGGTCGTCCAACGTCTTTTTCGTCGGATCTGTTGTTTTTTTTTTTTTTTTGGAACAATGGTTTAAATATAATATTTTATTATAAACAAAAATATATATTTTTTTTTAAAAATTGCCATAATTATGAAGTAATAAAACCAAAACTAAACTTAAAATAAAATTTAATTATTATTTTTTTAAAAAAAAATCTCAATCTTGAATTCAAATTGGTAGACATCTATAAGTACAACAACTTTGAGGCCCAAATTCAAGCCCTACAATTTGGGTCTTTGTAAGCCCAACCCATTCATTTTTAGAACATAAAAATGACAACTGGTCAGATATTACAAAACTTGATCATAAATTACAAGATTTGAGATCAGACCTGAAATTTGAGACTATGGGTGTGTTCTTTAAAAAAATAAAAAATAAACACGTCTACAAAAATATCATTATATTATACACATTTATTATTTTTTATATTTTCTACGCAATTTCTCATGTCGCAAGTAAATAAATTTTCCTTTAAATTATCTCACAAAACAAACACAATATATATAATTTTGTTCTCCCAATATTATTTTTTAATTGTGATTATAAAATTGTTGTTTTTCGATGAACTTGTTTAATATGAATGTTACTTTTTATAATAAAATCACACATAATACAAATATATATACATAACATACATAAATTATCTTTATACATAAAACCAATTTAATTTATGACTCATTTTTGTTATTAATAAAATTATTTATTTTAAATATAATTAATAAATATAAATCAATTAAATTAAATTTCTAACATCTTATATACCTCGAAACCATTTTATTTCAATCTCTCGTTAATAAACAAATTTTTTAATTTATATTTAAATTTTTTTTATTTTTATAAAATTAATTTTAAATTAATTATGGATAAATTAATATTTATTTATTTATTTGTTTGTATTCTATAAAATTTTATAATTTAGAAAAATGATATTTCTATTGCATTAATATCTTGGCGTCGTTATCTGGCTGATGCCTACAAGCACGGGCCGGGCCCATATTGCTGGCCATCAAGGTTGACCTGACCTTGCGACCAACCCGCCCACCCCCTACATGTGTACGTGATTCATATTTCTATTTTTCACTACTCAATATTCAAATTTTTAATAAAATAATTCTATTCAATAATAAGGTAAAATAATAATAATAATAATAATAATAATAATAATAATATCAGAATAAACTTAAATGTTTAGATATGAAATTTGAATTTAAGATAGTAAAAAGTTGTACTGAAATGATACTTGATGCAATATAGACAAATGTATAATGTGATATTTTAATTGAAATTTTATTATATTTATATAATATATTAAATAAAAAATAAATACCCAAAATGTGCTGGCCTACTATAGACTTGGGGAGTTGCATTATGTCGTGTTATGTGTGTGTGGCCCTTCGCATTCAGAAAGACTGTTTTGTTTGCATGATTAAATCTTTACTCATTTTGGTATTATTTTTTTATTTTTTTACAAAATATCAAATAAAATATTTTTTTTTTTAATTTTTTTTCAAATTTTCAAAACCTATTTCTTAACAGACCATTTTTAAAACTTTTATTCTGCAATAAATTTGTACGCGTTACTATTAATTAGTTACATTACAAGACATATTTATCAATTAATTCCATTCCAATTATTATGCCACTTGCATAGGTATAACTGGGCAATCGACCACACACTCACATGATGCAATATATTTAATTGAATATAACGAGACAAAATTATTTAAAATTAATATACTCAAAATAAATTCCATTCCAATTAGTGGATTGATTGATGTGAAAACGTGGACAAAGTGTTGTGGAAGTTCATATAGTGGATCCCTTAATTATAATAATCCTCTGAGTTTTTTTTTTTTTTTTAGATGAATTGATTTTTTTTTTTTCTGTGTATAAAAAAAAATGTGTTGATGATTTTTTATGAATAAATAATATGTGTATATCATATTCATGTATGTATATATATATATTTATAATATTTACGAAGAATTATTCAGTTGCGAAATGCTGAATGAACGGACCGATACTATTGAAAATAGCAAGCAAATAGAACTTTAACTTGGGATGTGTTTTAAAATAATTTAAGGACATTTTCACGTTTTGAAGTGCTGAAAATAATTATTACTAATAAAGTAGCATTTTAAGTAGGTTTATTTGGACCATAAAGTTCTCAAAATCAATTTTAAATGTTTGTGTTTTCTCCTTAGAATTTCAAAGCAAGTATTTGCTTTTCGATACGATTTTTTAGGCCAACTCCAATCTACTGCACAATAACCGGTTAATCCTCGCACCATTAGACTATTCTTACCGGACATGTATAGAAAACAATTTTCTATAATACTTACTCATATTACATACAAAAATTAAATATAGAAAACAAATTTTTAAATAATTATTTAACATATACTCCCTCCGTTCCATAATTAGATATTCATTTGCTTTTTGTACGTAATTTTAAAAATATTAGTATTATATTTGGATTTAGTAAGAATAAAGTAGAAATGACTAAGATAACCTTATTAGTATGTGTGATATAAAAGTAATGACATTTGTGTAATATATTGTAAGTTGTAAGGATATTTGTAATGTTAGGTAGACAGTACAGTTACTAAAAAAAGGAAATAGATACCTTGTTATGAGACGAATTAAAATGAAAAAATAGATATTTTATTATGGAACAAATGGAGTATATATTTGTATAAGCAAAAATTACACAATATTTTATAAAGTTAAAATTATTGTCCCGTAACGGATGACCTAGTGATTTGGAGTGAATTCGTGACCGTGAATTTATGAATTTCAAACCCCGACGCCTCCAAGTCACTTGTCACGTAGTTCACCTTACGTGACTTGTCTTATCTCTGAAGTTCATTAGAATGAGCTACGGTAACAACAATTAGCTACATAACTGCCGAATTATAATAAATATGACTGCTAAGGAACAGCTATAATAATTAATTATCAATCTTCACGTATTTTTGTTATTAAGTATTGCCACGAATAAAAAGTGCAATTAGATCAACAATTGATATAAATCTGACAAATACCCATATTTTAATTGGTAACACGATTCAGTTATGGTAGGCAGATATATCTGATTTTGCTTTTCTTTCTTAAAAAATAAAAATTATTTGACATATATTAATGAAATTATTTTGTTACCTGTTTAAACCTAACTTTATTCAGCACTTCATATTATTATTATTATTATTATTATTATTATTATTATTATTATTATATCTACACAGGCACAAATTCATATATTCTACTGGATATGAACCTAATGTTTTTTTTTTTTTTTTTTTTCAACATCTGATCCTAGCTGTAATATTAATATACAATAGTAATATTTAATTTCACTTGTAACAAAATGATTAATAATTTTTAATTATGCTACTATAATATCATAAATATGATTTAACTAAATAAAATAATATTATTTATTTTAATCCACAAAAGAAACATTTGTTTTAAAATAGATTATGATTATTCTGTAAATAAAATAACGATTGATTATGGAAAATAAAATAAAAAAAATAATCTGCTAATTATTAGAATTCCCTTATTTGATCTTCTTTTTTAATATTTTGAATTATGCAGTATATCTCATACAATATATTTAAAATTATTATAATACCATTGTCATAACTGGTATGGACATTATTCGTGTATTACATTAATAAACGACATTTATTTTATTTAATTAATTTTATGGTAAGTGATTAGGAAAACTTATCCAATTCAATTGTAAATTTCTTCCATCAGTACCCAAAAATAGGATCTTAGCACTTTCGGATAGCGGCTGTGTTCCCACGTCATAAAAAAATAAAAAATAAAAATAAAAATACTAATAAATAAATAAAATAGGGTCATTAGGGAAAGAGACGAAACCTAATGTAAGTGTTAACTGAAACACACTTATAATAGAAACTAATCTGGCAAAAGACAAGGGTATTTGAATCAGTCTGGTCTGTACAGTAAGTACTCATTCGTCATCTTCTTCATCGTCATCCATAAGATTGATTAATTAATTAATTATATCCATATCCTCATAATCCTCTCATCCTGTAATCGACCAACCTCCAATCCTTTAAATTTTATTCTATCATCCCCCTCACAACACCTTCTTCATTATTATTTTTATTATTAACCTCTTGTCGACATATATGTTTCGGATTTTGATCGCTGGAGTTTTGATTTTTTCTGTAAATTGATTCGTTTTTTTAATTAGGGTTTGTCTGTAGTGAGTGGTGCCTGTTTACTTTTTGTGTTTACCTAAAAGTCTAGTGTTGATTATAATTTCCTTTTTGTCTTTCCATTTGATTCCCTCTCGTCTCTCTGTCACTGTCGCTGTGTGTACATATACATATATATTATATATTGCGAGGTTTAGAGTTGAGCCTTTGCCAGAAGTGTTTAATTTTTTTGTGAAGGTGAAAGTGATCAGCCATGGTGGATGCAGAGAGTATTGCTGGGGGGAAGAAGAAGCTTAACAAATATGCCTGTGCTTGTGCTATCGTTGGCTCTTTGATTTCAATCATTTTTGGATATGGTGATTTTCTTAACAGATCTGTGTTTTTTTTTTGGGTTTTCGATTATGTTTGTTTATTTTAAGGAAACATTGGAGACGATGGGGGATGATAAAGTCTATTAGATTCGCCTTTTACGTAAAAGTTATGACAGGACTGTCGATCGATCTAATTTCTGACATCACAAATTTTATCTTTTATGAATTTTATAATGTTAATTTTGATTTTCTGTGTGATTTGCAGACACTGGTGTAATGAGTGGGGCGATGATCTTTATAAAAGATGAATTTACAGTGAAGGAAACGCAGCTGGAAGTGCTCGCCGGAATCCTTAATCTGTGCGCTCTGGTAGGGTCGCTCTGCGCCGGCCGGACCTCCGACTACATCGGCCGGCGGTACACGATCGTGCTGGCGTCAATCATCTTCATGCTCGGATCGATAATTATGGGATACTCGCCGAATTACGGCGTCCTAATCGCCGGCCGGTGCACGGCCGGAATCGGCGTTGGATTTGCTCTGATGATCGCGCCGGTGTACGCGGCGGAGATCTCCGCCGCGCACAGCCGCGGACTTCTCTCCTCCCTGCCGGAAATCGGAATCAGCGTCGGAGTATTGCTTGGGTACGTCTCCAACAATCTGTTCGGAAATTTGAGCCTCCGCCTCGGGTGGAGGCTGATGCTCGGCGTCGCCGCCGTGCCGTCTTTATTTCTGGCCATCGGAATCTTAAAAATGCCGGAGTCGCCGCGGTGGCTGGTGATGCAGGGCCGCGTCGGAGACGCCAAGAAGATTCTAGACAAAGTCTGCGACGACGCCGCCGAATCGGAGCAAAGATTAAAAGACATAAAAACGGCCGCCGGAATCGACGAGAGCTGCACCGCCGACGTCGTGAAAATCCCCAAACAAAAAGACACCACCGCCGCATCCATCTGGGGGGACCTTCTATTCCGGCCGACGCCGGCCGTCCGCCGCATGGTGATCGCCGGCGTCGGCCTGCACTTCTTCGAGCACGTGACGGGGGTGGAGGGGGTGATTCTGTACGGACCGAGCATCTTCAAGAAAGCAGGGGTAACTTCTAGAAAGAAGCTTCTAGAAGCCACGATAGGAATCGGGATCGTGAAACTAACCTTCATAACGATCTCAACGTTCATAATCGACCGGGTGGGCCGGCGGCGGCTGCTGCTGTTCAGCATCGCCGGAATGGTGGCGTCGCTGGCGGGGCTGGGGACGTGTCTGACGGTGGTGGAGCGGTCGGACCGGCGGCTGGTGTGGGCTTTGGTGCTGAGCCTGATATTTGTGTATTCGTACATAATGTTTTTCAACATCGGTCTGTGTCCGGTTTGTTGGGTGTACAGCGCCGAGATATTTCCGAACCGGCTGCGGGCCGCCGGGGCGAGTTTGGGCGTGGCGGTGAACCGGGTGATGAATGCGACGGTGTCGATGACGTTTTTGTCGATGGCGAGGGCGATGACGTTCGGCGGAACGTTTTATTTTTTTATGGGGATGGCGGTGGTGGCGTGGCTGTTTGTGTTTTTTTTACTGCCGGAGACGAGGGGGCGGCGGCTGGAGGAGATGGAGGAGGTGTTTTCGAAGGGAGGGGGCAGGGGAGGGGGGAAGGTGGAAATGGTCACGATGACTAATTAATTTAATTAACTAGTTAGTTAGATTAAAAAGAAAAATAAAAAAAATAATTAATTAGGTAGGTGAACCTTTGGAGGGGTTTAATTTGCCACCGTGGTTTACCCATGGGATCCTATGTCCAAAAATAGATCATGTTTTCCACACACATAACGTGTATATATATAAACCTATTATGTACGTGGAATAAGGGGTATGATGTGTTAATGGAATAGCATGGGAATGCACGAGTACATGCATATCTGTTGTAATGGTAACTACTATCTACGAAAAAAATTTTCTTTTGAAAAAATGTAAAATTAAATATATCTTTTTAAATTTTTTATATTATTAAATTTACATTCAAAGCATTATATTAATTGGCTATTTATATCATATCTTATTTATATCATATCTTATTGATTAAAAATTTTTACTATTCAAATTTCCAGTAATAAATAAAAGCTTCAATATTTAAATATTTTTTATATTAAAAATAAATACAAAATATTATTTGTTTTAAAATTAATACTAATAAAATTAAATTAACATTTTTATGACATAAGAATATAATGATAATTTTTTAATAACTTTTTAAGTTTAAATATAGCAAAATATTGCGATGCTATTGATACTATTAAAAGTAATTAATAAGTATGTAACAAATAATAAAATAAATTTTTTAAATGATTTAAAATGTATTCATATACAATCATGTATGTATTGTATACCTATATTTTATATGGTGACCTGCAACATATATCCCTTAAAAGTGGGTGATATGCTTTCGAGGGCATATTAAAATATACTCAAAATAATTAATGACCAACTTTTGATTCCAAATCTTTGACCATGATCAGTTTATCATACTATTATGAATTTTGCTGTCGGGTGTTTTGATTTTCTTGGTCGATTAGGTTCTCTAGGTACGATTTATTTATTTTTAATATTAATTATTTAATAGTTGTATTCATTTTATTTATTCGGTTGATTAATTATATCGGTAATTATCACAAATTTAAAAGTGGCACCATGTATCACTGTGTCATACTATACTTTATCACTAATAAGTAATTATGAGTAAACTCATAATTGCATCGTATTATTATTATTATTAGTATCTTCCTTATGATGTCATAGTTGTTAAATATGTCGGATATGACGTGAGAACTTCCTTATGCGGAGGATCCCTTCATTTATCAAATTGATTTTGAGTTGGAAATTCATATTTCTTTCTCAACATGGTATTTAAGTCATTCTGTCCATATTAGGTATCAAAATAATTAAAATTTAAAAATATTGATGTTTTATATTGCTTAGGTCTTACTCAATGAATTCCTCAAGAGTTGATTCCCTTCATACTTCGACTTATAGACCCGATCCACTCTGTTTATCCAAATCCTTTTTGACCCAAATTCAAATCCCAAGTTCAAACTATTTACAAAGCCCAATCAATTTGTTAGTCTAATTAGACCATCAGCAAGGAGATGCACCACATCACAATTTTTTTTTAAAAAAATAAAAATTAATAGAAGCCGTATTGGGACACGTGACATTTAGGTATATATATATATATGTATATATATAATATATATTATATATATTTTGTTTTTGTAATTTATATTGAATTTATTGTTATATTTAAATTTTGTAGTAATTTTATAATTCATAATATTTTTGTATTCTACAAAATGATACCAATATTAAATATATTTTATCAATTTGAAATTTAAAATATATAAATACAAATATTATATAATTCTATTGAACAAATCAATATCAATAAATTAAATAAAATATAATTATAAATTTTAAATCAATTAAATAATATAAAATTATATTAAACAATAAATATATTTAGTTTATAATTAATTATACATAAATAATTAATAATAAGATATTAATATAAAATAAAAGACAAGATAATTTGAATAATATATAACAAAATACATATAATTTAAATAATATTTAAAACAACTCTTCGAACAATTTAGCTTTAACAAGTAGATCTTGTTCCGTCAAATTATCTTTCTCCAATAGTGTTTGATAAAGTTTCATTATAACGCTCATTACTTTTGATTTTTTCTTCCTTCAATGTCATGCGAGCAAATTGTGATACAACTTCTTTATTTTAAGCTCGTAGTACTTCAAAATCATTGGAGAAAAGTGAATTTGAAGATTTCTTCAGTGCCCATTTGCCTTTATTTTTACACGCTTTCATACCCGGAGGACGAATTGAGGGAGATTTTTCTATCCCATCACCATGTGGTGTTGTTGGATTTGAATTAGACGAGTATCCACCATCTTCATTAATTTTAATTATCTTCGGGCCAAGTCCACTGTTATAAGATGCTTCATTGACAACATTTGTACCACGATGACTGTTACTCCATTTTGGCTCAAATTTTAATTCACGCCAAGTAGTGGATAACAAAAAGTAGTTGAGATACCCAAAAAGTTTAGGGTTTAGGGTTTAGGGTTTAGGGGTGTCAACTGCGTCTTAGCTTGAGGAAAAAGTTACTATGTGGGGTTTTTTGTGTGAATTAGTTTTCTAAGAGAAGAAAATAAGGAATGTGATTAGCATGGGCCATTCTACACCCTGAGTTGAGCCTAAATCAAAGTTCTCCCAAGTCCCTTCACCGATAGAGAACGAGAAAAAAAAAAAAAAAATCGAAGTAGTTCGGATTTAATTAAAAAAAAAAGGAAAATTATGAAGGAAAAAAATCGACCTATTGGTGGTTGTTTGGAGAATGTATTCTTTTTATATTTGAATGAAAATTTTATTTTAAAATCAAATTTACTTTTTATATTTGTTTTGTTAAACTAATAATTTATATGTAATGAAAAACTCTATAATAATAATAATAATAATAATGATAATAGTAAATGATCAAAGGATTCGATGTTGATTTTTATTCTTAACCATTCGATAATGCATGAGCACGGAATTGATATTATTCATGAAGCAACAATCCCATGCTGATTTTCAGTTAAGGATAAATTAATAAAATTAACTATTTATTTATTATTAATATTATTAATTTTTTTACTTCCTGAAACAACGAATCAAAGACAATCCAACGTTGAATGTTACCCCCACAAATTCTACAACAACGCCCATCCACCCCTTCTTCCCCGATCCCATTTTACCCATTTTACCCAAATTCAATTCCATCACAATAATAGCAACAATAATCCTACTTCTATTACACAGCACAAAATTCAATCATCAATAACACTACATTGTAAGAAGAACAACAAAAATGCACGGGCACGGGCATGGACACGGGCACGAGCAGAAGAAGAGCAAGCAGAAGACCGGGATCCGGACCCTCTGCCCAAACTTCGACCGGGAAGACGCCCTCGATACCGTCTTCGAAGTCCCGGTCCCGGAGGAAATGTTCGCCGGCCTCGGCAACAGCCTGGCCCTCCGCTGGCAGAACATGGCCACCTGGATGAAGGCCCAGACCCCCGACAAATGGTCGTCCCCGATCATCGCCGGTCGCTACAACGAGATGAGCTTCCTCCTCTATGTCGTCGCCTCCCCGCTCCTCCCCTTCCCCGTTCAGGTCGACCGCTCGATCCACCGCCCCGTCAAGACCTCCTCCATTGTCAGTCGCAATCCCGACCTCAAAATTACGATACGAAATTCGAAAAAATCGAAATTTAACTGCATGAAATTATGCAGGAGGCGTCGACGGCGAAGTACATCGTGCAGCAGTACATAGCCGCAACGGGCGGGCAGCCCGCGCTCAACGCCGTCAACAGCATGTGCGTGATCGGGCAGGTGAGGATCAGCTCATCTGAGTTCCACCAGGGCGACAAAAACGTCAAGATCCGGAGCAATCAGGAAGCCGGTGGGTTCGTCCTGTGGCACCAAAATCCCGATCTCTGGTGCCTCGAGCTTCTCATCTCCGGCTGCAAGGTCATCTCCGGCAGCAACGGCGACATCTCGTGGCGGCAATCCTCGAATCAGCAACGCCCGATTTCGAAGGGCCCTGCCCGCCCCCTCCGCCGCTTCTTGCAGGGCCTGGACCCCCGAGCCACCGCGAATCTCTTCATCGACGCCGTCTGCATCGGCGAGAAGATCATCAACGACGAGGATTGCTTCATCCTGAAGATGGACGCGAGCCAGGCGACGCTGGAGGCGCAATGTGGCCCCAAATACGAGATCATCCACCACACCATTTGGGGATACTTCAGCCAGAGATCGGGCCTCCTGGTTAAGTTCGAGGATTCTCGACTGCTTTCGGTTAAGACCAGCAAGGAAGACGGAGACGTCTTCTGGGAGACAAGCTCCGAATCTGTAATCGAGGACTACAAGTATGTCGATGGAGTTAACATCGCCCACAGCGGCAAGACCAATTTTACCGTTTTCAGATATGGCGAGCAGTCGGCGAACCATAAGAGGGAGCTGCAGGAGTCGTGGAAGATTGAGGAGGTCGGGTTTAATGCCAAGGGCTTGAAGGCTGAGTTCTTCATGCCACCTACAGAATTTCATAAAAAAACAGCAAAACACTGTTAGAAAGATGGATGTAATGAGATCGACGCAAACAAATTGCAAGTTTTGTAAGGATTTTTTGCTACATTGTAGAAGACTAAATAATAGTATAACTTTAGCATTCTACTTGAACTATATAAACACAATCTGCTAATCGAATGTCAGATTAATTTTTAGATTCCGGACACCTAAGTGGAAACTTCCACAAGTTGTGACAAAAAGAACAATTCAGACAGAGATATGTGATGATCAAAAGAAACAGAGAATGTTCGAGTACAGGACCAGAGGTGTGGAGACATGAAATGCGAAAAGAATTGAAAGAATATATGTATATACTACTCTAATCGAACACGAAAGCTTCTCTTGGTTCCAAGTAATGCAGGGTACAATGTGTAGCAGTTCGTCGGCATCGTGTAGTCCATGCTTGTGATTTCATCCTGCTCGTTGCTCGGTGCTGCTTGTTTAGAACTTGGACGTACTCTGAGAAAGACAGAAAGACGATGATTAGGCTAAGGATACAGAAAATATCTCACGAAATAATAATCTGAAGATAAAAAATACAAAGGAAAAGAGTTTATATCGGTGTCATTAGAAGAATATAATTAGGATGTAGCGAAAAGCTGCATTTTAAACTGGAGAGTATTTGAGGAGATAGGTATGGTATCTTCATTTTTGACATAACTATGAAAGAAATAATAGGTTCAAGAGACATTACAAAGTCGCTGCTTCGATGGTGGCAAACATTTCATCAAAACTTTACATATTTGTGCCACTTCTAGCAGTTAAAATCTACAATTAAAAATAACAGCAACTACGGTGTATTTAAAAAAATGTCTTCCCCCTTTTCCTTTTGGAACAGTGTAGGATTCAGACCAGAAAGATAATATAGGATAAAAAACGAGTCTTAGCCATTGACGATATATTTTAACAAGAGTTCAAGTGAATAGGAAATTGATACAATGTCACATGCATTATAGAACACAGAAATCATGCCCAAGTTCAGTTAAAAGGAAAACAAGACAGGATTCATAACCAGAAGAACAACAACAATTACTTGAAGCAGTGCTAGTAAAGTTCATAAGTGTGTCAATAAACATATCGAAAGAATCAATCATGACTAGATGGCGGTAATTAACATTCCCTTCCTTAAAACGGTTGTAGTGTCTATTAACATATTGCAAGACCACGAGCTATAATGTTCGAGATGGCCTAGTCCTTCAGCTACTATCACAAGCTGGTTTTCTGATTCATGTTTACTATTTTTATGAAGTTACTGCCGAGCAATTGTTAAGGTATCGTGTGAGCATTTAACCTGTGAGAAAAAATTTCTTAAGTCTTTGAACAATGAGGAGCTTGGACCCAAAATATTAGACAGACTGTTCTTACGCTATTTTAATAAGTGTCATTTTAACCAAAAGGCATTTCCATTAACTCTGTTTTACTTCCAGTCTGTAATAAATCACATTGCGAGTATAGGCAATTGCTGCTAACTCTCTTCATGTTCCAAACAAGGCAAAGTTGTCTACCAAGAAATAATTACCACCGTTCGAAATTGCAAAACTCATATCTATCTGATCATCATGACATACTTTTGAAAATTCATTTACTTGTCATTATTATTGTTACGTCCACCAATACCTCCAAAATCCGTGAATTATTCTACTTGTGATCGCATTGTTGTCGGCCCTCCACATGATCACTGATGACCAACCTTCTAAAATGACCACATTAAAATGCAGTATGGCAACAAATATCCTAATCCAATCTACAGCGGAAATGTTATAAACATTCACATCTGACTTAATGACAAATGCAGTTCAAAAATGTCTATCACAGAAGAACAATCCAGTGATATTCATAAAAGTTATTATGGATGCACAAAGATTGCTACTGGCGAAAGTTTGAAACACTGAGCCTACAAGCTTCGTGCCATATCTACTGCATCCATTGATTAGGGTGTTCTGTAATGTGGTATAGCATTATGTGGGAGGGGTAGCACTGTGCAACCATACCAATTGTGTTGTGTCGTGGAATATTAAGCAAGCTTTCATACACAAATTAGTAAGTAAATAGAGGCTAAAACTGAAAAACCTACTGAAGAATCTCCTAAATATGCAAATCCCAGGAAAAAAAACAAAAAGAAAAGAAAAGCAACTATACAAGTGTGCCTTTGAAACAACATGAAGTTGGCTTACGGAGAAATATTCAACGAACTAATGCAATTAACCATTTTTGCAAATTAAGAAAGCAAGAATATCTTCCCTCAGCTATTGTAGTTCAAGAAAACGAAAATTTAACCACACAACCCATAAAATTCATTAAGCAACACATGGCAAGCAATACAAGCTAACAGGGCTAATCTGAATTAGTGGCATCACCACAACTATAAGGTAACTTAAATCAAGATGCCAACCAATGGGATGAGGGCCTTAAAATCCACCTTCAAGCCCTAAATTAACTTAACAGGTTCGCCATGGCAACATTCGGCCTAGGTTTTCTGATTCACCAACCACAGATTCACAACATCTCTATAAAGCAACTGGAAAGCTGAACCAGCGTAAATAGGAAACCTGAATCTCTAGGTATGTTCATTGTTCACAAGACTCAACAATCACATAGAACATACAAAGAAATTAGTTAGGCAGTATTAAGGAGATCAACTGACCAAGCTGAAGATTGTAGTAATGGAAGATAGCGAACAGACATCATTGCAATCTCAGAGGTGGCAGTTTCTCTAACTTCAGTCTCCTCGCTGGTCAAATCCTCATAGGCAGCCGCGAAAGCGTCCTGCCAAAATCTTGTCAAACGGTTCCGCTGGTTGTTGATGTACACTTCCCACATTTGCCTCACCAATTTCTCCCTCTCCTCAAGATCCTGTAAAAAAATGCATCTCTGATCACGCATGCTCATCGTAATCCACATTGGAAATTAGCCTTACGAGGGCGTCGAGATCTTCTTCGGCAGCAGGGGAGCTGAATTCCTCACCAATGCGGTTGAGATTGCCGGCCGACCATCGGAGGGAGACAGTGCCGGTAAGCATTGACCAAAATGACAGCAGCAAAATGGCTGCGAGTGCCCAAAACTTGTAGCGGCCACGCCCAAACAGGCTAGAAGCATCCGAAGAGTGGTCCTTCTTGGAAATTCCAGAATGCGAGGACGATGTGGGCGTTGATACTGGCAGTCCATCATCATCCTTCATATCGAATGTACGTATTGTGTACTATACTTACGTATATATATCCTTCGCAATCACATCAATGAACCAAATTTTGGCAGCTCGTTAATTCCTTTCCAAATTTGCAGAGGATCCGAAGCACGGTGAGCTTCGATTTTGCGCTCGGAAGAGCAGTTTAGCAATGGCGGATCGTGTAATTTTGTGGGCCGGTTTTATTAATGGGCTAACATTATGTTGGATTTGGGCCTAACTATGAGCCCAAATTTGATACTATATATAGATATATAGAAAAAGAGAATATTGAAAAGGAACTGCAAAGGAGTCAACTTTACCCTTCAGTGTTTCTACCGAAATGCGCTGCCCGTACTGCACCGCCGGGCAGGGCCGGTGCGCCACCAACTCCTCCGGCCGGAGCATAACCGAGTGCGCCTCCTGCGGCCGCGTGGTGGAGGAGCGGCAGACGCATCCTCATCACCTGTTCCACCTTCGCGCGCAGGATAATCCTCTCTGCCTCGTGACCTCGGACCTGCCGTCAGCGCCGGTCGTCTCTAGGAACGAAGACGAAGACCCCTTCGAACCGACGGGATTCATCACCGCTTTCTCCACGTGGTCGCTCGAGCCGTACCCTGTCTTCGCCCACTCGTCGCTCTGGTTTGCAGGCCACTTGGCGGAACTGGAGCGGGTCCTCGAAACGACGTCGCAGGGCAGTAATTCGACGGCTACGGGGCCGTCGGTAGTGATGGATAATCTGAGGGCTTACTTGCAGATACTCGATGTGGCGTCGATTCTTGGGCTGGAGTACGATATTTCGGACCACGCTTTTCAGCTTTTCAGAGATTGCTCCTCCGCCACGTGTTTGAGGAATCGGAGCGTGGAGGCGCTCGCTACCGCCGCCTTGGTGCAGGCAATTAGGGAAGCTCAAGAACCCCGAACTCTTCAGGTTTTGATATAAATCAATTCTATTGTAAAATTTTGTAAGCTCTTTGATTGTCGCCATTGAAATCATTTAGGGTTTAAAAGCTAATGTAGGATTTTTTTCAGCTTCATTGAGAATATTAGTCAAAAAAGATTCATCTAAGAACTTTGAAAGATTAGGACATAATTTATTACAATTATAGGCTATAGTCATTGTGAAACTGCTTCACCTGGGAACACAGACACAATTGAACTTTTTCAAAGCTCTTGAATTGCTATTGAAAAGCTTCAGTGAGAGAAGCATGGTAGCTTATATCTACCTGTGCGTCCATCTCCACTCTGGATGATAATTATAACAAAACTGAAATAAGATCTTTTAGATGAAGAAGCTTTTCCATAAAGTGCAGTAGGCTATGGGTTCTTTGATTGGTTTGGGAATGATTTTTCCCATACATGCTCTTGCTTTCTATTGTCTTCATCTTGCAAATTATCTTTAGCAATCATTGAAATGTATTGGTACTGTTTCACATGGTGGATGTTAGGATATGGTGTTGGCCTAAATTAAATTTTCAGGATGAACAAACCTTACTGCTTTCACTTTCATTTTTAGTTGGTGCTGTGAGATTAATGTCTTAAGGATGATTTGGAAAACTGAAAATCCTACCCATTCATGGTGAATGAATCAATATGCCTGATTCCTAATCTTAATCACTTTCCAAATAGTTTTTAAGAATGAACCCAATCACTTACTTTGTCTGCTACCATCTAATCAAACCAGCGAGCATTTTTTTTTTGGGTGAAAAAATCTTGCCAAAGAGCATTTCTTTATATTGTTCTGTTGTAAACACCCCTTTGTAATCCATTGCAATCGTATCATCTGCCTAAACAGAAAACTCTTGCAAACTGTTTGAAGTAATTCCTTATCTCAGATGCTAAGTGCTACATGTTTGTAGAAAACCCGGCCATCTGTTGTATGACACTTGGAGTACTATATATGCTCTGACTTTTTATTCAAGAGTAACATACTGTCATTTTCTCACCATTTATATTAAGTCCTTCTTTATATGGTGTTACTGCCATGTAAATAATGTAGTAAACGTATCTTCTTCAGTTGGTGCATAACTTTGTGTATTTTGTTGAATTCCAGGAAATATCGATTGCTGCCAATCTACCCCAGAAGGAGATTGGGAAATACATCAAGATACTCGGAGAAGCTCTGCAGCTAAGCCAACCCATCAACAGCAACTCAATATCAGTCCACATGCCCCGATTTTGCACCCTTCTCCAGCTCAACAAGTCTGCTCAGGTACTTTTTACATACTGTCCGATTCCTGTTCTCATCAATTTATTGAACCCTGTTCATCTTCAAAATTCAGGAGCTAGCGACACACATCGGGGAGGTTGTGATCAATAAGTGTTTCTGCACCCGCCGGAACCCCATAAGCATCTCAGCTGCCGCCATTTATCTAGCCTGTCAGTTGGAAGACAAACGCAAGACCCAAGCCGAAATCTGCAAGGTGACGGGCCTCACAGAAGTCACTCTACGTAAAGTTTACAAGGAGCTATTGGAAAATTGGGACGACCTTCTCCCATCGAATTACAGTCCCGTAGTCCCTCCCGAGAAAGCATTTCCGACCGCCACTATTCCTGCCACCGGACGATCCATACCCTCTCGCAGCGACATCATCGAAGGAGCTTCCGTCGACAGGGAGAAGCACGTTGAATCCAGGCATCCGAAGCCTAGTGAAATCTTGGGCGCATCCCATCAGTCGAAAGGGAAAGAGAACGCCGAAAGTAAAGATTCCGTCCAGAGGACCTACAATGCTGCGATTCTCGGTTCTCCTTTCTGGAAGACGCAAGTCCCCGTTGGAAGTTCTTCTGCTCAACGACTGCCGGAGACGAATCAGGCATTGCCCCAAACTATGGAAGTTGATTTGGGCAGGGACGAGAAGAAAGGGGATGCAGACACAAGGGCTGCTGCTTCTAACAACCTCAGACATGTGCGGTTCCCGTCCGCCCCAACTCTCGCTGCCGGCATGGTGCCCTGGCCTTTTCGACCGCCTATGTCGTCGGGACTTTCGCCGTTCGGGCAGTCGGGGCAGTCGGGTTCTGATAGTTTGGTCGATAAAGGAGGTGTCCAGCCAAATCCCAATGAGAAATTCAACTAGAATAACGACCTAAAGTGTCATTGCACATATTTGCGACCTTTATACTTTAAATGTCGAAAAAGCCCCTGCCCTTACTTTAAATTTGGCCGTTTATTTTAACCTCTGGATAAGGCTGCAGATTCACAGGTTCTTTAAAGATGCTGTCATCGCTTCTACTCCCGGGACCGCCGCCGCCGAAGATTCTCCACCACCGCCGTCCCAATGCCGCCAAGCCGACGGAATTCCGGCAGTTCAAGGTGCGGTCTATGGCCAACAACAGCCGTGAAGGCAGCGGCGGCGCCGTTGAAGCAGTGGCCATCGTCGGCGGCCTAGTCGCCACGCCGGTGATCGGTTGGTCCCTATACACCCTCAAGACGACAGGCTGCGGGCTCCCTCCGGGCCCGGGAGGATCTATTGGCGCTCTAGAAGGAGTCAGCTACCTGGTGGTGGTCGGGATCGTGGCCTGGTCGCTCTACACCAAGAGCAAGACGGGCTCGGGCCTGCCAAACGGGGCGTTCGGCCTGCTGGGCGCCGTGGAAGGGCTGTCGTTCTTGTCGCTGCTCGCCATTGTCGTCATCTTTGGTCTGCAGTTTCTTCAGAATGGATCCATTCCAGGCCCCCTGCCCAGTGACCAGTGCTTTGGCTGAACTACCTGTCTGTAAATATTTCTGTACCAAATTGAGAACTCGATCGATGTATGCACTTTGGGTTTGGTAAAATTAGGATTATATTTATATGATGGGATGTCGTTGATGACTGAATGGAAACCTGGCTGAATTAGAGATGTTCAAATGCAAAAGACCCTAATTTGTAGGAAGGCAAAGGTATGGAGCCAATCCTTCGAATGCGGGTAAGGAGCATTACTCAACTGCATATCCCTTTCTCTCTCTCTGTCTTTGTCTCTCTCTTTCTCTCTCCTTGTTTTCCAGGACCTACCCTTCAATCTTCTTCATTCAGGTATGTCTTCTTTTTCAGTACGGTAATGGAAGAACATGTATCTACTGATCATATATGTATACGTGTGTGTATTTATGAATGTTTTTATATCAGATCAAATTGTGCAAGGACTGGACATTTTGATGATTGATTGATGATGGATTCAGGTGAATTTGGCTGTCGTGAGGAGCTGTTCCTGTTGGAGAGATTGGAGTTTCCGGCGTGAGGCCGATTTCTCCGGAGGCCTCATCTGCAAATGGATCCATTAGCTGACGCCGGCTTGGCCGAAGGAGGGTCGTCCCCACCGCCTCCTCTCTTTTCCGATTCATCGTCGTACTCCCCCCCGCCGCCCCCTTCATCCGACTCCACGTCGTCATCCCCGCCGCCGCCGCCTTCATCCGACTATGGATCATCGTCCTCGTCACCTCCACCCGATGGATCTTCTCCGTCTGGCGATTCAGGCTCTCCGGGACCATCGGGGTCGCCCGGCTCTCACTCATCCGATCGGTCATCTGGCTCGCACAAGAAGTCGTCGTCGTCGTCATCCGGAGGATCTTTGAACAGCTCGGATGTTGCCGGGTTAGTTGGTGCCGGGATCGTGATCCTCGCCCTCATCGTTGCCTGCATAATCTGCATCACCCGACGGAGAAAGAAAACCAAGCAACGACAACAATACGCAAAATCGAAGAGCGGGCACCCCCGAGGTATACAGAATCCGCCGTCTACAATTGCTGTATTACTTTTCCGTTCTTACGTTTCTGCTCTTTCAGGCGGCGACAAACACAGAAACCCGCAAATGGACCACGTCGTTAGGATCAATCAAGGAACCCCCGGCGGCGGTGGATGGGGAATGCCGCCGCCTGCAGGGCCGAGCAGCAGTGAGTTTAGCGAGTTCGGGTACCAACCGAGCCCGCTGAGAATGGGCGGCTACAGCGGCAAGAGCCAGTTCACGTACGAGGATCTAGCGGCGGCGACCGAAGGATTCTCCGAAGCTCATGTATTAGGACAAGGTGGGTTTGGTTTCGTGCACAAAGGCGTTTTGCCGGACGGACGATCCATCGCAGTCAAGAGCCTCAAGGCCGGGAGCGGGCAGGGCGAACGAGAATTCCAGGCCGAAGTCGAAATCATTAGCCGCGTGCATCATCGCCATCTCGTGTCCCTCGTCGGGTACTGCATTTCGAGCGACAAGAGAATGCTCGTCTACGAATTCGTCCCGAACAAGACACTCGAATTTCATCTCCATGGTTGGTTACCGGCTCTTATTTATCATAGACTCGGCTTTAATCTCCCTGACTCCGCCGTAGCTGTAATAAAATGGTTGCAGGAAAAAGCCTGCCGGCCATGGATTGGGCGACTCGGCTTCGCATTGCTCTCGGATCCGCTAAGGGACTTGCTTACCTACACGAAGATTGTAAGAAGATTGTTTGTTCCGCACTTTGGTTTCGCGATTTTGCTACACAGGCGACATTTCTGATGTAGTTTTGTGTGACAGGTCATCCTCGGATCATCCATCGCGACATCAAATCGGCGAATATTCTTCTCGACAACAACTTCGAAGCCATGGTAATATATTCGTTGAGCTAACAACGCTGTTTTAATCGATCGTTTGTTTTTGTATAATGTTTTGTACGCTATCCAGGTTGCGGATTTCGGACTGGCTAAGCTAAATTCTGACAACTTCACTCACGTCTCGACCCGCGTTATGGGAACATTTGGGTAAGCCAATCGGCATCTTTCGCGAACCAGTTTCGGAAATGTCGTTACGGTTGAATGTTTTTAGGTATTTGGCTCCGGAGTACGCCGCCAGCGGCAAGCTAACGGAGAAATCTGACGTTTTCTCGTTCGGAGTCATGTTGGTTGAGATAATCGCCGGTCGTAGGCCGGTTGATCCAACGAACAGAACGATGGACGACAGCTTAGTCGATTGGGTTCGTGTTCTTTCAATACAATGCGATATGAATATACGATTCGATACACGTCTGATTTTGCGATTAACAGGCTCGACCGCTCATGGCGAGAGCGCTTGAGGACAGTGACTACAGCAAGCTGGTCGATCCTCGGCTCGGAGAAAATTACGTCCCGCAAGAGATGAGACGTATGGTTGCCTGCGCTAATTCTGCGATTCGGCATTCTGCTCGACGGCGCCCTCGGATGAGCCAAGTAATCGTCGCAATCCATCTATATATATATATATATAACTACCTATTTAGCCGACTTTATATCAAGTATTTGTCGACTTTGTGCGACGGTCAGATCGTGCGCGCTCTGGACGGAGGATCGTTGGACGACTTGAACGAGACGACGAAGGCTGCCGCCAATCAGAGCCCGTCGACGATGCCGGACGCGCACGCAGACGTTTACGACACGCGTGCGTACAACGCGGACATTATGAAGTTCAGGAAGATGGTGATCTCGAGCCAGGACGACGATTTCAGCAGCGAATACGGCAGCGATAAGACGTCGAAGCCGTGATTACCATTTATGCGGATGTGGTGCCCGGAAGGACAGCTGGCGTGCGACGACGACAACGACGACGGGTACGAGGATGATCGGGATCTCGGAATTGGTTTGTTTAGGAACAGAGTTTATGGATGTCGTCATCGTCTTTTGCTTTCGTTCCATTCCTATGGTCGAATCGAACTGTGCATCAATCTGGATTCGAAACAGCCGTACTGTTATTTGAGTGCTTGTAATAATTTGTTTGGTATGTTGTTCTTCTTCTTCTTGCTGTTGAATCGAAGAATTGGTGTGCTCCAACAATAGAGTAAATGTGCCTCTCAACGTTAACTTTTGTTGTGTCGGATCTACGTAGGGGCTTGAGCAGCGGCCCCTCATACTCCAATTTTTAGTTTGTTTAGTATAAAAAGCAAAAAAAATAATATTTTTTTATATAATTATAGTAATCTATACTTCAAATTTTAGTGTTTGTTATTATTATTATTATTATTATTATTATTATTATTACTTGCAACAAGTTCTATCGAACTTAATACCTTGCAAACTAAGCTCCACAAACTAATCACACTAAGTGAACATGTGTATCAGATACGTGAGGCGTTGGGGTTTCGAACAATTATTATTATTTACCACAGTTGTTGCTATGGTAAAGAGAATCAAGAAAAAAAAAATCATCATTATCAAATCATTCTGGCTTTCCTAGTTCGATGGCTGGTCAGTCGATGCGGTTAGAGTCGATATCAAAATTTTTTTTTTGTTTGTTTAGATTAAAAAAATAAAATTTTAAAAATAAATAATTGAATACCTTTTATTGCTTAAAACATAATGGATTGAAACTTCAAGATAATACTCCATCGTAGTAAAAATATTAAATTAATCTTACTAATTTAGTATTGTATAATATAAAATTAATGTTATTTGTGTAATATATTGTAAATTGAAATAATATTTGTAATGTTAAAGATATAGCACTTTTACTTAGAAATAAAAATATATAATTTGTTATGGACTTTACAAAATAAAAAAATATAGATAATTTGTTAAGATGGAAATAGTACAATAAATATACATTGGCAATTAAAATGATTTTAATATTTCTATCGTCATCCAATTGTGTGTTTGTTTGGGGATTGGATTTTAAATACATTATTTATCCTATTTTTTTCTCCTAAAACACATCAAATCAAACACCTATTTTTTATTTTTTATATTATACTAAAAATTAATTTTTCATTCAAAACATCACATCAACGTATATTTCTATCACATCGTATCATTATTTACATTCAAAATTTTTACTATTCAAATCTCAACTCAAAATTCAAAACCCCATATTTTTTAGGCATATATTTTAAAATAAGTGTGTTTGTTTATTATTATTATATGAATTTTAACTAAAAACAAATAAGAATATTTTTAAATAATATTAAAAAATAATTTTTTTTAAAAAAAATTAATTTGAAATTAAGTTGAAATAAAATTTTAATTAAATATAATTTTGAGTTAATATTTTGTTCAAAAATAGTTTTATTGAAAACCATATTAATAACAATAATATTTTATTTTTTCTTTTAGTTTGAATTCACAACCAAACACATTTAAAAAAATCACATGAAAACTCTTACAAATGTGTTTTAGTTAAATATCTTACAATCAAAATAGTACTGCCTCCCTCGTCCCATAACAAAATATCTATTTTTTTCATTTTAGTCTGTTCCATAACAAAGAATCTATTTTGTAACTGTACTATCTACCTAACATTACAAATACCCTTACAACTTACAATATATTACACAAATGTTATTACCTTTGTATCACACATATTAATAAGATTATTTTAGTTATTTCTACTTTATTCCTATTATACTTCAATATAATACCAATATTTCTAAAACTACATGCAAAAAACAAATAGATATTTAGTTCCGTGACGGAGGGAGTATTATCTAAGAGTGTGTTTGTTTGGAGGTTTGAATTTTGAGTTGAGATTTGAATAGTAAAAATTTTGAATTTAAATAATTGTATAATGTGATATAAATAGGTGTTGATGTGATGTTTTGAATGTAAAATTAATTTTTAGTATAATATAAAAAATAAAAAATAGGTGTTTGATTTGATATTTTTTAGAGAAAAAAATATGATAAATAGTGAAAATTAAATCCAATCTCCAAACAAACACACCCTTAAAAAGTTTTGTGCCAATACCTTATTATTTTTTAAAATAATATCAAATCAAATATATTTTTTATTTCATATAGTATAATTTCCCATTTGTCATAATTTAAATTTTTATTTTTATTATTTTTGTTGTTATACTTTAAAGTATATATTTTTTTATTTTAATAAAAGTAGTTGTTCATTATTACTAAAATATTTTTAATATTAGTATTATATTGGATTGTAATAAAAAAGATAAAAATATTCTATTAATATGGTGTAATATTTATGTAATATATTATAAATTAAAATGATATTTATTATATAAAATAAATAGTAAAAAATAGTATTTTTTTTTTTTTTTTAAAAAACGGACGAAAATGAGAAATGTTCAATATTATTTTATTTGTAATACAGAACAAGAAGAATTAACTGGGCAGTGGCGCGGGTATAAATAGCCACATCCAAAAACCCTTCCTTCTCGTTGCGAACTACGCTGCCGCTATCATCGATAAGCGCCGGGAGTGTCCGGGGAAGGAATTCCGATCATCGGATGCTTGCTGTCTGTTGATTCATCGCCTGATCGATATTTGAGGTCGTTCCTAGGTGTTTTACGGAACTCGAGGGAAAGATGGGGGACTATGGCGACGCCATGATGCGAAACCAGAATGCCGCCGTCCAGGCTCGCACTAAGGCGCAGAATCGTGCTAATGTCATGCAGCTGAAATTGGTAAACGGCACGCGAATCTTTTTTGCTAATCGCGCCTGTTTTTTTCTTGAATCGGTGATTCTAGGGTTTTGTTGATTTGAATGGAACTCTATCTAGGCGCTAGATTCACCTATTTTGATGGACGTATGGATACAAAACGATTGTAATCATGGCCTTTTTGATACCTTTTCTTCTCGAGGCAAGATGCTGCGAATTTTGGCTGGAAAATAAATAAATAAATAAAAACGAATCTCTCATTGTGAATAGCCGAGATAGTTATAAATTTGAAACGGTATCTGTGGGTGTTTATGCGTGTATGATACAGAGACTGATGTTAAACCTACCATAGTAGCAGACAGAGACTGGCTATGTCTATTTCGTTATTTTCAGACTGAATTGGTATTGTAATGGAAGCCTGCCGCCTGAAATTATATTGCAATTCATATCGTGTAAACAAGTAACTTCTAACCAATTCCTGCAGATTGGTCAGAGTCATCCAACTGGTTTGACTGCAAATCTACTCAAATTATTTGAGCCCCGCCCGCCTCTGGAGTATAAACCCCCTCCTGAAAAGAGGAAATGCCCACCATATTCAGGTTTTTGGTTGTCAATACTATATTAAAGTTTTCTAATGATGTGTTAATTTTTATTTATGCTATGTTTATATTCCTTGGCAGGAATGGCGCAATTTGTTAGCAAATTTGCTGAGCCGGGTGATCCTGATTATGCCCCTCCAGTCCAAAAGGGAGAGACACCAGTAAATTCTTTATACTTGTCTCAAAATATATTCTGCATCACTTTCTCTGTTAGTTTTGTAGGCTCTACTGTTCTGTTGGGTTTGCTATATTTTCATGTATCAGTGATAGAAAAGATTTTTCAGCATGTTTTGATGCATCCTTTATTAAATCTTGATGTTTATCACTTTATCTTAGTGGTGATTTTCTTTGTAGCCTGTTCATAGACAGGAAACAACACCTCATTGATTGGGAGGTTTCCCAAGTGCCTTTGTAGTATTTTCATTTCTCTGATTAATAATTGAATACTTCATTGTTCTAATCTCTAATAGTGCCACATCAACCAATTGTCACAAAGGAATGGCCTTAGCATTTTTAGTTGCATTGGGGTGAGAATGAAAAATTGAGTGCTTTTATTATATTAAAATTCAAATATGAGTCATATATGGGCTGTTGTTGTTGGGGGAAATATTATTATTGTGAGATAAAAACTTTTTTTACTTCCAATTCAGCCACTACTTGCTGCTCAGGGAGGCTATAGCTGTGTGAGCCAGTCCTTGGTCAATGACATCCAATTTATTTAATATTCCAGATGGGAAAAAATTTCTCACTTATTTAAAACATATTAGGTGGATTGTTCACCTTATATTTTTATACTGTGTTCGCAGGCTGAAAGGAGAGCTAGGATCCACCAAATAAGGTTGGAGGAGGGGGCCAGAAAGGCGGCCGAGGAGCTTGAGAAATGTAGACATAAATTTGTCTTTGTTGAATATTTTTATATTAATATTAATTGCACTCTTTGGTTGCCTGCTGAATGAAACCACTGCGTGTTTTTTGTGTGTTTGTCTCTCTCTATATCCCTTTGTCTTTTATCACCTCATGTTGCCCACATGGCGAGAATGGAAATGCTGTAACTTGAAGAATATGCCATTTTTCATTTTAGTAACTTTGTTCATCTTATGAATTGTCTCTGCAGATGATCCAAATAATGATCCTAATATTTCTGGAGATCCATACAAAACTTTGTTTGTGGCTAGGCTCGTGAGTAACCTTTTATATTGATAATCCGTTTCCAGCAATTGTATGAGACATTTCATAACTAAGTAACCTTTTATATTGATAATTAGTTTTCCATTTCAGAATTTCGAGACATCTGAGAGCAGAATCAAAAGGGAGTTTGAAGCTTATGGTCCAATCAAGAGGGTAGGTATTACAGAACACCCAAGTGTGGGGCTTGGGTTAATGGCTTTTGGGTTCGGTAAGAATGTTTCATGTGTTGTGGGGGCCATAGTCTCCGCTCACAGGAAGTTATCAATCTTGACAGTAAATAAAGTGCTACTTGGATTACACACGCACTAGTCCCCTAAAGTAAAGACATAATATTAGAACATGGTAAAAATATCATAGTAGCTATTGATAAAAAAATTGATATATCATAACTTTTGTGAACGTACGTGGTATATTAGTTTTTCTTAGTTTTTCTGCAGATACTTGTACTTTGCAATCTGTGGTGTTTTACCAGTTTTTTGTAAATCCTAAAACTTGTTTATGTACCCTCTTTAGATTGCATAGGTTGCATTTAGTGAGGCATCATTAAAGTCGTAACACCTTTTTGCAATATATATTTGGAAAAATACACCCAATCTTTTATAACTCTGCTGATAATGTTGGCCTAATAATCCTTATTTTTCCACTTAAATAGTGATGGATAGTGAAATCACACTCAGAAGCGCCTCCAGGTATAATTTGGTCAACTAATTGGCATTAGGTTGTTTCACTAATCCTTTTGTCCTCTTTCTACTCTTTCGTGTTTGGATCTCTTCAGACTAGAATGGTGTACTCTAGTTTCTAGGCGCCTTGCCACCCATAGAGTTCAATGTGTAAGTATCAACCCTTGGGGAAATTCTCTGGTGTTTGTTCTTGTTTCCATTGAACTTAACCTGAGGTAATTTACAAAGTCAAAAGATGATGCTTCATCGAAGGTAAAGGTGAAAAGATTAGTTTCTGAAGGGCAATATTGTTTTCCGCCTTTTGTCCACTATTTCAAGGAACCTGGAGAGGCGATTTTTAACAGCATTTGGTAAAATTCATTGGGAGTATTAGCATCTCTTTCTTCTCTTTCTTTCTAGTACACAATACCTCCATGCTGCTAAAATCTTACTTTTGCATTTAAAGGGTGTCAAAAATGCATCAGCAGTTCTGGAGATACCCTGGTATTGAGTATTACTTAATAGTCATTTTTTATCATTTTAAAAAGAAAATCCCTGGTAAGGGGAACTTAATGCACATGTCTACTGGTAAATTGGCCTCCGTTAAATGGCAACTCTAGCTGTGATGGTGATGCATCTTGCCTGGAAGCACTATGATTGAAAGGTGAGCACGGCTAATTAGGCTTTATGCCTGTCTGCCGTGCCCTTAGGCTTCTTATTATATAGTTATAGTACAAGGTGGAGTCATGATTGGGATCTTGTATTTTCTTCCGTGCAGACAGATTCTGAAACTGTGCCAATTATTCTACCAACTGAGTTATTGTGAGTTTCAGGTTCGCTTGGTTACAGACAAAACATCAAATAAGCCTAGAGGATATGCCTTTATTGAATATGTGCATACAAGAGACATGAAAGGTTTCCTCTTTTCTACTAGTGCTCTTTATTTTATGTCCTTTATTTAACAGTGTGCTATAATAGTTATTTATAATTCTTGCAGCTGCATATAAACAAGCAGATGGGAAAAAGATTGATGGTCGTAGGGTGCTTGTGGATGTTGAACGTGGTAGAACTGTTCCAAACTGGCGTCCTCGTAGACTTGGTGGTGGACTTGGAACAACTCGTGTTGGTGGTGAAGAAGCTAAGGTTCTGGGGAGGTAATTCTCTTAATATTCATATGCCAATGAATTTTCTCTTCAATTTTTAAATGTATATGTAGGCACCATTTCAGAACTTTAAATAACGAAATTATTGAGTTAGAGATAACTGATGATGATAGAAGCAAATCGTCTGATTTTGGTATATGTAGGCCACTAGCTTGCTTTGTGACCTTGCCCTGTATTTCTAGCTTACTTTTTACTTTGACAAATTAATTATATTTTGCCACTAGGTTTACCTTTGACCAAGCCTTTCTTTTCTAATCTTGAATTTTGTGTATCACTGAATTTAGTATTCCTTGATGGGAAAGTTGTTCGATTTCTCTGGTACACATTTCGGATATCTATTATTTCATGTGATGTCCATCTGAAGTAACAGCAGTTAGACTCTTGTGCTAGATCTCCTTTGTCATGCATTGTGCTATGAATGTTGTAGTAGTTATAGACGATGGGTTCCTATGCATGAGATTGAAGGAATGCATCTAATATACACTAAGCCTGGTTTTTAGTAAAAGTTAGCAGATTTAAAAGCATGCATTACTTATGTTTCATAGAGTCATAGACCCTATTCTATACTCGATTCTGTTAGTTATGACTCATGCCTACATGGGGATTGGGGACCATTGTCTCTTACATGCTGGATATTTCTACCATTACTTAACCCTGGCAGAGTTATTCTTGTTATGGTAATGGTGTATTTGCTGTATTCAAACTCTTATGTAGATTTATCATTGAGTCAAAGTCTTCACATTTTATTCAAATTGCTTCAGCTTTCACACTAAAATACCTGTTTTATTTGCTATTCACTCTTTCAGAGATCAAGTGCAACCTGGAGGAGCATCACGGTCAGAGGAACCAAGGGTTGAAAGAGACAGGTAAGATCTGCAGTTGTAAATAGTTACCCGGACAATTGCATTGAATGTGAAGATTCCTTGAAGGATTCTGGAGTTTCTTTGTTTTACACATTAGATTTAAATCTGCTTCATAAATGAGTTACTCTTCAGAACTAAAGTTTTTAGCTTTACATGCATTTATGTGGCGTTCTATAAATAAGAACCTGATCCATTACATTTCAGGGACAGGGAGAAATCACGGGAACGGGGAAGGGATAGGGACAGAGAGCGGGAAAAATCTCGTGAGCTTTCATATGATAGATCAAAGGATCGCGATCATAGAGAGGATAGACAACACAGGGATAGGGACAGGACTAGAGAGAGGGACCGTGAAAGAGACCGTGGTAGGGATCGTGACAGAGACCGTGAAAGGGATAGACCACGTGACCGTGAGCGCGGTCGAGATCGAGGCCGCGACCATGAGCGTGATCGCGAACGCGACAGGGACAGAGAGCGTGGCGATCGTCACCGTGACCGCGACAGGGAGAGAGACAAGGATTACGACGTTGGTGACGAACGTGATCGAGGGCGTTCGCGCGATCGAGACTACGATTATGACCGTGGCGACGAGCGAGGTGAGAGAGAAAGGAATTATGGTGAAACAGAGGATGCCCGCGGGTGGTTCGACCATCCCGAGCATCCGCACGGACGGCAAGAAACTGAGCACGACCGCAGCCACTATGACTACTATGGAAACCAGGGCAGGGGTCAGTACGACAATCCAGATGGCCAGGGCGACTATGACAACGATCGCTACGATCGAATGGATGAGGATGCTTATGGTTATGATCGAGCTGCCGCCCCTGACCAACGCGATAGGGATTACCGTCGTTCAGACAGGTCTCTCTCCCGCGAGTATGAATATTGATTCTTTTCTGTCTGGAAATGGATCGGTCTACTTGCCGTCTATCCTTCCCGTGGCGTTACTGCTAATATTGATCAGGCAAGCTTGTCGTTACTGCTTTTCCATGGATAAGATATTCGCGCTTTTGGTAAAAATTGACTATGAACTCCTATGTCTGTGTGGTATGTTTGGTATGCTTTTAACTTGGAGGCGCCTGTTTTCGTATCTTACATTTGTTATTTGTGCTGGATTTCTTATAAAAACTATATGTATCTTTGTTTTTGTGCACTTTGGTATTTGATGCAAGTTTGTAGTGGAATTTGGCTCTTTTAATTGTGCGACTCGTTGATCTGTTAGTTCTTTCGAATTCATACTATTTCCGTAGTGAAAATCTTACGTGACAGTACACTCTTTGAGGCTAAAGTAAACTGAATTCATATTTGCAATCTGAAACATATTGGGATGATCAAAACATTCAGGCGGCCATGTGTTTTTATGGCGACTGCTGACTATGTTTTTGGAGTAAGGTTTCCTTTGCTCTATGTTGTCTGAACTATTAATGCACTTCGTTCTGCTTATCAAACTTGTGGTATTGTTAACTTGCCTACTCTTGGAGACTGTACGAATTGTGCATCCAAAATGTTAAGAACCTTAGGGATCGAAATACCTCCGGAGATGATGATCTCTGCAGAAACATGGAAAAACAGAAAATGGAATATGAGCTTGCTGTATGTTTCGAAAGTAGTTGATTTCGAGTTGGGTTTTCAGTTTTACCTATGCCCTCTCGAACGGAAAGGTTAGGCCTCATGACATCTTTAGAATTTATGAGGAATATATCTCCGAGATAAAGGTGGTTTGTAGGAACATAAACACAGCAAAGCTCCTCTGCGCCTGAATTTTTCTGGAGGATAATTGTTGATGTAATGAAACCTAATGCATATTCCCCGACACGGGGATGCCTTACAATGGCGACTTCCTTGAATGCTTGAGAGCTCTCATCTGAGAATGGATCGGTTAGAGTTTCAGCATTATGCTATAGTTCGTGGAATATGTAGTTCTTTTACCTGGAGAAATTGCGGCGCTGATTTGCTTCGAGGCAGCATATATATAGCTTATCAGAGGCATCTTTTTGATGAACCATTCCCCGAGTTTGAGAAGCGATGCGCCAAGCCACGAAGACATGAACACTCCGACGAGGAAGATGAATGTGATTGAGGTAAAAAAGCCGAGACCTGTCATTTACTAAAAAGCAGTGATCAAAACCAGTTTATTTCCTCAATTCACAATGGAAGGGAACAAGAGCCATGTTATGAAAATTTAGAAGTATAATGATTCCATCAATGTTAGCCTCTCATCCAAGAAAGATTAAAAAGATATGATCCTAAATTGTTTCTTGATCTGAAGAAAACACTAGCTAATCCACATACCAAATATATTGATTCCAAGATGATTGTAGATAGGTGAGAAGAATCCATCCACCCAATGAACGAACCACCAAGTCAGATAAAATGTGATGGCAATGGGAAGCAAGATAACACTGCAAATAATCCAATCAGTAGTCAAAACTATGATTTGATGATAAACTAAAGAATCTAATATCAAACCTAAATCCTGATAAAAGCGAAGACAAAATTACGGTGATAGAAGTGAGCCAAAAGAATAAATGGCAGAATTTTCGAGTTATTTTATTCATCTACAATGCATTGAGAAGTCTTTAAAAAGGTTCTTTGAAATAGGTATAAGTTAAGTTAGATGCATAATGAGAGTGTATAATGGAGAAAAGATTAGCATATTGTGGTAAAATTTGCAGCAAATCTTTCTAGTCATTAAAAAACTAACCATCCTGTCATAAACTTTTTTGATGCCCAACTACGGATAACTTTGCTAATTGCCTGCAAAAGACAAGTCATTCTGGAAGTTTTAGACATCAATTTGATCTCGTAGATGAATATTAACAGAGAATTCTGTTGAACACAAAACACAAACTTGAAGAAAGAGGTTAACGTAAAAATGAAACGATGCTTTGCCTAATCGATTCAAAACACGTTCGTAGCTAAACATACAGCCACAATGATGTCTTCTGCACCAAATAACGAAGGGAGATCGGATAGTAAACATTTTCAAAAATTTCAAAAAGCAAATCAGAGCTTAAATCGTGGAAGTGGTTTTACAGAAAAAAAAATAAATGAAACGAGGCATGATTGTCAAATATCCTCTTCCTGTAAATGTTATCACACATACAGCTCAAATGAACTCGCGAGAACATTATTGATCAAATTCACACAAATCGAGTAGTGATGATATAATCGATCAGGTAAAGGAAAAACAGCAGATGACCTCGTTGCCGCTGGCGATGGCTAAAGCGGTAGGAGAATTAGAAGGAGAAGAGCATTTGGAGCGAACAACAGAATCCAACGGTATCAGCTTTTCATGATCTCCGTCCATCTCTAGCGTCCCCATACAATGATGCTATCAATCAGTTTCTACGAAACTGGTCGGCGCCGGCGCCGGCGATGCTGCGCAACCTCAATCTAGACGACGATCCACAATCCTGCCGTCGATTAATTTTAAATAAAAATAATTATTATTATTCAAATTAGATTATAATATTAGGCCTTAACGAAACGTGGATTTTTAAGAGCTTTTTATAGGTTGGACTGAATTGAATATGGGCTTTTCTTTATTGGGCCTAAACGTAGCCCAATATGAGGCCCAATTTAAGTCTGATTGTTGAAGTACTTTCTTAGCTGTTTTTATGGTATTCACTATTTAATATTATTTGATTTCTTGCGCGCAGGTGAGACGTTCGACACGAAAACCTTTTTTCTGTTCATGATTTAGCCCTAGAATCGGAAGGGGGGAATTGGGAAATCAATCTGCAAATCCACCGCCACCGGTGTTCAATTTGCAATTCACTTGTGGAAATCGGAATCTGTTGAATTTCAATTCGATTTCGAGGGGCGATCGCGCGGATTTGGTTTCCCGTTCGGGATAGCTATTCAATGATAACTCGGTCGAAGCTTGTGGAGCAGCTGAGAGATTACCAGATCCGATCCCAGCACAAGTGCCCCTCCCTCACTGTCTTCTCTCCCAAGCCCCTCCTCTCCACCTGGTATGCGTCTGCTCGATTGGTTTTTGTTTTTTTAATTATTGAATGAGCAAGTCTGTTATGCATTTTTGGTTAGGTTGCTCTTATCATTCCATATGAACAAATTGATATAGATGCTTTTCCCCAATGTGTCGAATTACTTGCATATACATAACCATGAAATGCTAGAAATATGGGAATTTTTTTATTATGCAAGCGAAAATTTTGAGCTTATAGTAATTGTAGATATCGGGCGTTTCCTTATATGCAATGTCAAGTGAATTTCTTCTAGACGGCTTTAAAGGTACTTGTTTTGGGCGTTTTCGTATGACCTCAAGATGTTTTCCCTTTTCCAATGTGTTCATTTTATGGTTTTCATCTAGTGACACCATTAGTCTGCTGCTACTTCCATTTGAGTATACAGCACTGGGAGCGGACTGATTATTTTTGGATAGGATTGCATTTATATGGGCTCTACTTAGCGGCCATTTTACCTTTTACTAAACTGTATGTTCTCAATATAGAGAGTTGTGGATGTTAAAATCATGAGAAAGCTATTTGTAATGAGCTTGAAGCATTTTTCAATCACATCTTTCTCTTCCTCTCCAGAATTCAAATGAATCTATCTCATGCTACGACATCCTTTTGCATACTTTTTGTGAAAATGTGTGCTGTACTTATGTGGTTGCCTTATATTGGTGCATCTAAGTTCCGCACATGCCCTGCTGTTTAGCCAAAGACAGTAACGGCGAAATTTGTGGTGGATGGAGGCTTCTTAAGGCTTTTACTTTGTTGCTTTAGGTTATTACCGGTTTTCCAACATGCTATGAGCATTTGAGCATATCATATTGCCTTGGCAGCGTTTACTTTTCACTTGAGAATGAACTTCTTTCCATGGAGGGAGTAAACTATTTTTACCAAGCTCTACTGCTCTACTGTGACAGTAGGACCAAAACCCTTACAGCTCTGTGCTAGATTGTCGGTTATGGAATTTCCTTGTTATGATTGGTCGTAATTTAATTTTCTGATAGATGTGTAGTGCAAATCTCTCTTGAAAGTTTTTATCATAATAGAAGTGGTGGTCCTGCCCAGGCACTATTTCATCCTCAAATAGACATGTGAATCACCACCTATTTATTATTTTGATCGAATTCATTTATAAGTATAAAATGATGGTTTACAGGATGATATATATATATGTAATATGTCTTACCACTTTCAAGGAAGGATACTTCTGAAATGTCCCGAATGGTTCATGGCTTTGACTATGAATGAGCCAGCTGTAATTTCAACGTGAGTAATTTTGGAATGTCAAGTCTTCTCAAACCCTCCAAATGAATGTTAGATTTTTGTTAGACCAACTCACCTAGTAGATGTGTGCATTGACAAAGATTGCTAATCCTAGCACACTGTCATGAACAGAAAGTAATTTTTATTGCCCAAAGTTATGCCTATCAGCTCTTGATTTATATGATCATCTATCAGGGAGATCAATGGTCCTTTGCTCGAAATTGATTATATAATTTAATTTTACACTACTTTATTCTCTGGCTGGTTTCATCTACTAACATATATCTCTCTTCAAACCTTAATCATCTCAGTTCTTAAATTTTCAATTATTAAGTTCACTATGCCTTGTATCATCATTTCATCACACCTCAATATTTTAACCATATTACGATTTTCCACTCTATGCAGGATAGATGTCGCAGTAGCCGTTTTCTGGGCCTCAATCTGCGCCACGCTGCTAATTTCGTCATATGTTGCCCTTTACTTAACACACTACTGGATTTCCTTCTTCCTCCTATGCATCACCATCCTCGTCCCTGTCCGTCTGAGAATTTCAAGGCTATCATTTGCCAGGAAACGGGATAGAAGATTATTACTACCTTTGTCCATGTGATTATTGACTCACACATGATGGAGAATACAATCTCGAGGCACACAAAGCTGCAATGTAAGAAACACGGTAGGCCTCTCTGCAAATTCTCTTCGGCATCAAGAAATAGTTAATGGCAAGTAAAGTCCAAATTGTGATGCATGTGGGAAAGAAGCATAAAAGATTTTGGTACTATTCTGATTGCACTTATTTAGACAGACTTTAAACATTAGGACAACATTCTTATATTCCTAACTGACTGTATATATATATATATATATATTACATACAATAACTGAAGAGGAAAACTAAAAACATTTGCTGATATGTATGTTCTTACAGGGTTTTGGTTCCTTACTAAGTATTAACTTTTAGTATATTTTTAACAACTTATATATATATATATATATATATATATTAGGTTTTTTGTGTTTGTGGTAGGGCTATCACATATCTTTTCCATCCAAATCATAATATTATTCATCACATTATTATTTAGGTTATGTTTACATATGTTTTTGGAAGTGTTTTGAAGAGTTACGGAAACAGTAAAATTAAATTAAATTTTTTATGTAATATTTTATATATAAAGTGGGTAGGTATGTGTGTGATATTTGAGATTTTTTTTGTGAATAATATTAGTGATAAGATTAGAAATGTAAATAGAGGAATATAGGGTTTGTTTCTTTAGTCATCAAACCCCACATTTATACCATTTGAACTCTCTGTTTTTTCAAAAAAATATTTTTATTTTTCCCACAAAATATTCCATCATACAATATTTTAATACCAAATTCAAACTAAAATTTTTTCAAACTTTATTAAAAAGAAACATACCCTATAGTTTTTATTTTAAAGAATATATTAATAAATATTTTTTTATTCACAATGTTATGTTAAATATTTATTTATATTAATTAAACTATGTTAAACTAAAGCCACGTAGTACAACCGACAGCGTTGGTGGGAAAATCAAAGTCGACAAATTTATATATGTAGTTAGCGTATCATTTCTTCCATCATACCATTAATAATATCATACTTTGGTGCTAAGCTACACGACATTATTCGACTTATTATTATTATGGGAAAAAAAAGGCAGAAATTGTCGGACAGGCAAAACTCCTTGTATTGTAGATTGGATTTTAAATCCACTGTTAATCTTATTTTTTTCCTCCAAAACATCAAATCAAATATTTTTTTTTATTTTTTATATTATACTAAATATCAATTTTATATTCAAAATATTACATCACCACCTATTTATATCATATTATACAACTATTCAAATTCAAAATTTTTACTATTCAAATCTCAACTTAAAATTCAAACCCGCCGACAAGGATGTATTTGTTTGGATTTCAACTATTCATCCTATTTTTTTTCCCCAAAAATATCAAATCAAACACCTATTTTTTATTTTTTATATTATACTAAAAATTAATTTTACATTCAAAACATCACATCAATACCTATTTATATCACATCATACAACTATTCAAATTCAAAATTTTTACTATCCAAATCCCAACTCAAAATCCAAAATCTCGAACAAACACATAAGTGTTAACAAATGATAATTCGACATGGTCATATAATTACTTCAATCAATATATTAAATCCAATTGAACCTAATAATATCTCGTGGCTAGTTTTCCACCTAAAATTACTGACACTTTTTTTTTTCCATTTTAAATCAAATTAATTGTGCCAATTGGGGTCTCAATAGTATATATATATATATATATTTCAATTATTCTAAAGTACTGTACATATAAAATAAAAAAATCAAAATAAAACTTCAAAAAACACACTCTCAACTCCCAATCTTCAAAATCCAATTAAAAATAAATAAAACTTCATTTAATTTATTTATACAAAGTACTCCCTCCGTCCCACGTACCGTGTCTGTTACAATGTAGACACGGTATTTTAAGAGAGGTGTAACTAATAAATAATTAAGAATGTATTAGTGAAAATAATTATCCGATAATATAAATAATTATAAATTAAGATTAAGATAACTAATTAGTTTAATTAAAATTAAAAAATTTAAAATGAGATTAGAGTGTGTAATCATTTTCCAAAAAAAAAAAAAAGTGACATGGTATGTGAGATGGACAGAAAATAATATTCGGGCCGGAGGGAGTAGTATTTACTAATTTGTCATTGATGGCTTTCCCTTGACGCTATTACATTATATTGGAGAAGTGGTGTGTAAATGATAGATAGTGAATTTTGAATTATTACTATTATTATTATTATTATTATTTAAATGGGGTTCAAAAATCTTATCCCTTAGTCTCAAATGTTACATACGTAAATGTGACAGACAACCCACCCTCCTAACCACAAAATCGTGCATACCTTCCCAATCTCTATCTCTATCTCAATCAATTAATTAATTTGGGATGCAATATTATACTATCATTTTACATTTGTCTTAAATCTATTTATACTATTTTTAATTTAGAGTTTTCGATTTTCTATTATATATATATGGTTCTTTTACCCCCTTTATATATAATTTATATAATTATTTTAGATAAAAAGTATCTAATAAATATATTACTTAAATATATATATATTATTAGAGTATTATTTTAGTGTTGATGGCATGCATGCGGCCTATCAATTAATGCTCATATCATATACGTCCAAAACAAAGGGTAGTTTGTGGGTTTTGAATTGCGGAAAAGGAACAAGTCCTTGTTTTTTGGATGTTTATTATTTTAGACCCTCCATTCCACATAAATTAATTGTTTACTTTTTTTTTAATCATAGTTTAAATAAAATGAAAAAAACAAAAGTTAAATTTCATATCTTTAACAAGCCATAATAATTATGTACTGTATTATCAACCACTCCCTCCGTCCCAAACATCGTGCAATATTTTCTTTTTGATATGTCCCAAACACTCTGCAATATTTCCAAAATAGGAAATAATTAATTATATCTAATTTCTATCCCACACTTTATCCCCTCACATCATCCAAATAAAAAAAATAAAATATATATTTCTCTCTCCATCACATCACCTGATTTCTAAATTATTATACTTAATACTACTAACTTAAAAACCCGTGGCAAAAATAAATGTTGCACCTTGTTTGGAACGGAGGGAGTATTTCTGTGTATTTATTTGTGCCCGTGCATGGGCCTTCTTTTATTCATATATATATAAATAATTATTTTATTAGAAAATAATAATTAATTGTGATGTATTTTTTTTTAATAAAAATATTTTATTTTATTTTTAAAAATATCATATTATAGCATTATTAAACCAATTCAATTCGCAAGTTACACAAACAAGCAATATATAGATATATATATATATATATATATACAAACAAGCATGCAAGATGTTCATTATTCCCAAATCCACCAAAATACAACCAAACAAAGCCATCCAAAATAGTAAGGTACACTATTAAAATATTTCAAAATACAAATAAACAAAACATTTAAATAAATAAATAAATAAAAAGATTTAAGTTGATTTAATTGGTTGGAAAGGCAGGAGGACACGTTCTACGAAACAAAGCGTGCACAATGATTGTTAGGCCCTATTTTTTAATTAGAATATATTTTTTTATTATATATATATACATATTTTTTTAAAAAAAATAAAATTGGAAATAAATTGAATTGATAATGATAATGATGATGAGAAATGAATAAAAAGAGTGGGTGTGGGTGCAATAATTAATATGGAATGGACATCATTCACTCACTCACTCACACGGCCAATATCAAACTTTATTCATTCAAATAATTTATTTATATATATATATATATATTGACTAAAATAATTCAGTCAATATATTTATTTCTATGATATTTTAAAATTGAGACCACCTTGGAATTGACTTGTCGACGAGATAAGACATTGACTTCTTTTGCGTTTGTTTCTAGGTTTTGAATCTTATTATCATTATTCATTAAAAAATAAATAAATAAATTATCAAATTAAATAATAATTAGTATTTGCTATAGTACTACACAAATTAAATTAATATTGAAATTAATTTTAAAAATTTTGGAGGATAATAACAAGTTAAATTTTTGAAATAAAATAAATATTTAATATGATATCTATATATATATATATATACATATAAGAAGAATCATAATATAGTGTGTATGTATGCATGTATGCGATTATGGGCGGATACTCTTGTCATCGATGGGTGCCATGCCATGCCAAGCCAAGCTGTCGGCTACCAAGAATTTTGGATTTTTAATTTGTTTTTTAATAGAGAATTTTGGAATATAATATACTCCTATTTTAATTAAAAAGTAAATTTAAAATTATTTTAATAATTAGTAAATATTAATCAAACATATTCATATACTATTTTTTTTTTGAAAAAAAGAATGTTTATGTACTATCTATGAATAATATAAATTTATTTCTTAAAATAATACTACCATCATCCGTCTCCAAGGGTCACATTTATCTTTTGCATCATTGTACTAGCATTAAAAATATTATTATATTTATATATTTTTTTGTACAAATGTCATTCTATTAGTATTATGAGTCACTAATTTAAGTATTTTTACAATTTTTTCTTAATTTGTAGCCGGACGAATGTGGATATACAATACATATAACATATGGTATTAACTAATTTCATGTTACAATTATTTTAGCTTTTTGCATTGATTGGCTCTTCATTCATTCTTTTTGTCATCATTCATTCAATACTCCCTCCGTGTCCCGGAATTAAGTATCTATTTGTTTTTTGCATGAAGTTTTGGAAATATTAGTATTATATTGAGATATAGTATGAATAAAGTAGAAATGACTAAAATAACCTTATTAGTATGTGTGATATAAAGGTAATGACATTTGTGTAATATATTGTAAGTTATAAGGGTATTTGTAATGTTAGGTACATAGTACAATTACTAAAAAAATGAAATGGATACTTTGTTATGAGACGGACTAAAATGAAAAAAATAGATACTTTATTATGGGACGAAGGGAGTACATCACTATTTCAATTCATCTTCATAGCTATTTCATGTAATTAAAACAAAAATTTCATATTATTATACTCCATTATTTATTATTACAATTTATTTTGACGACAAAATAATCTATATATTATGTCTAACAACTATTATTAAATATAATATCCATTATGTAAAAATAAACGAGTATGGTTGGAACAAACAGAAATAGCGATATTTTTCAATATAAAAAATAAATAAATCAATCAACAGTATATATGGCCGTGGATCGTCGTAAAAGAAATGTTTCTTTTTATGCAATTTGTTGGATGGACATATAATTAAAAAATTTATTTATAAAAATTGCAATAATTAAATAGTGGATCAATCATCACTTATCAATATTATATTGGCA